CAAGCCAGGAGACTTCCCCGATTGCTTGGTATGTCGCTAAAAACATTGACAGGCCTTTCGCGAGTGGACATTTGCTGGCACGTCGTATTTGGTCTCTCGTGGTTCCTTGGCCAGTTGTTCTCCTGTCTGGCGAGGCGAGAGTCTCGCACCTTCTTGCCCCATGTGTCTTCCCGCGCCTGCATGGATGTTGCAGTTCCTTGCCTTTCAGAGAGGTTTCGATGTTGAGTTGAAAATGGTCCAGCCACCATCGTCTACCGTGGACAGGGCCCGGTCTTCTAGGCGTCTTGATAGACAAGCTGGTAGTAGCGGTGCGAAATTTGGGCTTTCGGCAGGCAAGACCAGTGAATGGCATTGGCAAATAGCCACAGGTCGTATGTCTCAAGCACGCCGAGGATCCAGATGTACTGGGTATGCTGTTGACCGAGTCGATGGACTCGACTTATAATCTGAATAACCGTATTGATGTTGTCGGGAACCTTTGGTGAAATTGGAAGGAAGTCTGTCCACACCCGTGGCTATACGACGAATCCCAGACGCTTCATCATCCTGAAACCAGTGGAAGATCACATTCGGAACACAAGTCTACCAGAATGAGTGTGCCCGCGGGTCCTCATGGCTCGACAGGCACACAGCAGATCGTTGGTGATGATCAGGTTGGAATACCCAAGTTGAGATTCTCCTTGACAAGCTTGACCTTCGCGTACTGGTAAAGACGGAGTTGTAGTTGGGCGTTATATGCCGTCGATCGCCCATTCAAGTCGACCTGCTCTTTAGCCAAATCGATAGCAGCCATTGCCATAATTTCGTTCACCCGAGATTCAGGTCGGAATACTTGAGATTCTCTTTAACAAGCTTGACCTTGGCACTTTGGTCAAGACGGAGCTGGGCGTTATGTGCAGTCACAATCGCCACTGTCGCATCCTTATTCAAGTCCATCTGCTCTTTGGCCAATCAATAGCAACCATTACCATGATCTCGTTCACCCGAGAACCGCTGTCCACAGGAATCGTGCCACATCGGTTCTTCTTAGGCAGCGATGATGGGAATCAGATGTTGAGATAGATTAGACAACGTTCTCGATTGTCCTTATCCTTATTCCATTGTCGAATTTTGGCCGCCATCGGACGGTTCTCCTAATTCACCGACTCGTCGTTCAAAAGTTTCTTCTGGTATCCGAAGTTGCTGACCACGGCCACACAGTTCACGATCTAGGGAGATCGCATGAGCGACCTGATGCATCGGCAACAGATTTCTACAGGAGTCTGGAGCGACTGGGTCTTCAAGGGTGTAGCCACTGCCTGAGTTGGTCTCTGAGCGTTTGCTTTGAGAATGTCAAGGCTGTAGAAAGCACGCTGTTAGCAAGACCCACGCAACCGAACGACCACTTACTATGCATCGAATCTCAACACTAGGTTGTCCAAATGACATACTTCAACATCGAAAGGTTTAGTTGTCTGGTCAAGCGACAACAAACGTAGTTTGTCGACACATCAGATGGCAACCTAAGTGGCATAGGTTTGCCCCCGTTCAGTCAGCGAACACAGACTGGCTTCCGGGAAAGGAGTTAGTCGCCGCCACTTTAGGTGAGCCAGTTCTCCGGAGGTCATTAGGCGTTCGTCGACTGGTCTCCTTTGGTAGTGTATGTTGTGGAAATGCGGCTTAGAACTAAAGAGGTATTCTCCGACCATGTGACATGATAGAGGGTTTGAATTGTCCGAGTCACCGTGGCATCGCCAGCTCTGGTTGTATCTCTTGTCTGATAGGCTGGTCGAATGAAACTGGGGTTTCGACCAAACAACGACAGCTCCATGCTGCCTTTGACACTGTCACAAGGACTGACAGTTCAGTGTCCTGACAACCGAGGATCTGCGCTGCCGAACATCATCCGGTTCATCCCAGTATCCAAGAGCATCTGCAGCGTCCCCATAGGAAGGTGCTTCCACACTGACGTTGGACATCTTTGCCCTAAGGTCCCAAGAATAAGAGGCCGAAGGCCCAGTCTCGACTAGTCCGCTGAAGCAACGTCACGGAGTCTGTCTCACTGAAAACCCCCAAGGTACTTTTGGCAGGGTTCCACGCATCGACAACAGACTGGATGATCAAGGTTGTCTGCTACCGCATGTGCTGGCAAGCGAGCAACAAGTCTCGTACAGCCATAGTACAATTCGGCGGGATCTATTGTCAATCAGCAATAGCCCAGCAAGCCAACAGCATGCAGAAAGCAACCTACCGGTTCACACCGATGTGCTTGTTCCACGCAATAGACACATTTACCGTCTTCACAATCGCATTGTGCAATCCCTGCAAGCTGTCAGCAATGGCTCAGTATGGTATTCTCAGGTATTGACCAACCGTGGTCATCAAAGAGGATCTGGGGAGTCCTGGTCAGAGACCGAATGCACCTGCAGCAGTAGTCGACGGGAGCCTGCGAGCATTGCGTACGCAATGGGACGGGTACAGTCTGAGCGGGTCGTCTCTCGCGAGCATGCAAAACGTCCAGACTGCGAAAAGCATGCTGTTAGTAAGGCTTACGCAACCGAATGGTCATCAGATCACTGGCGTTGAGCAACGCGAGCGACCTCTTCCAAGCTGTTGATCACCGGCAATTCTGTCATGACTCTCATGCGAAGATCTTGCTTCAGGGCAAGGAGTGTCTCCCACCCTTGCCTTTCATCTCTTGTCAACTCTAGAATGTACCGCACGGCATAGTAGGACCAACTTGGATAGGAGGAAGCTGTAGACGACGGGTTCCAGTCAGAGCAGTGTGCATGGGAAGAAGAGACATACCTCGATCGGGAACGCCTCTTAACAGGCGCTGCTTTTCCTCTAATGACTTCAAACTAGCCGTGAGTGTTCTCCCCGCCAACGTATCATATGCGGTCACAACGATGCCGAAGGCGCTTAGCGGATCTTCGGGGGGAAAAGCCGCCAAAATCTCTTCGGCGGCGGTATTCGCATCGGATGACAACATGAGCATCCGCTGCTCGTCACTGAGGTCCGCGTCACGTTCGTTTCCATAGAAGATGCGAAGCGGGAGCGCCGGGGACCCGTCATAGCGCCCGCCATTCCTCCAACCAAACGCTCACAAGGTTAGGGGGTGCGACAATAAGAGTTGGGCGAAAGTCTTGTACAACGTCCGCATTTTGCTGGCCATCCTCGCTGCATTCGGCGTCGTCGCATCGTTTGGAAGCTGACTTGTAGATGGTCAGCAAGATCTGGAACGTCTTTCCTAGTCCACAGTCGTGCCGCCGACCAGGTAAGCAATCATTGCGTTGACGTGCGAGAATCCATTTGCCGATCCGAGCGCGCTGGTGCACTGAGTAGCCCTGCACCAAATGCGAAGCACTGCGCACGTTGTTACACGCGACTTTGTGTGCTAGCATAAAGTTAGCAAGCCTCGAGCATGGAATAGCATTAGCAAGACCACCTACTGTCTGGATCAACCAAGACCAATTCGAGGCGCTTCACCGAACGAACGCACCTCTGACAGACCATCTCGTCGAAGGACTGGGTTGCTGCCAGAACCAGAGGAACAGGTCCTTCTTTCACAATGCCTGTGCGATATGTTTATATATAGTATATATAACGGAGCTGGGCGGGAGAGAAGTTACAGCAACTCCCTCACAGCTTAGGAGCTGAACAAGCGAGGAGGAGGAAGAGGAGGAGGAGGAGGAGGAGGAGGAAAGAAGAAGACGAAGAGGGAAGTAGAAGAGGAGGAGGAGCAGGAGGAAAGAAGTGGGAGGAAGTAGTCTTTATACCCCAAGCAGAAGATACTTACACCGCTAACTCTTCACCGGTTGAAACATCAACGCCCAACGCAGCCCAGCTGGATATTGAAGGGAACCGTTTCAGAGTGCCTTGGACAGGCAGCCATATCACCGAAAAGGAAAACCAGAGGGCAGGACGTGCATACCAGTGGATGGGAGGTGAAAACCAGTGAGCGTGACGGGCATACCAATGGATGGGAGGTGAAAACCAGTGGGCGGGACATGCAAACCGATGGATGAAGGTGAAATCCAGTGAGCGTGACGTGCAACCCGATGGACAGGAGGTGAAAACCAAAGGATAGGATGAGGCTGTGAAAGAAAGCCTTTGCGGGGGACCCACATCACGCACCGGGGCAGGGCCAACCACCGACTCACCAGACATGATTGACTCTGGGAGCTGGAACTTGCCTGGTGCATTCAATGGCCATCTTCATCGGGCGTGGACGTGGATTCGAACAGTCATCACTCGTGAGCATGACGGTTGCGGGGATGGGAAATTTACAGGAGTACGGAGGACGGGGTACGTACCGTACATTCATCCGGTGAAACCGACAGTGGCGACTTCTGGGAAGGCAGCCCCCGTCCCAGAGCGCCCTGGGGCTTGTTTCATGGACAGTCTTCAAGGAGTGAGACATGTCACGACAGAGATGGACATGGGGGGGAGGGTGGTGAAGAACGAGGGGTCGAGGGGAAGGTGGATGGCAGAGACAGACATCTATCTCACCGCCGTTGCGAGGAATTCATCACCTCCCCACTTCGCTGTGTCGGTGTCGAGAGGCTCTGCTCCAGCATACAGGTCCGTCGGCTGAAGAGAGTCAAGCAGCGAGCAGCGAGCAGCTTTCTTCTCACACCCAGTCATGCACGAAGTCTCGTACCCAGAGACTGGAGACTGAAGTCGAAGAGGGAGGCTGCTGTCCCGAAAGCGGAAAGACTTTCCCTCTCCTCTCACTGCCGAGGGAACGCCGACGGACGTGCTTACACATAGATATCTACAACTCTTCCACGGTCTTATCAAGTGGATAGACAAATCTCCAAGCCAGGGTACAAGAACCTTCATTGCTGTCGATAGCAAGTGGATATATAGATGGCGTGGTCGTAATTTACAGCAGTAGATAGTCCAAGAACCAATGTAACCACCGTCGTCTGCAATATTCAAAAAGGGGCAAATTGACCAGAAAAGCGAGCGATGGTCCCTGGCCATGGCCACGGACCCTCTCTGACGTGTACCGGCGACTACGCAGCTTCCGGACCCCGGCGACGAAGCTCGTCGTCGGTCTTCTCCTTGTCCAGTGCCGATGACGAACTACCCGCTTCGTCTTCCTGGATTTCGGCTTCGATGATCGGGCCGGTGTAGAACTTCCTGCCCCCAGCATACCAATAGATCGTGGAGCAAATCAAGATCAAGGCCAAGAACGCAATGGCGTAGTTCATGTTGTTCGCCGTCACCGGGCGTATGGTAGGCAAGATGAAGATTATGGTGACGAAGAAGGTCCAGATGCACGCCCATGCATTCACATAGACCGACACTTTTCCCATGTGCCATGGGCCTGGCGTGAACTTACCAAACGCCAGTTTGCAAACGATGGGAATGACATACGACCAATCGAGAGCAATGGCGCAGACGTTGAATACACCGGCGATGGCAGTATAAGACCCCAGGGCAATCAGGTTGATGGCGATGCACCAGAAGACGCTGATCCAGACGGCATATAGCGGTGTGCCGGTGAAACGGTTGACCTTGGTCCAGATATTCGAGAAGGGAATCAGACGATCTCGAGAAAAGGCGAACACGGTCCTCCCTAATGCTTGTGTCGCGGTGAAGCAGACGAACTGCAAGATAATGAATGCCGCCACGGTGAAGAAAATCCCGCCTCCCTTGCCAAGTGAATTGTAGAAGATTTGGGCGACAGGCTGGTAGATGGGCGAGGCCAAGATCTCTGCCGGATCACCCATGCAGAAGCAGAGGACGATGTTGAACAGCCATCCCAGGACGTAGGTGACAAGCATGGCCAGAGAAATAGCCCACGGTGCCTTGATTTCAGGCTCGGAGATTCTGCGCTAGTTAGTAGTTGATCATCTGGGTGCGAAGCTACCATGGACCTACTCTTCCGTGATGTGCGCGGTGGCATCGTAGTCGGTCATGGTCCAAGAGACGGACAAGAAGCCAAATAGAAATGACCATCCGACCGGGCTCCAGCCGGCATTGGCTTCAACATTGGTGAAGACATAGGATGCATTGTGCTTGTTGTCGGTCTTGGCCAGGAGAGCAATGGCGCAGGAGATGAGCACGGCGAAATGGAAAATGACATAGGTCTTGGTCATCTTCTCCATCCAGTATGTGGAAAGCGAGTTGACGAGGCCATTGAGCACCGTCAATGCGACCATGACTCCGACTGTCTCGTTGGTGGTTGGAAACCATTGGAAATCTCGACCGATGGAGACGGCAGCAAGTAGAATCTGAGCGGAGCCATACTCGGACGAGGCGACGCCGGCGACTTGTCCCAGGAGATTGATCCAGCCAGTCACCCAACTGATCGAAGGTACCCAAGCTTTGGGTGCCAAGCGGGAAACAGTGTAGTACAGTCCACCGCAAGTCGGATAGGCAGACACCAATTCAGCAACCGAGCAGGCAATGCACATACAGCCAGCACCAGAAATAAGCCAGCACCAGACGGCAGAGGCCGAACCACCCGCCTCCAAGGGATAGATGAAGGTGGTGGTGGTAGTTGCAAACAGACCCGAGATGCTGACCGCGAAGGAAAAGGTCGAGAGATAGCCAAACTCACGCTTGAATACCTGCGCCTCGTCAGTAGAGTTCTCTCTATGTCGGCTCTGGGTTGCCCTACAGGCTTGTACCCGAATTGTTCGGCAAGGGCTCTATCAGCCGCATTGAGCTCGTCTAGCTGCACGGTCTTGCGTCTTCCCGATGCATCTCTGATTTCCACCGTTCCGACGCTGTGTCGGCGGAGGTTGCTCTCGTCGATTGGACCGGTTGTGACCTCTTTGTCTGTGGCCATGTTTGCCGGAGGTAGACGAGTCCTTCAGTCCAGCCGCAGGGGCAGGGCGAGGCGAGGCGAGGCGAGGCGAGGTATTTGTAGGGCAGGTGATGCTTCAGCGCCACTTGCGATAACGAACGACCCGTTTGGCGCGGGTACAATAAAACGACTGTTTCTCGTCGACTTCGAGGATCGGCATGTGAAGCCGGTTGAGAATTCGATTGGAGGTGACAGTCAGCTGGTGCAGTTTACCACTGTTCTTCGCTATACACGGACTCCAAGTGTATGAGATGAAGGAAATGCAGAGATTTAAAAGTCAGCTGAAGATGGTTCGAGCAGGGTTTGCGATCGGGAAGCAATTCTTTCTCCGCCCTGGGTCCTTCGGCCATGGGTATGGGCTCGTGGGCTCGTGGGCCCCTCAGGTGGGTGGCATTTGCACAGGTATGACCGCATCTTGCGACGGCAGATGCCAGGATGGAGACTACTAGAGGGGGAGCTCGACGGCGATGGGGGCGACGGGGGCGAGGATTGGCTGATTCTGCCAGAAGAAAGATGGACGGGGTGGCCGGTGCGTGGTGGGATAGGGCTAAGGCCTGACACCGGGCGCCAGCCTCCAGGAAACGGACAAGGGCCCCTTAGCCGTGGATGTGATGGAGTCGAGATCGGGGAGGTTGTGTGATGGCACAAACTACGGGTGTTAGTCCGTGGTCAAGCTTCAGCATTTGGGTGGGAGGGGAGATACCTATGTCTGATGGTACAAGCCACTTTGCTGAACAGGGCAAAGCTGCGATGGCTGCGATGGCCCAGCGGCCGCCTGGATGATGAACATGTCAGCCATGACCCCGGGCGCCTGAGGCCCCTAAGCCCCGTTCTGAGTGTTCCCACATGAGGCGACCGATGCCTGGGTAAGGTATGTACGGAGTGTGCATTTCCGGCTTGTGATTCGGTTGTTGCTCTGTAGGGGCGCCGGAGAAAACATTTTTCTTCAACAGGCCACAAACTCAATTTAGGAGCGCAGCGTGCAGGGCGCAGGTAGTAGGCAGGTATCACCCTCAGTTACGTATCGGTACGCCCGCGTTCCGTCCTGACAACCTGTCATCGTGCTTGTTAGTGTCTGCATCGTCACCGTCCAAGTGGCATTATGTAGTACTCCGAACCTACGGAGTAGTAGTCCTGATAAGCCTAAGAAGCCCTCCAGTTGAGCAGCCCAGTGTCAGTGTCAATCTTGGTGTCTGTCCAATGGCTACGGCCGGTTCGTGCTCGGCCTCGATAACAGACCACGACCCTCAAGCACATCGCACCTCGAGCTTAATCAGTGCAGTCTTTCCAGAATCCACGGGCATCGAATAACCAAATCAGGCCCGAAGAACCGACTCCCAGCTCTGCCCCTGGTCAGCCACCCCCAGGCGATGATACGTTACAATCAGTCGGTGACTCGGTCCAGTGGATGGAGACGAGACATGGCCCCTTGGCCTGACTCTTCCAATCAAAAATGCCTTGGTAAGTGTACGGGTAATCCGTACTCCGTCGACAGTAATCGATATACGTACCTCACCTGCCTACTAAGGTGCCTGGTCTCCACGAGATTGGATGGTGTGGCTGCTCGCATCAAAGTGCCACTTTCGTCTGCGCCGCCACTACATCTCACTCCCACTGAGAGCAGCATCTACGTCGTCAGTCAATAGCGCCTAGGTAGTTAACAACAGCAGAATCCTTCACCTTAACCACTATGCCCTTACGCAGTCGGTGGAGATGTAGCTGCTTGAACTCTGAATCATTAAGCTATTTGCTTCCTGCTCTGATCTTGGGGTCGGGACAAAGCCTGCCGTGACGCGACCGGAGGAACAGGCGTCAAGAACAAGGCTTGTCCCCGTCTTTGAAGTAATTGTACAGAAACCCCATTGTGTCGCCGATGACAACCTCAATCGTCGGGGCGAAGGCGAGTACACCCTTAGGCGTGAGACGCTGTGATGGTGGCAGGTCCCGCTGGCTCATGGTCGACAATCACACCTGATGGTCGACGGTCGACCGGGAGACTCAGCGCCAACTGCCTACTAGGCGTTGGACGCAGCAGGAACACTGTCATTGCTGGCGCCCCAGCCCTCCTCCGCTGGGGGAGCTGCAGCGACGTTGGTCTCACCGCCCGAACCCCATGCAGCCTCAGCATTATCGTCTCCCGCACCCCAGGCGCCGCCCTCAGCTCCATTTCCCGCGTCTGCCGCATCCATGTCGGGTTCTTCTTCCTCCTCGAAGTTGAGAACACCACCCTCGGGTTTGAATTGCTGCAAGAAGTCCGGGACTTCCTGCCCGCATTCAATGAGAATCTTGGTCAGAAAAGGGCCCAAGCCTTCGTCCTTCTCATTGTAGAAAGAAGTTGCAAGCCCCTCATTTCCAATGCGTGCAGTGCGGCCTGTCCAACTGTCAGCTTTGATCAACCCCGGGGCTTCGCTCCAGTTGCTTACCAATGCGATGAACGTATTCATTGCGACCATCGTGCTCAGCCGACGGGAGGTCGAAGTTGATGACATGCATCACATTGCCTGGGGATTCGTTAGTGAGACATTGTGGCCTTGCAGCAATATTTTACTTACGGATGTCAAGACCGCGACCGGAAACTCCAGTGGCAACGAGGATGGGAGACTTGCCAGACTTGAAGGCTCGCCTAACTTCATCAGTTTATGATAACAGAACAGCATGCAGTATTGCTAGCTTACAGGGCATCTTCTCGTTCGAACTGGGTGCGGTCGGAGTGGATGGAAGTGGTCGGCAAACCCATGTTGAACAGATAATCGTCCACAAAGTCGGCAGTCTTCTTGGATCGGACAAAGATCAGAGTGCGAGATGGGGGCATCGAGATGAGCAAATCGTAGAGAGCTCTCATCTTCTTGTCTTGGTCGGTCCACATGATCTGTATCGAGTCAGCTAAATGTAGGGATTTGGGACAGCCATAGCGTACATTCTGCTTGACGTTGATATGAACAGAGCCAGTACGGCCGATGCTGACATGAACATGATCTTTAGCGAGGAACTTCGCAGCCAGTTTCTGGAGACGCTTCGGGAAGGTGGCTGAGAACAGGAGATAGCGATGATCACCGTCGGTATTCGCATCTAAGTTGTCAGCAACTAGAACGCACCGCATCAGCCTGCAGTAACTTACCACCACCAGACATGATCTTCAACATCTCCTGCTCCCAGTCGTCGTGCAACATCTCATCGGCTTCGTCGATGATTGTGTATCTTCAATTGGTTAGCCGTAGTGAAACACCCGTCAACGATTTCTAACCTGACGCGAGCTAAAGACAGAACATTGGGTCGACTCATGAAGTCGAGCAACCGACCAGGTGTGGCGACGAGGAGGTCACAACCACGAGCAAGCTGACTGACTTGATCTCTCGCAGGAGCGCCGCCATATGCCACACAGGGTCGTAGCATGGATCGGTAGCAAAGGCGACGTGCTTCATCAAAGATCTGACAGCAGAGCTCGCGGGTTGGGGCAACAATGAGAATCAACGGCTCCGCCCGAACGCCCTCGCGAGAAGGATCAAAGCCTACAGCAATATTTGGACGAGGGGCTGCAAGCTTCTTGACCTTGCCCATCAGCTTGGAGATGCATGGAACGAGGAAAGCAGCCGTCTTGCCAGATCCTGTTAGATAGTCAGCGAGGCCCTCAATGCATTTTTGGCAGACACCAACCAGTCTGTGCAACGCCAATCATGTCATGACCCTTCAGAACGGCTGGTATAGTGTAAGCCTGGATCGGAGTCGGATGCTCGTAGCCGCAGAGGTCGATGTTTTCCTCGATGACGGGATGAAGACCGGTGTTCTTGAACTAAATGTATGGTGAGTACGAGTTCAGACCTAGGGGCCTAGGTGGTACCGACGCTCTTGATCGGCTCGACGCGAGTTTCCGATTCAACAATGATTTTGACTGTGGTGAGACTATTTCCTCAGTCAGATGAAACCCAGCAGTGATGCTCGGGCTGACTTACTTCTTGAATTTATCACCTGCCCGATTGATGTATTCTCCACGAAACAACTCTTTCTCAAGGTCTTCATGTCTTGGGCCTACATCACCAAAGTCTTCCTGCCACTCGTACTTCTGTGCGTCGTGGGCCCAACTAGTAGACTTGTAAGCGTTCTCATCATTCTCGCCCTCACCACCGGTTGCACCATTTGCACCCGTAGCAGGTGCTGCGGCATCGTAGTTGAATGGTTGAGGCGCGCACCAGCCGGCTTTGCGAGCATCTTCGAGGCGCTCTTCTTTGCTACGCTCGACGGCTTGTGCAGGAGGAGTGTTGGTGGCTTCGTTAAGTGCGTTGGCCATGTTGCTAGTATCGAAGGATGACATGGCACCTGAGTAACAATGTGAGTAGTTGTGGGGAGAGTGAGATCAAAGTGTGATGCAATAGAGAAAAGAAGAGTGGTAGAGGACGATCAAGCAGATGCGTATTGATGGAGTGAAGTGAGCTACCTTCGTGGTGGGCGTCTCTCAAACCTTTCCCAACTGCAGGCCGATCTTGGAGGAACTAAGCTAGGCAAGAGTGCGGTGATGCGAGGAACGAGACAAGTTTGAGACTGGGCATAAAGGCAGAGAGGCAAATGAAGAGGAGGGGTTGCTGTGTCTGTGGGCGAGAGAGAATGGACGAGGTACGTACCCGTAGCTGGAGGTGAAGGAACACGGTCTTCAGCGGCACCCCACGACGCCATCTTTGCCGTCAGGCTGCGAGAGGGCAGTTGAAGGCTGTTCAGAAGGAGACGAGTAAGAGGTAGAGATAGAGCTTGAGGTTGAGGTTGAGGTAAGGAATAGAGTCGGGTTGAGTCAGAAGGAGAGGTGAATTTGAAGAGCGGAAACGCAAAAGTGTCAACAAACTGACCAAACCTGCAACGCAATACTAGCTGCAGTGAAGGACGGCGTATTGCCGCATCTTGGTCTTGGAAGTCAGCAGAATACCTACACATTTCTCGCACATGCAGTCATCTTGTTCAATTTGTTCACCCTGAAGGATTCATGATACAGAAACCCCGACCAAAGACCCGAAGCCTTCCCTTGCGATGCCTCATGCACGGCTTCGAAACATGCATTCCCAATTCCAACAGTCTCTTAATCATTGATCAGGGCGCATGAAAAGTCTGCCGTCCTCTAGCCTTGCTGCGGTAGCTTCGACAATCGACGATGGCAGTCTGCTCAGCATTCTCCTCTAGAGAATCACTCAGGTCGCTGCGAAGAGCAACATATGCGCCCTACCCAAAGCAGAGATGATCGCGCTCCCTCCCAAGGCCCCAATATTTGACGGCGAAGATTTCCCATCATCAAGCAAACAATACTCACAGCTGGTTCATTGATGGGGGTATAGGACTATGCCAACACCAGGAAGGCAAGGAGACGGAGAGCAATCTTTGGAATAGGACTGCTGTCTTACTTACACCGCCGAGGCAAGCTGCAGAGTCCCTCCATCCTCTTGTCCACAAGCCAATCAGCCTTGGGCGACAAAGAATTGCCTGCTATCACCACTCCATATATTCCCGAGGTTGGATGGTTCAAGATTACCTACCGAAGGAAGCTATGGGAAGTAGGACTCCTCAACCAAGACAACAGGCATGAGTCGAAGAAGCCACTACCACGCCCAGAGTGGTAGTCCGCATAATACTTGCTCGTGCAACCTGCGGCTGAGGTCGAGACCGGTCGCAACTAGGAGGAGGGCGAAAGGGCAGAATGGCTGATGTCGCAAGAATGAACTCCCGCTTGTCGTTCCTGCACTTGAGGTTACTGGTGCTCGACGCTAGGATTGCCTTTGATTTCTACGTCGGACCGCGGCCGCTCGAAGGACAAAAATGCCATGTCGAACCCTACATCTTAACTTGCCCGTTGCTCTGAAAGCTGCAAATCCCAGATAGCTCTCTAGATGAAATCTTGTAGGATAAAGGCTAGATGAAATCTTGTAGGATAAAGGACGTCAAGTTGCCAATTTTGAACCGGCCAGTGAATTATGGACGGCGATCTGGAGAGTAACAGCGCCTTAGAATGTCAATCCTGCGACGCTGCTTTTAAAGGGTTCTACCATTTTCATTGGATGGATCAGGGGACCTTGTGGGGATGAGAAAGAACCCAATTATGAGCTCCGGTTGGCCACAGGGCGGCGTCACTCTCGTCCAAAAGGGGGGTGGTCTCGCTCTGAATATTATTCGTCTTGGCGTCGTGGAATTTGTGTGCGGTGCGAATTAACCCCCCTCTCGAACAAATCTACAAGTTCGCGCACCGCACCGTCAATCAAGCTCAACTAACCCGACCAAGCCGCCAACATGACGACCCAGCCAGGAGCCATCTCGAAGAAGCGCAAGTTCGTCGCCGACGGTGTCTTCTATGCCGAGTTGAACGAGTTCTTCCAGCGCGAGCTGGCCGAAGAGGGCTACTCTGGTGTTGAAGTCCGGGTCACTCCCACAGTCACCGATATCAGTATGGCGGCAGTTCCTACGAATCCATGAGAAGCAGTATCTGACTTTAGGGTTGCAGTCATCCGGGCCACACACACTCAAGAAGTCCTGGGCGAGCAGGGTCGACGAATCCGCGAACTCACCTCCCTCATCCAAAAGCGATTCAAGTTCCCCGAGAACAGCGTGTCCCTGTATGCCGCCAAGGTGCAAAACCGCGGTCTGTCCGCCGTGGCGCAATGCGAGTCCCTCCGATACAAGCTGTTGAACGGTCTGGCGGTGCGAAGAGCATGCTACGGTGTGCTGCGATTCATCATGGAGAGCGGTGCCAAGGGCTGCGAGGTGGTCGTGAGCGGCAAGCTGCGAGCTGCGCGTGCCAAGAGCATGAAGTTCACTGTAAGATGATGACCTTTTCCCTGAGTCTCTGAGAGAGGCCGTACAAAGGTGGAATCATTGACAAATGCGTGTGACAGGACGGCTTCATGATCCACTCTGGCCAGCCGGTCAACGACTTCATCGACTACGCTACCCGCCACGTCCTTCTGCGACAAGGTGTCTTGGGTATCAAGGTCAAGATCATGCGCGGCAGCGACCCCGAAGGCAAGGCCGGCCCCCAGAAGACTCTTCCCGACAGCGTCACCATCATCGACCCCAAGGAGGAGCAACCCATTCTCCAGCCCATGTCGCAGGATTATGGTGCCAAGGCTTTGGCTGCTCAGCAGGCTGCACAGGACGCCCGGGTTGCCGAGGACGAGGCTGGTGCGGGCGAGGAGGCGTTTGCCCAGGAATAAAATGCTGGGCCTGTGCTGCGCGGGGCGTTTTGTCGATTCACATAGCATACCTTTTCTCGGCAGAGTGAAGAATCACCTGGGCCCATTCTGAGTGTGCATGGTGTCATGCCCGAACGGACGCTCGCAAAATGTCATGAGGCGACTTGCGTGCTGTAGACGAAGATCAGGATTGAATGAAAAAGGAATCATCAACCATGTGACTCTGGTCACGTTCTATTGGCATCTACATATCTCTTTTCCCCGGCTTCTTTCTTCTCTCCCTCTAAGCCGGCCAGTTTTCCCGGGGCCGTCCGTGCCTCTAGCTCACCTCACAGGAAGACCTCGACATTGAATTCCACTGTACTGACAGGATACTTCAGGTCGAACTTTGCAAGCACAGTAGGATGCAGGATGCCAAAGGTGCCAATGACAACCTCTTGGCCCGCGATTCTGGCGTGGATGCTGGCCCCGTGGCCCGGGAAATACGTGGGGTCGTCGAGTTCCTGGATCCAGTATTCCATCCCTTGAGGTTTTCCATTCTTGATCTCCAGTCCTTCTTCGTGGGTAATGAACGCCGCCTTCAACATTGCCATTATGCGGTCCAGCAGGCCATGGACGACCTCGAAGCCGGATGTCTTGCCGTACCATGCCGCGGCAAAGTGACGCTCGTTGCGGCTCTTACGTTCCAACGACTCATCTTTGAACGCGACATCGCTGACTTCGAAGATCTTGATGGGTATTGAGTGGTGCTTGTTCTCGCGAATTGTTTTTAGCAGACCTGGGAGCAGTGTTGTTCTCACCACCTGATACTCGGCTGTTTTGGGATTGGCCAGTCTCACGGCAGTCTTGCCGTCATCCTTGCGGTTCAGCCAGGCAAAGTTCTCGTCGTGTGAGCACAATATCAACGGTAGAACTTCGGCCCAGCCGGCCATGGCAGCCTCCTGTCGCAGGATATCTGATAGCTTGTTGATCGCAAGTGGCGCGGCGATTGTAGCCCCGACTTTGGGAAACGCTCTTGGAAGCTTGTTGAAGCCATACGCAATGCAGACATCTTCCATGATGTCGGCCTGATGCAGCACATCGGCTCGCGTAGGCGGTACGTCCACGTCGACCAAGTTAGGGTCTGACTTGGAAGGCCTTGCGGTGTAAGACATACGGGTAAGAAGATCGCAGATCTCCTCAGGAGAGAGCGAAAGACCACAGCACGCGTTGATGTAATCTACTTCAGCTTGTGTGGCACGTGGTGTAAGGTTAGGCACCTGCCTCGACTCGCCATTGTGCTCGGATATGATTTGAACCGGCTCAACCGTAAATTCTTCCGCGGTGTACTGAGAGAACATGGCAACGATAATGTTGATGACGATGTCCAACTTTGTCTTGTCGGTCGCCGTGACCTCAATGAGAACGTTTTTCGTGTCGAGCGTGATCTTGCTCAAATCTCCATTGATGATCGGTGGAAGAGAGCACACGTTCCGGTTGGAGTCGTAGATGACAGGGTATACAGGAGAATCTCGGATGATGTGCAGGTACCGCCCAAGGTGTTTGTCCTTGTCATAGAAGGCCATAAGTTCTTCGCCGTTCATCTCCTGGGACTGATTGAGCGGGACGAACTTGATGTCTTTTGGTGGTAGTGCTTCGTAGGTGAAGGGGCCTTTGATCGTATCCAGGTCGTGTGTTCCGACGGAGACAAGTGTCCGTTGCCGGGCCAGATTTTGGTGCAGCTTGTCCTGAAGGTCGATGAAGGACGCATATCTCGCCTCGTCGAACTTGATATTGCGGAGAACGGCCCCGGACACGTACGGCCGTATCCTCGCGGTGTCCTTGGTGATTGTGATGGTTTGGAGCTGGCCATTTGGCGGCGCTTTCAAAACATACTGTGGCGCCGGAACCCTGCGGTTGAAGATGTTGAGCATGAGTTGGATGCCCTCGAAGCAGAGCATGTCATATCGATTGGCGGGGATCTCAATTTTCAATTGCGGCGGTTCTTGCTTGCCGTTGACGATCGGTCTCTCGGTGAGAGAGGTGTCTTCGTCGAGCTCGATCCCGAAGTCGAAACAGAGCTCGTCGAATTCCTCCGTGGTGTATTCCCGGCCCAGGGCCTGGAACAGGGCAGCCTTGTCCACTGTAATGGTAGGCATCTTGTCGGTGAGAGGCTCGGTGAAGGTGGTGCAGGTGGTGCGAAGAACGCAGCTTCCAAGACCACTCAGCCTTCTTCGAGATAGATGTGCTCGACAATGCCCTCTGGACGAACGTGGAACAGCACGCTGCAGGCTCTTGTGCGGATCTGGATTATACCGTCAAAAAGTTGCGAGGAGTCATGTTTTGAACGTCTTGGCAGGTGTTGGGGAAGCAATGCGGCGCAAACAGGAGGTGCTGGGTGCTGCGCCACAGGTCGCGTGGTCAAGCCACACATCCTCGTCTGCACCAGTCTGTATTTGTGCTGGGCAGGCGAGAAGGTGGTCGTAGTCAAGTACCTACACAGTAGCAATCGTATAATGACGGAGCTCAAATGAACTGACTGTGATTATCCACCTTTCCCAACCCACGAACCTCTACATTCGACCAAAGTCCCTGCGCGTTCAGCATCTGTATTCTCATAGCAGGGCAACTCATTTTCCGACCAACCCAACTCTTTGACCGCCGCGAGGCCTGCATTCTCTGGTTGTTGTAAGTTGTCCCGTGTGGCCTTCACCTCCCGCAGCCCTCAACCGTCAACCGTCCACCGCGCCGCATGCGACCACCAGGCACCCAACCACACCTCCTGACACCCTGCGATCTGCCTAACGCTGACCACCTCCGCAGCCAGATATGTCCTGAAGTCTGAATTAGCCTGCTTCTCTACAGACACACGATTTTGCTTCCTAGTACTCAACCCAACACGGTTCGACGACTCAACCCAACTGACAACAACCCCACCCACTAGGGGAACGCTGAAGACCAGAAATATACTCCAGACCTCGCTAGTTATTCGAAATGGAGGGTCAAGATAATGCGGATGAGCTCTATCCCATCGCGGTTTTGATAGACGAACTCAAGGTATGACTTGCCCTGCGCTACAACCCGGACTTACCCTTGACTGATACGTAAACAGCATGACGACGTCCTGCTCCGGCTCAACGCCATCCATAGACTCTCTACGATTGCTTTGGCCTTGGGCCCTGAAAGAACAAGAGACGAACTGATACCATTCTTGGACGGTGCGCACCCTTTGAGGACGAAAATGTCGGAATCAGGACTGACTGTGTGACCCAGACTCCGTTGAAGATGAGGACGAAGTCTTAACAGCACTCGCCGAAGAGCTGGGAAATTTTGTTGAATATGTTGGCGGCCCAGAATACGCTCATGTGCTCCTTGCACCTTTGGAGAATCTCGCAGCCATCGAGGAGCCGCTTGTGCGGGACAAGGTACGGGAGAAGCCAACGATGCAAGACCAAACGAAATCTAACCCTATCCGTGTAGGCCGTTGAATCCCTCAACAAGATCTGCGAGCAGCTGGCTGAACGACAGGTGGAAGAATACTTCATTCCTCTTACGATTCGGCTCTCCAAGGCCGACTGGTTTACATCGAAGATCTCTGCCACGGGCCTGTATGTAACTCCCTACAAGAAGGCCAGTGCCTCTGCACAACAGACACTCCGAACTCAATTTGGCCATCTTGTTCACGATGAAACACCCATGGTTCGACGACAAGCCGCAAACAACCTGGCCAAGTTCATCAAAGAGGTACCAGTTTCTGTGGTGATTGACGAGATGATTCCACTCTTTCAGCATCTTGCCAGTGATGATCAAGACAGCGTCCGGCTGCTCACGGTGGAGGTTCTCATCTCAATCGCCGAAGTCATTCCAAAGGAGCAACAACCCAGTCACGGCGTTCTCCTGACAGCATTGCGGAGTCTGTTTGAAGACAAAAGCTGGAGAGTCAGATACATGGTTGCCGACAGGTTCGAGAAGATTGCCAAAGCTGTCAATGAAGAGGTGGTCACACGGGATCTGGTCCCGGCATTCGTCAAGCTACTTAAAGATAGCGAGGCGGAGGTGAGAACGGCCATTGCCAGTCAGATTCCCGGATTCTGCAATCTGCTTGACCGCGAGACCTTGCTCAACGAGATCATGACTAGCATCGAAGACCTCGTTTCCGACCCATCGCAACACGTCCGGGCTGCTCTCGGAACCCAGCTGAGTGGCTTGGCTCCTATCCTCGGCAAGGAAGAGACAATCTCCCACCTCCTCCCCATGTTCCTGCAAATGCTCAAGGATGAGTTTCCCGACGTACGACTACACATCATATCCAAACTCGAATTGGTTAACGACGTCATTGGCATCGACCTCCTCTCGCAGTCCCTCCTCCCTGCCATTGTCCAACTCGCCGAAGACAAGCAATGGCGCGTACGCCTCGCTATCATCGAGTATATCCCGTTGCTCGCCAAGCAGTTGGGCATGAAATTCTTCGACGAACAACTGAGTTCTCTCTGCATGGGTTGGCTCGGTGATACTGTTTTCTCTATCAGAGAGGCAGCCACCCAGAACCTAAAGAAGCTCACCGAAGTCTTTGGCGTGGAATGGGCGAGCCGAGCAATCATCCCCAAGGTCACTACCATGAGCCAGCAAGAGAACTATCTTTACAGAATGACGACTTGCTTCGCCGTCACGGTATGTCCAGACCAGATACTATTCCTTCCTGACTCACAATAGCTAACCCACGTCACTCAGATTCTCGCTCCAGTCATCACCCTCGACATCATTCAGAACAACATCCTTCCCATGATGGACCGCCTCGTTTCCGATCCCATTCCCAACATTCGATTCAACGTGGCCAAATCATATGCCGTTCTCATTGATACCCTCCGCCGTCTTCCCGCCGAAGGCACGCTGCAGCAGCTTGAAGAATCAGGCAGCACAGACGCCGAACCCAGCCCACAGGGACTCGAGCTGATAAACGAACAGATCATGCCCAACCTGGAGAAGTTGCAGGGAGACGATGATGTCGATGTTCGATATTTCGCAACGATCGCCGCGGGAGGCAGTACGACCGCGGGGGCGGAGAGGATGGACACGGGACAGTAGTGCTTTCGCGTGCGAATGCCCAGCAGGAGCGGCCTGACGGATAGGCTGTCGAAGCTTATAGTTCAGTTGTGATGCGTGGACAGTCGGCGTGGCGCGACCCGCAATTCGGAGGAGCAGTGGGAGGGTGTTTTTTAGTGTATGAAAATGAAAATGCAAGACTGCCATGATACCCCGACAAAAATGCCCCAGGGACCAGCGGTCAGGTGCGATAGCGAAATGGGGGGGATAGGAGCGAGAGCGGAACAGCAGAGTGTGTTTGGGCAGAGTATCTCCCTGTCCTTGGACCTTTGGGAGGGGAGAGTCAAGATTCAAGATTCAAGATTCAACTCGGCTCGGGTTCCAGAATTGAGAATTGAGAATTGAGAATTGCAGGTGGACGGGGGCATTGCCACGGGATGTGATTGTGATTGTAGTTGCAACTGCATTGCGACTGCAATTGCATTCGTCTGCACCGCTTGACAGTTTTAGATAGAGACCAAGAACAGCAAGATTCGAGCAAAAGAACGAGGACTGTTAGATTCTTGCAATGGCAGTGGCAGTGGCAGTGACATATCATATCCTAGTCACCCGCAAAGGTAGAGTATCGAACATGCCACACATGCCAAAGAAAAGAGACATCTACCGTCTGACCAGGTGCCAAAGAAAGAGACATCTAATTACCGTCTGACCATATGCCCAAGAAAGAGACATCTAATACCGTCTGGCCAAAAGCCTCCTGCCAACTCCATGCGAGTACTCTGACGCCATCCATGCCCTAGGGGAGAACCGACGACTGTTTCAAATCCAACCCAACCAGCGCAGGCTCCCTTCCTAGCAAGGGAGTAGGGATATCAAGTAGCTAGTAGTTACACAGCAATCCATTCAGTGAACGCGAATGGCCTCGAGCAACACTCAACACGGCTCCTTTCACAAGCTGAAGCCAATGTTGTACCGGTTGTCGTCGATTAAGCGGCCGTATCTGTTCAAAGGCAAACCCTCACATTAGCGATCATGTTCTGACGCAGTGCATCTGCGGTCGGATCTGGCCGTAAAACAAAGTCCCAGTCGCTACAAGACAAAGGAGGGGAACAAACTCACTCAAGCAACAGCCGGAAATACCAAACCTCCATGTCTTCGTTCCGGAGCACCTTTTGCGCCCAATCTCGACCTTGGTTCGCAATCCGCTTCGCCTCGATCTTGCCGCTCTCTTCCTGGTCAAAGTACCGCATGACCTCGACATACTCGTCACCAGTCAAGCTGAGCGGGACATGATGCACCCACGGGCGCAGCCACTCGTCATGCCATTCACGAAACACGGCCAGCTTGTGCACGAGACTATTACTCAGGAGCCAGGCGTAGTATCGTCCGGAGAATGCATTGCCATCAATGTCCAGCAGGTGCCGCGACCCAAATGCGTCAAACATGTTGACCGGCTCCACCGTGCCGAAGTATTCACGCTGCGCGTCACAGTCGCCCGGGTCGCATTGTCCGATGAACGTGAACTTGACGTCGAAGTAGTGCGAGACTTCTTGCATCGAGATTTCCTTCTCTCGCCACATGTTGTCCGTGCTGCTAGAGTTGTCGAGCTCCAAAACCTTGGCTGTGTTGGTCGGCTGAATCTTGGTCAGGAACCGTTGCCGATGTTGTCGCCTCCAACCGCCGTCTCGGGAGAAACCTCCCGTGGTACTACCGCGCCAGTACATGGTTGGAGCCTTTTCTTCCCATGGCATGTCTCGCTCCTTCTCGTACTTTACCCGGCCCATAAAGTACCATGGTGAAGGATACAAGATGTCCTGGAAGCTGGAGATTTTCGATTGCGAGAAAATAGGAAACAGGTGGTGGCTCACATCAAATGCATTCGGACGATCGAAGAAGCCAAATGTTCTCTCCAAGCTCGGGGAGTTGCAGATGTCGGAGAAAGCAGACGTGTTATGAATGAGCCCCAGCGGAAGCCCCGAGTATGCGGTGGTGTTGTCGGGACAGAAATCGTCCAGACAGACGCGCGCCGGACTTTCGAGTGGACAGGACAACCTCGAATCGGCCCAAGTGGGCTGATGAGCGTAGCGGTTGAAGCGTGTTGTCTTGTACTCTTTGATCCGGATGCCCTCGCCCAGATCCTCAGGTCTTGGGGACCACTGGTTGTTCAAAGCCTGGTTGCCATAAGCTTTGGGTATGTTCACGTCCTTTGCGACCTTGACGTGATGGAGAAGGTCATCATGCTGCATGACCACTCGAGGTTCGTCGTGGATGTTGAAGGCCAAGTCCATGTCGGGCAGATAACTGATGAACTCCTTTAACATGACGGGAGTGGCCTCCCGATGCCACTGGTACATGTCACCCCCGCCTTGGATTGTGACGACCTTTCCATCCCGGATCGTCACCGAGATCAACGCGTTGTCGAACCCAACAGCTTCTCTTGTCCTCTCACGTATCACCGCCGGCTCCAGCGCCCAGAAGGGTAGCAGTTGATGGTAGATGGTGTCATACTCGTCAATGAGCTCGACCCCTCGTTTCTTTGCAAAGGCGTACCACTTGTCAAAATGCGGCGGAGGCGGCAGCTTGTACCGCCTGCGGTACTCGGCTACGGCATCGCTTAGGGATCGTGACTGGCGGGCGCGAACAGTCTGGAAATTCCCCTGCGCCTCGACCACTAGCTCGTGGATCGGATGCAAGAGCGAGCTCGCCGGGAGGAGCGGTTGATTCTCCTCGTGCGCATGGTGGCCGAGAAGGAGTGAAGCTGCGGATTCCTCCAAGGCCTGAGGCCGCCGGAGAAGAAGGGTGGTGACGGCGACGACGGCGATCAGAAGAAGGAGAAAGAGAAACTTGCGAGACCTTATCATGCCTTGGACATGGCGTCTGTTGTGGATTGATCGATTCATACACGAACTGGGACCGGTGACCAAGGCAATCGACACATGCTGCTGAGGGAATGTGAATGGAGTATCCGTAGGCGATGGTGCCAGGTCCAGGGCTCAGAGTGCGCGACACGAGTGCAGGTGCGAGACTGATCCTACATGAACGGGATCTGAGGAAGAAGTGTCCTTGTGTCCAACGACCCAGCGAGAGACCAAATCTCTTTGCAAATGGAACTTGGACGAATACTGTATGTCGCTGAACTGGAGCAGAGCATCGAGGTTGCTGTCCAGACCTTAGACAGCGCAGTCTAAAGGAGGCATGTTTGCCGAAATATGCCTCCGGAGCATTACTCACCCGTGAGACGCAGTATCAGTATCAGTATCAGTATCAGTATCCGTCCAGGTTGAACACTGAACACCAGGCCTGCGGCAGCCTCAGTGGCTTTGTGCCTGTTCTCTTTGATTTTCTGCTGGTCATCATATGTAGCAGTACTAGCTCTGTGATGCAAAGGTCCCGGGAGACAGTCACAGCGACAGCAGACTGAACAGGTGCTGGAGACAACACGTCAAATATACCATACCAACTCGGGCCTTTGTCCATCTATCCCTATCCCTCAATGAAAGTCTGTGTCTGTTTCCTGTTCTCTCCACACGCCTCACGCCAAACCCCAGATCTCGCTCGGACACATTGCACCCTTCCAGCCCAGAGTAACTTCCCGAGAACGGCGGGTTAGCAAGGAAGAGGGAGAGAGAGGTGCCCCGTAGTCAAGTCAGTATCCCAACGCTCTCCAGAACCCAGACGAGGCTTTGTTCGCAATATCAGTCGCCACGCCAGCCCATCCTCTAGCCCGGGTGACAAGATTGGTTACACCGATGATCCGCCGCGTAAACAGATCAGACTGCTCAAAGTCGTCGGCGTGGACGTCCCAAACAGCCTGGTCGGCCGCATCGAGTTCCAGGCCCACAATGCGCGCGTGTTCAGCAGCCGTTTTGGGCCCGATGACCAACGCGCGGCCGATGATGCCTTGGTCGGCAACGAGGCGCGTGGTGGCGTCGAGTACGGAATCGATTGTGGCCATGCCGCCTCCGGCGAGGACGAGGGAGCCTAGCGTTCCGAGAATGGGCGTATCTACAAAGTCTAAGCGGCCAATATTAGCAGTCAAAACCAAGGTCTAGCTGGGATTTTGATGGAATGGTACGATACACCCATAGAAGCGATCGCAGCGCCCTTAGAGGGGGTCGATTCGAAGAAGGGACCACGGTCCACTTACAAGGATTGATCATGTTAACTCGAATGCCATGCTTGATAGGGGTAATGAGCCTCAGCGTGCGAAACAACCCGACCACTCCATGTTTGGCCGCGGCGTAGAGAGGCTGTGATGGCAGGCCTGCAAGGCCCGCGATGGACGAGACAAGCAGCAAATGACGATCTCGTGGTGCCGCGGGCGTTTGCACATTGCACGCCTGACTGTCCGGGTTGCGGGCGAGATACGACAGGGCCAGGTGAGCGGTGTAGATGAGGCCGTAGAGGTTGACGTCGAGGGTCTTTAGACTGGGGGCCTGGGGCGCCGTTTCGCCATCCGCGTCGGATGGAGAGTGCTGGTAATGTTCATAGTCAGGCGGCTCCTCAAACGCAGCATTCTCCTTCGCATCCGCGATGCCAGCATTGGCTACCACACAATCAATGCCCCCATGCGGGCTCAGCTCCGCAGCCTGCTTGAAGAAGGCCGCCTGGCTGGCCCAGCTGGTCACATCGAGCGGGAGGAAATGGAGATGCGAGTTTCCCGTGGCCTGACGCACCGCCGCCACCAGCTCTGTGCCTTTGGTCGAGTTGATGTCGCCAATGATCACGTTGGCGCCGTCCGACGCCCACGCACGGAAACATGTCGCCCCGAACCCGGACGCGCCGCCGGTGATCACGATCGTTTTGTCACGGAGATTGCTGTACAGGATGGGTGTGGACAGGTTCACACGGTCGGAGTGGATGACGGTGGTGCCAAACGGGATGACTCCGTCGCCGTCTGAATTTCCATCGCCATTTTGATCTCGGGGAGCCGTTGACGGTGATGGGAGAGACATTGAGGGCACAATAGCCTGTTTGACAGCACTGGTAGTCAAAGTGGCGGTGCTAGGGCAGCTCTGCTGACATTGAAGGATGGTGCTTGTCCGCCTGCGCCCTGTGGGAGTGTCGTGCCTGTATCGAGGTCTGCTGCTGGACGGACGAGGCGGTGGATAACCGTCAAAGGCAGGCACCAGGCACCAGGAATCAGTGAGGCTGTAGTGTCAGCACTATTCTAGGAGTACATCCACAGGTACAGTAATACCTTCCTTAGGTATGAACTGAGGCTCCGCATGAATATTTCACGAACACGCTCTGCTTACCTTGCCCGTACTACGCCAATATATATCTCTCCCGCCTCGAAACACCAACGGCAGTCATTATATCCATGTATCCAAGACACGAATTTATCTACGGCAGAAAATGTCAGAGGATCCTCCTAGGAATGGTTCATCTGTTGAGTGTCTCGTGGTCTCCTAGAAGGCTGTAGGACAGCAAACTGTTGGGGCTGAATGTGAACATCTATTGGGTATCTCTGTAAAAAATATATATAAACCAGTAATTCTTCATGGTTAGCCCAAAGGCGTGACCCCTGGTACAGGCCCTGTCATCGACAGCCCATCTTTCACCAAGGTCGACTCGACTCCCCTCAACCTTTCTGTGTCGCTACCGGGAGATCCGATTGTATCAAGATCTCGAAACCCTTCTTCGACAGACCATCTCCTTCCTCCACCTAGCTTGTGAAGCACTTCACAAGCGGCACCGACCACGAGAAGCCCCGGAGGTCTGGACCCCTCCTCTTCTACTGCTTGACAGACATGCTCTAGAGTAGATCGCACCACCCTTTGGTCTGGACAACTTGCTCTTTCGATCACGGCACAGGGCGTTCTCGACGGCCACAATGCACGTTGCCGAGCGGTTGGGTCTTGCTCGTCTACGTGTCCCGTAAGACTTTTGACCAAGCTCTCCAGTCTGTGCAGCGCCATCAGGAACACGACAGTCTTGCTCTTTCTGTACGAAGGGGGCTCCGGGGCCGCGCCCTTTCGCCCAGTGCCCGTACAGACGACCACTTGATCTGCAACCGCGCGGTGAGTCACTGGAATTTCTGCAAAAAGCGGCGCCGACAAAGCGCTAGTGATTCCGGGGATGACTCTGACTTGGTATCCCTGGGCCCGGAAGAAGGTGACTTCTTCGGCTCCTCGGCCGTACAGGTAAGGATCGCCCTGCTTCAACCGTAAAACATCCTTGCCTTGTTTCAACGCTTCGAGGCCCAGCTGTAACAGTTCCTCTTGAGCGGCGTCAGCGTTGCCGGGGAATTTCCGCGCAATATGCACTGGCGTTCTCCGAGGGAAGAGATTGAGGATCTCAGCGGGCACAAGCTTATCAGCTAGGATGAAATGTGCGGTTTGAATGGCAGTGTGGGCAGCAATCGTCAGTAGGGAGGGGTGTCCGGGCCCAGAGCCCGCTAGAGTGATAGTGCCTTTTTGAGACCCAGATGGAGGAAGGAGATCGTTCGTGGCTCCGGAGCAGGGAGCGGGGGTTTCAGCGGGAGACCGATAAGCCTCGAGGATGGCCGAAACATCTGCATCGGTGATGGCGGCTAGCCGGCTCAGAGGCCAGTATTCGCATATCTGTGACAACCATCTCATTCGACGTGTGCGCAGGGTGGTTGGGTCCCGATCGTCCTCCTTCACTAGTGAGTTGAAGGTATGCTTCTGGGCAGCGGCCTCCTCGTCTTCACCATCCACCTCGAGAGTTTCTGTGTCATTGGTGTGGTTCAGTCTGTAATCTTCCTCCCAGATCCGCCTTCTCATTGCCCCAAGCCGGTCCACCGCCACACCGAACTTGGGCGGCAGACTTGACGCGATCTCTCGTCGAATGCGTGACGACAGCTTGCAGCCGTTACCCGAGGTGGTGATGCCGATTTGCAGTGGTCCATCGGAGTATGTGGAGAGGAGCGTGAAGGTGCAAAGTGAGGGGGCATCCACCACGTTGACAGGTATCCGGAGACGTCTGCAGAGTTGGGAGAGGTGACTGGTCCGAGGATCTTTTGCAGGCCATGTGATGAATACCGCGTCAACAAACCCGTCGACGTCTTCTCTGCCTAGTGTCCTCAAGTCCGTCTCTTCGAATCCGCGCTGTATCCACCGCACTCTTCCGTCTTCGACAGCTTGGGCTAACGTGAAATGGAGGTCCGCAGTGTCGGGGGCGACGATGACAGGGCGGGCGCCGACCTCGAGCAACTTTGCGCACCGTGAAGCCGCAAGTGGCCCAGTCCCAAGGACGAGGTGGACATGGCCGACGCAGCTTTGCGCCGTGAGAAGAGCAGGGGTCATGTCTCTGGTGGATGAACCGAGAGTGAAGAGAGCAGTCACAGTCAGCGAAAGCAGGCCAGGTCAGACAGAGCAACCAGACGCCATAGCTATGCAGAAATAATAACAGATACAGATAGGAAATATGAGAGAACTTGAACTTGGCCTGGGCAGATTTCCTCACCCCATGGACGGCATGATGCTGGGGCGGCGATACCAAGGGCAATCACTAAGGCAATTAATTGAAACTGCTCGGAGAAAGACAGACGAAGATCGGAGTCAAAAATTCAGGCATGAAAATTCCCAATGACGCGATTGCCATTCGTCCAAAGTCTGTTATCGCTTATCGGCCGGCACTCGCGGGATCCCGTGACCGCGCCCAGGGCCAAAGCCACCGGCGGGGCCGCGGAGCAACGACCGTCAACCATCTTCTACGTCTCCCTGATATCGAGCCAGCAGGATGGAGCTCTCCGCGGAGTCGCCTCAACCAAAGACTCGAGCATGACCTCAGGCGCGAACTTGATCCGTAGCCATAGCCGGAAGAGCCAGATGTCGCACACGTGAGCCATCCTCCCTCCCCTGCCCCCAACGGTCACTTGCGAGATCGCCTCCTCAGCCTGCGTCAAGTTCCGGTATTTGGGATATTGGGCCTCGGAGTTCAACCAGTGATCTTCGGAGCTGCTCAAAATCGTGGCATCCGGTCCGACCTCAGGCGACGGAAAGAACATACAGGTCCGTATGCTATAATAGCCGTGAAGAAGAACATGGGTCTGCGAATTGTCGGAATACGCCCGACCGCCAGTACCTAACCGGTTTGAGATGCTTTGATCTGCGTCAAAGGCAGAATCTAGTGGCATTTCCCATGGGTGCGCCAGGGCGATGTCGCTGTTTCAGTAGCTTCTGTGGCTTCTGTGTTGGGTGAAGACGCAGGAACCCGCTTCAACCTTCATCTTCGTCATCAAAGCTGAGCATCTTGCTCATATATGGCCCATCGAGACTGTATCCAAGCCGGGCATAATAACTGCGCACGCCCACTCCACTGATGACACTCAATTTCTCGCTGCCGTGTTCATCTCGGGCGATCCTCTCGGCTTCTTTCATCAAAAGGGTGCCGTAGCCCTGATGTTGGAATTTGCCCTTCTCGCGGCCATGGATAGGTACCGCCAAACCATAAACGTGCAGCTCTCGGACCATGCTTGTCGGTTGGCCCGTCAGCTCGGGCCGGAAGGTGTGAGTAGGGCTGCATTTTCGTAGCCGCAGCAGACCGATGAGGATATCCTGTTTGGGATCTTCGTACGCAAGGAACGTTTCCCAACCGCCGTTGGCCATGTAATCTCTCCTCACAAGCTCCACCTGAGACGGCCGGATCTTGTTCTTGACTTCATTGATGCCCACTTCCCGGGTTCGCACGTCTCGACAGGTCGTGCCAAAGTCCTTCATTCTTGACAGCGCTAATTCGCGTAGATTGCCATTCTCGACTCCAGATGTGACGAGTGGCATGGGGATATCACGTTGGACACGGTAGATTCTTGTCCATGGTGGCACCAGCGCCAATATCCTCGCCACCAGGTCCACCAAAGCATTCGGGGTGTAATTCTTGAAGCGACCTGTCCGCCAAAGTTCATAGACACCAGTACCACGGATGACCAGGGTGGGATAGATCTTAAGGCCATCCGTCCTGAAGTCGGGATTCTCGAAATATTCTTGAAATTGGAAAATGTCGCGCTCCATGCCGACGTTGGGTAAATCCGGCATCATATGTGACACGACTTTAAACCCGGCATCCTTGCAGAATTTGAAAGCCTCAACCACGGCGGCGACAGTGTGGCCTCTGTTCGTATCCCGGGCCACGTCTTCATACAGCGACTGGACTCCAAGTTCCAGGCGTGTACATCCGTACCGAAGCATGTCGGACAAGTGGTCGATTTGGCCAAAGTCTGGCCTGGTCTCAATCGTGATCCCTACGCATTTGATGTTGGACATCTCCCCTGCCGCAACCGCTTCATCGACATTCTCAGTCTGATAGCCTGACAGAGCATTGTGTAACTGAGCGATGAAGTTGTCGCGATAGGCCTGATCTAGAGACATGAAGGTGCCGCCCATGATGATGAATTCCACCTTGTCAACACTATGTCCGAGACTTTTGATCTGATCGACTCGCCCTCGAGCCTGTTCGAACGGATCATATCGGGCACGGATGGCACGCATGGATGTAGGCTCATAGCCGGTGTAGGACTGAGTAGAGTATTCGAAATCCGAATCGACGCCTCCTGGACAGTAGGTACAGACGTTTCCTGTAAAGGCAATGTGCGGACAACGATGCGGTTTACACATGACCGCCACGACGGCAATTCCACTTGCTGACCGTACAGGCTTTGCAATCAGCTTCGGAAGGAGATGTTTTTTGTACTGCTCGGGGGTGGCGGCAAGAATGGCGGTCAAAGGCGGCTGGGTGCTGAGCCGGTGTTTCTTCGCAATGTCGCCTCTGAGTCTATTGAGGTTGACATCTTTCTTCGGTTTCGAGTCATCGAGGCTGGCTTCGTATTCTTGTACCAGCGCTCGAGCAATGTCGGCACACGCGGCCATGAACCGAACATTTTCGGGTGGGAGTTTTTCATTCTTGCCCAGTTTGACCTTGGTCCTGGTTACCGTCTCGGTCGCCATGGTTGAAGCACAGGGACCTCAGATTGAATCATGAAGAGATGTCACTCAACATCAGTTTAAGGACGACGGTGCGATTAGAAACTTGCGAGAGACTTGATCCTTGGTTCTACCCGGTAGGTGCCCGGTATGGGGAGGTGGGACACTAGAAATTTGATATCACGTGCTAGAAACAACTGCATTGCTTGGCATTCTCCAGTCGTAGGGCGGAGCATTGGTTCAGATTACGCACGGCAAGTTCGACATGTGCCCCCAAGGTGCTGCTTAAAGACATGCTTACAGACGATCCCATGGCGGGCCACGCAGCTCAATAGGCTTAATGGATCATCCAGATGTTATGCTGAGAAACACTCCCTCAAAGCAAGCAGTATATAAACCCTGGAAATCAGAGAAGGTGGCCTTTCTCTTCAAGAATTGCTATCCAATACACCACCTCTGGCTTGCAGCAACTGGCGTACCAGATATGGTCCAGCACCCTCTGTTGAGATCAGAGTTGTCACTCTCTTCTCGTCTCCATGTCTGCAATGTCGGCCAACGATTTTGCTGCTCAAGCTTCACGTTGACTGTGGTCAGGAGCCGTGAAAACACCCTGTCGGACTCTGCGGCATTCTTTGTGTCTACTGCGACAAGAATCCCAAGGGCAAATGTTGTTCGCCCCATATCCTGGTTGACAATAAGCCCTATGTTGGAATGTTGTTGTATAGTGCCCCGAAGCTGGCCCCATGGCGCCATGCCATCATTTGGGACTGTCCTCTGCTCAACACAGAACCATCTGTCAGTGGTGCTGTCCAGTAGCCAGAAGCCTGGATACTCTTGACGAAATTCTGTGCGAGGAGGCTGGAACAGCCAGCCCGACGCAGAAATGGTAATACCCTCAGCCGTTGCTAACCCCGTACCCATCGCAAGCAACAAAGTTGCTGTCTGGGTAGCTGGCCGACGGATGAAGCTGACCGGAGCCCATCGAAAGCCATCAAGGGGTACTCTTGGACCGCTAGTGAATACCAAATCTTTCGGGAAGGTAGCCTGTTGAAGCGGAAAAGTTCGCCACCTGACCTCCACTGGGGTACTGGTGATCAGCCGGGTATCCAGGCCGAGGAGTATGGTGAGGCATAATGCCTCGTCCTGAAGCTCGCTGGTGTCTCTGTATTGGCATGCATTCCACAACTTAATAATCCGGTGGCCGCCTCCTTGCTGCCTGAGTAATGCTATACGCCACGGGAAGTCGACAAATTCTGTGAAAACAACTTGAGTCAGTCTGAAGAAATTTGAATCGTCTTGGAGCCGTTGGATAATATCAGTCATCAAGTTGACCGCTCCATCAACGAACTGGAGGAGGACTTTGACCCCCAGGACAGCTTCTTGTAACGTCCATAATCTCCTCAACCAACTGGAGCAAGAAAGTCTGGCAAGCTGCTCCTCGATTGGTGCGGTTGTGGACGTCGCGGCCAATTCTGAGTCCAGAACAAGAACGGCGGTGGCATTCCGGTATACATGATTCATTTCGTTGATTGCACGGAGCCGGTAAGGCTGCAGGTGTGGCCTGTAATTTGATTGCGGGATGCAAAGTGTGTCAATCCAGAAAGGGGTGGATCGGTTGCCAGAAACTTGATCCACCAGTTTTTGGAGACGACTGAGTTGGCAGCGAGGCAGCGCATTTGAATCTTGGTTTCCAAGCCCTTCGATCCACACGTGCGATCTTGCAACGTATTGACTGATGTCCTGAAAATGCACAGCAGACAGAACCAACACGGCGTCTCCGCTTCCTTCCTCGAGAAGTTGGACCACAGGGATGGTATCAGTCTGAACCAGGATCTCACGCAGACCGTCTTCGTCAATGGAAAGGAATCCGCATGTACCAGCACATACGTCGGTATTAGCGTTTGATATTGGGCAAGTTCCGTTCCCGGCACGTTCATCACTCGGCAGAAATCCTCTGTGCAGCCTCCGGCGACGTGGTCTTTCTGCCACAGTCGGGGTCGAAAGAGACTGGCAAAATACATTCCAGTGGGAGTCATAAGCTTTGACAACATGGTGATATCGCTAGGGCACCAGCCTGAGTCGCTCATTCTGGTCAGAACAAACTCGCTCCGCTGCCATCCCAATGCCCTGCTACTGGGCCATATCCTTTTCTTGGCACGAGTCAGCACCAGTCCGAGGTCCATGATCGAGAGCGATATCTCGGTATATGCCCGCATAGGATGAGTCTCGCTTTCAGCTCCACCACGGCACATATAGCGTGCCACGTGAAGTTGTGTTTCTGAAAGCATTGCATCGAAGGTTTGAACCGTGATTGAATCAGAATGTAGTTCTTCGGCAGACAGGTTAGTCTTCCGCTGCTGCAGGTACCGCTCCAAGTTGCTGGTGGTAAGTATCCTTCTTCCCGTCGTGTCAGAAACTCGAGTGAAGTCCTTGAGTATGGTCGCTATGGTATGCTGATGGCCCAAAGCCGCCGACAACAGGCCAAAATACAGCCATTGCTGCAGGAAGGCTGCCACAGCCCGCGGTCGTTGTTGCTCTGTGAAATCGAATGTTCCAGCTAAGAGATTTTGTCGTTCCCACCCAGCTCTGGCAGGAAAGCCATCAAAACCAAGATTGTCATATTGAAGCACTGCGGGTTCATACTCCCTCAAATATTCTATCTCAAGGGGGGGGAATGCCGGATTTCTAACTTCTGGTAAGTGATCCATCTCGGGGGGTCAGTCTCTTGGACATGTCCTCAACAAAGAGATGTTATTTCCCAAGGTGGACAGTCGCACCTCTTATAACATTGTCCAGAAAGAGGGGATCGACCTGATCGTGCAAGGCTGATCCATGTTGGCCAGCTGAAGCTGCATGTGTTGGTTAGCGCACTCGCTTATTTTATCTCTATCCAGCCCCGATCAACATGGGCCTTATGGTCTGGACTCTTGTTCTTGCATGTCAGGACTCGTTGCATCAGCGTCGACTCCGAGGTAGGTTCTAGCCCGTGCGGCCGTGGTGGTGTGCGCCTTGGTTTGGTATGGTCGCCAGGATGTGTATACAGAGTAGTGACAACAGTCAGTCGTAGAGTTGCATCCCTAAAAGCGGCGCAGTTACTAGCACCAAGTAAGTAGCGGCCAAGATTGCAGGCTTAGGGGACTTGGAGCTGCAATGCGCCGTCGCACTCCGAGGCTGGCACCAAAGTAGCCGTAGCCGAGCTACGCAGCCTGTCAAGATCCTTTGATAGCAACCCAGTCTGTGTGAATTGGACATTAATTAGCACCACTTGCCCAACACCTCACCCTCGAACGCCTGCTGATCTCTGGGCTGCTTTGTGCAACAGTTGCAGCCATGCAGGCCCTCAGGTCTTCGGTGCTTCGACAAGCCACGAGAGGCTACGCGACAGTCTCCGCCAGCTCACAGTATCAAGCTACCATTCCCAATTTACGAATCAATGCAGACACCAAGGTTCTCTTCCAGGGGTTTACAGGTCTAGTCATATCCCTCCCTTTCCTCGGATTCCTGGCTGACATATCTCCCCAGGTAAACAAGGAACATTTCACGCCCAGCAAGCAATCGATTATGGCACCAAGGTCGTTGGCGGAACAAACCCCAAAAAGGCCGGGTCGACACATCTGAGTCTTCCTGTGTTCAAGTCTGTGAGCGAAGGAGTAAAAGCTACCGGGGCAGATGCGAGCGTAGGCCAGGTCTTTCAAGAGTTTGCAGATTGACATGCTGAGCACACCAGATTATCTTCGTTCCTCCGCCTTTCGCAGCCGCTGGAATCGAGGAAGCTGTAGAAGCAGAGATTCCTCTCGTTGTCTGTATCACCGAGGGCATTCCCCAGCATGATATGGTTCGGAGTATGTCTTTCCATGGCCTCCCGCCAAACTTGGCCCACACCTTCGCTCACCACTGACCTATCTCCTAGTCACCAACTTGTTGAAAACACAGAACAAAACACGTCTTGTGGGCCCGAATTGCCCCGGAATCATCGCGAGCGGCCAATGCAAGATCGGAATCATGCCTGGCTTCATCCACAAACGAGGAAGAGTCGGTATCGTTTCCAGATCGGGAACACTGACATACGAAGCTGTGAATCAGACTACACAGGCCGGACTCGGTCAGTCATTGGTTGTGGGCATCGGTGGTGATCCGTTCAGCGGCACCAACTTCATCGACTGCTTGAAAGTGTTCATGGACGACGAAGAAACGGAAGGCATCATCATGATCGGCGAAATCGGAGGGAGTGCCGAGGAAGATGCGGCCGACTACTTGAAGAGCGAGAACAAGAAGAACAAGCCCGTGGTCAGCTTCATTGCCGGGATCAGTGCGCCGCCGGGACGACGAATGGGTCACGCCGGTGCTATCATCAGCGGTGGCAAGGGAGGGGCCGACTCCAAGATCGCTGCACTGGAAGCCGCTGGAGTGGTTGTGGAACGAAGTCCAGCTGCGTTGGGCAAGACTCTGCATGCCCAGTTTGTCAACCGTGATCTCATTTGAGTGGCACTGGGTTCAGGATGTTTCTTCACTGGCAAGGCGGACAATCGCCGTGCGCAAGCAGTGGTTCATTGTATTTTTGATATTTGACATGGGCAGAGGTCGATAGCATTATACATGTCTGTATTTTCTGCTCGCCACTGGGACGCTTGACCTCAGCAGACTCTGCCCTTCTGGGATGTCTCCAAGGCCCGAAACTTTCCACCAACGCCGTTGTGATGCATGTTCTCCCCCTCTATAGCTTCCTGGTTCCAACGCCTCGGTTGCTATCACAGAGATATTGCTCCTCGTCGACTCGCCCGCACATGTAGCCATGCTTGGAACCCACAGAATACGAGGAAGCCCTGTTTGGGTTAGAGATGGGACATGGCTCGATCCTGGGCAGGATACTTACGGCGTAGACGGCGACTGCGATGAAGATGGAGGCTGCAACTGCGGCACCATTTTCAGGATTTTCCTCCAGTCCCATCATCATATGGTGATCCCTCTGTAGCCAGTCCGATTAGTATCAAGGCGGTCTAGGGCTCATATCGAGAATTCGGGAACTCGGGAGGGCTGGCTCATCGTACCGCAAAGAGGCTCCCTATGATGGAGAGAATGACAACGGCGAAGCACGAGAGAACGGTGCTATGCGAAGGTCAGCGGCGGATTGCGCATAATCAGGAGGCCGACTGACCAGGTCCATGCATTCAAGGCGGACACGACAGGCTTCATCTCGGCGTGGGCTCAAACAGAGCTCCGGATGTTGGGGTGGTCGGGTGGTAGGAGTTGCCTGCAACGCCACGGAGGCCGACAACAGCAAGGGAACCTCCCGTGGCACAGCTGAGAGGCGCGGTCCGTCCAACAACTATGGAAGAACGGCGGCAAGTGATGGAGGATTCGTGACGTGGATGCGAGGTCGAGAGGGAGAGGAATGGGCATCAGCGACACAGTTCCCATGTAGTATGTGCAGTGCAGTATCAGTGGTTGTCAAGGCCGCGGCGGGTGGGCCAATCAGAGCGGGTGTGGCCTCAGGCCTGAGCCAGTCTTCATCCTGTTTCCGGACTTCATCCCCCCATGACTTGGTCAGCCACTCTCGCAGCAACACATCTCACCTGACCATTCGTTCTATTATACATTCTACATTCCTTCGTCTGGCCCTCTTTCTCTCTTCTCTTCTGTCTCCCCTTGCAGCGTTTCCTCATCCGTTCCCCGTCGCGGTCGAACGTACAGTCCTTCCCAGGCAACCCGACTCTCCTGAATGAGGTGCCGAGGTCACATCACAGTCACACCCGGGCTCGAATCGGTTTCCTCGGCCGCTTCATTGGCGCAGCATTTCCGACGAGGCCGCCGCTCTACTGATGACTGATGTCCCGTAGTGGTCCAAGTCTAGATCTTGACGAGCGTTCTCCGCTCATTCGAGCCGTCAATACGGCACGCAACAGTGACGTCGAAGGGCGGCCTCTCGTGGAGGAGGAAGATGAGTCCTCCGATCCTGGGTCGGAGCGGGAAGAACGATATCTGAACGGCAACCGACCGCCTTCCGAAACCATTGGTTTGGACGACTCGACCCTCGAGCACAAAAATCCCTTGTACCTGATTCTTCTCACCCTCTCCATCGGCGGACTGCAGATCGTCTGGTCGGTGGAATTATCCAATGGATCGCCTTATTTGCTGTCGCTCGGCATGAGCAAGGCTCTTCTCGCCTTTGTCTGGCTTGCCGGACCTCTGACCGGCACTCTTGTTCAGCCGTACATCGGCATTCGGAGTGACCGATGTCGCGTTTCATGGGGGAAGCGCAAGCCCTTCATGATTGGGGGGACTTTGGGAACCGTGGCATCGTCCATGGCACTGGCCTATGCCCGAGACATCGTTCGAGTGGTGGCGGGCCTCGGCCGGGATGCCCCGTACAGCGGTGGCTATCAGACGGCCACCATCATCCTGGCCACCGTCCTGATGTGGTGTCTAGATTTCTCCATCAACACCGGTTCGTGCGATGCAGCTGCTTGACCCGGAAGGGAAGGCTGAAGATAGACAGAGACTGACGATGCTTAGTGCAAGCGGCGATCCGTGCCTTTATCGTCGACAATGCACCATCTCATCAACAAGAGTCGGCCAATGCGTGGGCGTCTCGGATGACTGGCGTTGGCAACGTGCTCGGTTATGTGTTTGGATATCTCAACCTGCCGAGATACTTCCATTTCTTTGGAAACACCCAATTCAAGGTTCTCGTTGTCATTGCCTCGATTGCGCTCAGCTCGACGGTGTTGATCAGTGTCCTCGCCATCAAAGAACGAAATCCGCAACTCGAACCGCCGTCCCGTAAGGATGCCGCTGGCGGGTTGGTGGCGTTCTTCAAGCAGGTGTTTGTCTCGATCCAACGGCTCCCTCCTCAAATCCGCCAAGTGTGCAAAATCCAGTTTTTCCACTGGATCGGTTGGTTTCCCTTTCTGTTCTACATTACCACCTACATTGGCCAGCTCTACGTTGATCCGTTCCTCAAGCCCGGCCTTTCCGACGACGAGGTGGAGAAGCTTTGGGGCAAGGCGACCCGGATCGGGACGTTTGCGCTTCTGATCTATGCCATCACCTCCTTTGCCTCCAACATCATCTTGCCCTTTTTGGTCGTGCCCACGTACCGCGCCCAGCCCGTGGTTGCGGTGGAAGATTTCGATCGCCCCATCACGCCGCCGTCTCGACCTGACATGAGACCACGGAGCTATTCGTGGAGCGAGCATGCCTACAGTGGATCGCAGAGCACTCTGACCTTTGCTTCCACGGTGGAAGAATCACGCATTCGCCGGGACCTCGGCCCGCCACGTGCTGGCTCGGTGCAGAACTGCCTGACGAGGCTCCAAATCCCGGGGTTGACCCTCCGGCGAGCATGGTTGTTCTCGCAACTGTTGTTTTCCCTCTGTACTTTCAGCACCATCTTGATTACCACGCCTCTGGCGGCCAGCATCATGACCGCTCTGGTGGGCATATCCTGGTCGCTGACTCTGTGGGCACCATTTGCCTTGATCTCGGCGGAAATTTCCAAACGCGACGAAGTACGACGCAAGAAGCAGCGACAACGCCTCATCCATGGGGACGATGATTTGGGAGTGGATGGGAATGTGAATGCCAAGGACGAGGAAGAAGATCAGGCCGGGGTGATTCTAGGTCTACACAATGTGGCCATCAGTGCACCTCAGATCTTGGCCACCTTGATCAGCAGTGTGGTGTTTAAGCTGCTACAGAAGCCGCGGAACGAACCTGGGGATGTGAGTGTGGGGTGGACACTGAGGATCGGTGGATTGGCCACGTTGGTGTCGGCGTTTATCACATGGCGAATGAAAGAGCCTGGAGATGAAGACGATGTGGAATGAAAGAGCCTGGAGATTCAGACCATGTGGAATGAACCAACCGGATCGGGGTTGCATATTGGATATTGGATGCGACACCGACAAGGACATGACATGGACATGGATATGGATATGGACATGGACATGCACGGGGCTGGAGGGATGTGGTTCGGGTTCACGGCAAACGGTAGAGTACGGACTACTCTATACGGATACGGATATGGATACGGATACTACCTTGGAGCTGGGCCGCCAGCAGCGACACGGCACAGGAGAAGTGGAATGGAAGTGAAGTGGGAGTTGAAAAGCATGAGTTTCTTACCTTACACTACTGTACTATGCCATTGCGAGCTAGATTAGAGGAGCCTGGGAATCGGAACTGAGAATTGAGAATCGGGAATCAGGATCAGGAATCAGTCAGGGATCAGGAATCAGGATGCTTCGTATGGCAATAGCCCAGCTGAGTGATGGGCGGTCAGCCTCCCTCAGCCTCCCTCATGCTCAGCCTCAGCTTCCGTCCCTGTATCTCTTTTGTTGGGGTTAACATTGACAATGACCATGACAATGACCATGACAATAACAATGTCGTAGGCTCCTGCTCCAAGGTCCGGCTCTAAGGTCCAGGTCCAAGGTCCAACACTGCATAGCACGAGTACGCATAGCACAAGTACTGCACAGTATTAGTAGAGTAGTGAGTAGTGAGTAGTGAGGAGTCAATAGTCAGTAGTGTAGTGACCTACCTACCTAGGTACCAATAAGGTACGGTAAGGTACGGATACTATAGTAAGGTACGGAGTTCTGGAGTAGTGTCAGGCTTCAACCCCGAAGAGCAGCCGTGGAATTCTACATCCTCCGTACTCCGTACATAAGTCTGAACCGAATGGCGCTACAGGTTGCCGATGCCGTTGCCAATTGTCAGGCTAAACTTCGGCAGCGCGATGGACGGGAGATGGGGAACTGGGGACGGCGGATGTGGGTGGACTTATGGACACACTCACACACACACACTCACACTTACAGTAAGTACACACACCAATCCGGGGAGAAGCAACCTAAGGATAAGATGGAGATGGATAAACTATGGCAATATTCTGGTACTGAGACTGGTACGTACATAACATAAGGTACGAAGCAAGGTATATATAGTGGTGGTACCTCCTCCTCTTTTTCCCCGGTGCGGTGAATCTCTTGAACGGATCTGTCTCTCACTCTCACACTCTGCTCTTCGTGTGTGTGTCTCTCCCGGTGAGTGAGTCTGTGTGAGTGTGTATGTGTGTCTCTCCCCTGTATGTGTGTACGTGTGTGTGTGGTTTACAAGGCTCCATTAACTGACTTCAGGTGGGACAGACAGATACAGACAGGTACAGACAGGCACAGGTACATATAGTGATATATTATCACAGTGGCAAGGTATAGGGTATAAGATACTGTACCTATCTATCTACTATTTACTACCTACCTACCTGGTTACGGCGCGGGATTCCTGGAGACGGCACATCATATCGACATCGGATCGACATCGGATCGACATCAATATCGACATCGACATCGGATCTGGACGGCAGTGAACGAACAGGAGTGCTAGCTGGAGATACGTCTACGTTTACATCTGCGTCTGCACATACACATCCCTGGTACTTCTACACTCCTGGTACTTCTTCACACCTGGTACTTCTATACACCTGCTACTTCTACAATGGTCAAAGATATCGTCCCCAAGGCCAAGGCTGGCTTGCCGGCAGATTTCCTTTGGGGCTTTGCCACGGCAGCGTGAGTCTCTCTCTCTCTCTCTCTCTCACACACACACACACACACATCCTCTAACCTATATCTCTCTCCCTCCCTCTCTCCCTCTCCCTCTCTCTCCCTCTCTCCCTCTCCCTCTCTCTCCCTCTCTCCCTGTCACTCTTCTCACACACACACACACACACACACACACATCCTCTAACCTATATCTCTCTCCCTCCCTCTCTCCCTCTCCCTCTCCCTTCCTCCCTCCCTCTGTCCCCACACCCATGTCTCTACACCCAAATCTCTCTCCCTCTCCCTCTTCTCCTACACATCTCTACACCCCACCCCTCACCGTCTCCCTCTCCCTGTCCCGGTTCTCACACATTCTCTCCCTCTTCTCACCCTCTCCCTCTCCCTGTCCCGGTTCTCACACATTCTCTCTCTCTTCTCACCCATATCTCTACAACCCATGAAGGTCATCTCTACGCTCAAAGACCCCTTCATACTCCTCCTATGACACTGGCTCACAGACAACACTAACACCCTCAGATATCAAATCGAAGGAGCCACTACCGCCGACGGCCGCGGTCCTTCAATCTGGGACCAGTTCTGCGCCACGCCCGGCAAAATCGCCGACGGCACTTCAGGCGCCGTAGCGTGTGACTCGTACCATCGCACCGCACAGGACATTGCACTGCTAAAGAAGACGGGCGCCCGAGCATATCGCTTCTCGGTTTCCTGGTCACGCATCATTCCTCTCGGCGGACGCCACGACCCGGTCAACCCGGCCGGCGTGGCATACTACGTCCAGCTCGTGGACGATCTGCTGACGGCCGGCATTGTGCCGTTCGTCACCCTCTTCCACTGGGATCTGCCGGAGGCGCTGTACCGGCGGTACGGCGGGTTTCTCAACAAGGACGAATTCGTGGCGGATTTCGCCCACTATGCCCGCGTCGTGTTTGATGCTTTGGGCCCGCGCGTCAAGCATTGGATCACCTTCAACGAACCCTTCTGCTCTGCCATCCTGGGCTACCATCTGGGCATCCACGCCCCTGGCCACACGAGCGATCGCACCAGGAGTCCCGTCGGCGACGGCAGCACCGAGCCTTGGATCGTCGGCCATAATATCCTGATCGCCCACGCCACGGCGGTCAAGGTGTACCGCGAAGAATTTAAGGCGCAGGCAGGAGGAGAGATTGGCATTACATTGAATGGTATGAAAGAAAGAGATTCCGGGGTGACAGTTCTGCTTTCTTTACTCTGTTCTGGGAAACACCCTTTCTTGCCTCTGTTCTGGCGAATACCCCTGGTTGGCATTATTGACTCTGGCGAATACCCCTGACTGACATTGTCTTGACTCTGTTCCTGGCGAGGCGATGACCCCTAACCCTGGCTGACATATTGACTCTGGCATTAACCCTGGCTGACATTTTTGACTCCAACATTCCTTTCTTGACTTTGCTGTGGCGAATACCCTGACCGGCATGATTGACTCTAACCTTGTTCTCAGGTGACTGGACCGAACCATGGGACCCCGACGACGCCCGCGACCACCTCGCATGCGAGCGCAAGATCGAATTCGCCATCTCGTGGTTCGCCGACCCCATCTATTTCGGCCACTACCCAGCATCGATGGTGTCGCAACTCGGCGACCGACTGCCGCGGTTCAGCCAGGAAGAAAGCCGACTCGTGGCCGGGTCCAACGACTTCTACGGCATGAACCACTACTGCGCCAACTTCGTGCGCCACCGCGACGGGCCGGCCGACGTCCTGGACATTGCCGGCAACCTGGACATTCTGATGGAAGACAAGTTCGGCCGTGCTATCGGGCCCGAGACCCAGAGCGCCTGGCTGCGGCCGCATGCCCCGGGCTTCCGCAAGCTGATCAAGTGGTTGAGTGATCGGTATGGTCGGCCTAAGATCTACGTGACTGAGAATGGGACCAGCATCAAGGGCGAGAATGAGCTGCCTATGGAGAAGATCTTGCAGGATGACTTCCGCGTCGAGTATTTCCGCAGCTATATCCAGGCTATGGCGGAGGCTGTGGCTGAGGATGGGTGTGATTGTCGAGGGTATATGGCTTGGAGTTTGATGGAGTATGTTGTCTTCTTTCCTTGTCTGTCTGTCATACCTTCCCTTCTCTGCCTTGGAGTTTGATGGAGTATGTTGTTGTCTTCTTGCTTGTCTGTCTTCCCTTCCATCTCTTCCTCGGAGTTTGATGGAGTATGTTGTGTCTTGTCTTCTTACCTTGTCTTCTTGCCTTCCCTTCTCTTCCGTGGAGTTTGATGGAGTATGTTGTGTTCTTGTCTTCTTACCTTGTCTTTCTTGGCTTGTATTTCTTCCCCTTCCTTTCCTCTCCTTTCCTTCCCCTCCCTTGTCTTTTTTCCTTCCCTTCCTTGGTTTAGACTGGCTTGGACTGGTTTGGTTTAATTCTCCCTGTGGCAAAATGGCGACGTCGAGGTTCTGTTTCTGTCGAGGTTCTTCCCTGTCGAGTTCTGTTCCTGTCGAGTTCTGTTCCTGTCGAGTTCTGTTCCTGTCGAGTTCTGTTCCTGTCGAGTTCTGTCCTGTCATACTGACATGCCACCTCTCGACCTAGTAACTTTGAATGGGCCGAAGGCTACGAGACTCGCTTCGGCGCCACGTACGTCGACTACGACAACGGACAGCAGCGGTATCCGAAGAAGAGTGCTTTGGAGATTGGGAAGATCTTTGGGCAATATATTGGCAAGGTCTAGTGAATTGTCCAGGTTGGCAAGTCTAGTGTTGAATTGTCCAGGTTGGCAGGTCTAGTGTTGAGTTGTCTAGAGATTGGCAAGTCTAGTGATGAATTGGCTAGGACAGGACAGGATAGGATAGAACAGGTAATGGCTAGAGCGCACTCACTTCCTTATACTAGAGTATCTTATCATACCTACCTAGGTAGACGTCGTCATCTTACTCTGGAGAGTATCTCATCATACCTAGGTAGAAATCGTCATGTAATGTTCTAGACTAGACTAGACTGTGGACGATGACCAATGCCGCATTTGCCACGATGGACTTTGAGATCATGGATACCTTGTAATAGAAAGCGAACTGGACTGAACTGAACACTATACCGCACCTTCGCCAGTGGTTGGTTATATAGGTATGTATAGGGATGTATCGGCCGAAACCCACCTTTGGTTGGTACCTTATGTAGGTACCTATCTGATATAAGTGTTAGCACAGGTACCTACTAACCTAATTACCAGGTATCGATGTTGTGTATGGATACAGTGTACCTCGTACGGATACGGAGTACTGTACGAGCACCGTATCGGCTTCGTATCCGTACTAAGTCTAGGCACCAGCGAGCGAGCCTTAGGCCCGAGGACCTCGAGTACATAACTCCGCACCGAGAATTATTATATTATATATAGGGGGACCTGGTATATGTGCTAGGTACACCGCTACACCGCTACACCGCTACCCTGATATATTTTATTGTATGTATGTATACCTATACCTAGGCTGAACACCTAATACCTACCGTCCGACCGACCAACCTACTACGCTATACGCTATACTACTAGTCATGGAAACCCCCAGCGTCCCCGTCAACTTCGTGCCCGCTACGGCCGGCGAATCCTTCAAACTTGGCACCATCACCATCCGGATCTTGGAGGACGGGTCGAGAACAGGTGAGTTGAGATGAGTCGAGTCGAATCGAGTCAAGCGTTAAGGGCGTGTTTGGGCGTGTTTGGGCGTGTTGCTTGTTACCTACACCTACACCTACATCTACACCTACTCCTACACCTACCATATCCTATCCGACCTACCATATCCTACCTACCATATCCTACCTATGCTATTCTACCATATCCTACCTATGCTATCCTATCCTACTTCCTACTGACTGACTGACTTGTTTCTCAACCAGACAACCGCATCGGCAGCGCAGAGTTTATCGTCCCGCCGCATACTGCAGGGTAAGTTGAGTTGGTCTCATCATATCAGCCTCAGCAAAGCCCCCAGCCTCTAGCGTCAGGACAGGGTTTCCCAATTTCCAGTATGGTCAGGCTCAGTCTCATCTAGCCGGCTAGCTGTACGGATAGCTATATCTGCTCGCTGGCTGGCTAGATGACAGGAGCAGACGCAGAAGCAGAAACTGAACTGGGACTAGAACTGGTACTAGACCTCACGCTGACATTGTTTGAATCAGCCCTCCGCCGCACTGGCATGAAATGGTGAGTAGTGAGTAGTGAGTACTCGGTACTGTTACTGCCAACCGCAACGCAATCCAATCCCCCAAACCACACTGTTGAACGGTCCCAACCCCGGCGCAATCCATTCCCCCTAGACCACCTGCACTCCCCCAGACCACACCGACAGTACCTATATTTCCTAGACCACACCGACATTACCTATTATCCCCCGACAGTACCTATTCCCCAAACCACACTGACATTACCTATTATCCCCCGACAGTCCCTATTCCCCAAACAACACCAACAGACCTATATTCCCCCGACAGTCCCTATTCCCCAAACCACCGACAAACCTATATTGTATGACTAGCTACCTACCTACAAAGTACCTAACTCTTCTTTGTCTCTAGCACGACGAAACCTTCCTCGTCCTCAAAGGCACCCTTCGCTTCCACGCCCTGCACGGCCAAACCATCGACGCCAAAGTCGGCGACTATGTCACCGTCCCGACCCAGTCACCCCATACCTTCAGCAACCCGTACGACGAAGAAGCCGTCTTCTTCAACACCTACACCCCGGCCTTTTATATCAATTACTTCAAGTTGCTGGCCACGCTGGGCGAGGCCGGGAAACCTATGGACCCGGAGGCGAATAGGAAAGCTATGGCTGTAAGTGTTTGACTTTGGGAAGGCACGGCCACAGCCCAGTTCCCTTGATTTCTTGCTTCGTACTTCAATGTGCTTGTTATGTTCAATGTGCTATCATATGTCCTTGTACTTTGGAAGAATGAACCATCCAACAGAGACCCAGCTAACCGCATTTGATGTTCGACAACAGTACTTTGCCACGATCGGCGTCGCCGACGATGAGATGGAGGTCGACAAGGCCCAGTTCTACGGCGAGAAGAAGAAGGAGAAGAAGACAGAGAAGGGGACGGAGACGAAGCCGGCGGGCAAGTGATAGTGATGGGCCGTTGCCTGTCTTCGTCTTTCTGTCTTCGTCTTTGTCATCCTACATTTCTGTCTTCCTCTCTCTGTGTCTTTCTGTCTTCCTCGGTGTCGGAGTCGGGAGTCGGATCTACCTACCTATCTACCTGATTACCTATACGTGCCTACTTGTCTATGTATTTTGGAGGGAGTGGATGCATCAGACAATACTTGATCATACTACATACTAGTATACGATGAGGAAAACCAGAGTCAGAGTCAGAGCCAGGTTCGGTGTCAAAGTCAGAGTCAGAGCCAGTCAGGCTTGGTGGTGTCCAGAGTCAGGCTCTGAGTCAGGTTCGGTGTCTAGATTTAGAGTCAGTCAGGCTTGGTGGTCTGGTGTCTGGTGTCCGTGTCTGGACTCCAATATCCAATATCCAATATCCAACGCAGAGGAGAGCAGAACGGAAACAAGATCCGCCTAATATCAACACCCGTCGTTCCTAACCTGTCACCTCTTTGTCTGGTCTGGATTTAGGATCGAATTTAGCCTTGATTTTGACTTGGATTTCGATTCGCATGTATATACATCACATATGTACGCAGGCACAGACACAGACAGACCCACGAGTTAGTTAGCACTTTCGTGCCCTCGCGTACTGTCAGGGTCTTCGTACTGGCTATCTAGCTGGTTCCTATGGTATAGGATAGGGTAGGATGGGATGGGATAGGACAGGATATGTATAGCGACTGGCGATACCATTGCGCCTTACTTCTCATATCGACGGAAGACAACACAACACACTACTCTGCTCTTCTTTGTTCTTTGACTCACTTTGTTGGTAGCAAGTATAGTAGCTAATTCTGTTACTTGCCTGAATTCAAGCCATTTACTCGTACGCCATTAGACACGTTCTGTTCGCTAGCAGGGACGTTGGATGTTGGCGCTACCTGTCACGAAACGGTAAGAGGTATCTCGCACACAAAAGAGGTATCTTCACGAAACCCATCACAGCTACTATATCGAGGTACCTTTGATGTCTCAGTACTGAGAGACTTGATCCTCAGGCTGTTGTTGTATAATAAGGGCCTGTTCAGTGTTCGGCACCTCTTTATGAATCGTCTTTAGCGAACCGCGTTTCATCGACGTTGTTGGCAGGGGTCCCTCACTATAAAACGCGCTACTCGTACTATTAATCTATCGTCCAAAACAGCGGAAAAACGTGCCCAAAGCCAAGGTAGCCACACCACGGCGTTCTTTAATCTACGGATACTGTACTCCGTACTTCGGACTAGATTTAGATTTGTTATTTTTCTTCTCCTATCATGGCTGACAGCAAGCGTCTCATCATGGCTGACAGACAGCGGAGGCGTCAACTCGCTGCGGCGGCGGCGGCGGCTAGTGCGGCGGCCAACCTGGCGGCCCTGGGCGGATTGTTGGTTATGACGGCTGGAGTTGTGGCGATATTGGAGACGCTGCGGATCAAGCAGGAACAAGAGGAGGAGGAGGAGGAGGAGGAGGAGGAGGAGTGGCTTCAAGCGCGGATCAGTGCAAGACGCGTCGCGGCGCAGTTACGTCGACAGCGCCTTCGGCGAGAGCGTTTACGGCAGTCAACCCATTCAACCCAATCAAGCCATCCAAACCATTCAGGCCATTCAAGCAATTCAAGCCATCCAAGCAATTCAATTCAATCAACTCATTCAACCCAGTCAATCCGGTCAATCCGGTCAAACCATCCAAACCATCCAAACCATTCAACTCAATCAACCCAGTCAACTCAGTCAACCCAGTCAACCCATCCAAGCCCGACTTCACACCTCAGACACAAAAACACCCGCCATACCCATCCCAGTGCCGACACACATACTCGTCACCGCAACTCTGGCCTTGCGCCGACGCAGCTCCGACAAGACCGTAACCACTTGGCGAGTGCCGGTGCAGCCGAGCGGGTGGCCGATTGCACTGCAGTAGACAGGGGATTAGATAGTGATACAATGACAAAGGGGGCAACAGAGAAATGGGTGATTGCTCAGAATGCAATAGCGAAAGGGGATTGCTGAGAATGCAATAGAGAAAGGGGTTTGCTGAGGATGCAACATGATCGCAATGAACGTTGATGTGGATGCATCTTGAATAGGCCCGCAACTTACATGGCTCCACCACGGACGTTGACTTTGTTCACGTCCAGACCGAGCTTTTCCACACAATAGACGTACTACAAACCCCAAGAGTCAGTTCCAAGTCCAAGTCGACACAATACAATCGATTCAGGGGTAGGGTAGGGTGCGGGTGCGACTGCTCGAAGTCGACAGAATGCAGAGGTAGTGTGCGTGCTCGCAAATGGTGCTTGGCCAGACGCTGAACACCTGGCTCACGGGTAGATGCCACATCAAGACCGCCCTCGCCCTTGCCCCGTTGCCTCGTTCGCCTGAATGTTGCACTCACCATCGACGCAAACGCTTCGTTGATCTCCCACAAATCAACATCCTCCCTGGTCAGACCGGTCAAGCCCAACACTTTCGGAATGGCCAGGGATGGACCAATGCCCATGATACGCGGCTCCAACCCGACCACCGTGCTGGTGACATATTTGGCCATGATGGGCTGGCCCAGCTTCTCGGCCGTGGAGCGCTTCATCAGCAACACTGCCGCGGCACCGTCTGTGACCTGAGACGCGTTGCCGCCCGTAGTGGTTGGACCCCAGTGCGGGAAAGCCGGCCTGATGGTGGAGAGACGGTCGTAGGTCGTGCCCGGCCGGATGCCGTCGTCCTGGTCGACGGTGATGGTGCGAGCCTCGCCAGTCTGGGGATCGACCCACCGAGTGGTGACAGGGGTGATTTCGTCGGCACTCCAGCCTTGTGACCGTGCACGTTCGGCCCGGGTGTGAGACATCTCGGCGTAACGGTCCTGGGCCTCGCGTGAAACGTGGAAATCACGAGCCACGTTCTCGGACGTCCAGCCCATGGGCTGCAGGTTATCCCTGGCCACCGGGTGTGAGGTGATGGCGTCGCTTAGAACGGGCGGTATGTCTTGGTGGCTCGACATGCTCTCGCAGCCCACGGCGATGCCGACCTGGATGGCCCCGAGGGCGATGGCGCCGGCGATGGTCTGGATGGCCAGCAAGCCCGACGAGCAGAACCGACTCGCCACGCTGGCCGCTGTGCTGACAGGGAAGCCGGCAGCCAGTACGGCGCTGCGGGCGTGGAAGCCTGGGCCCGGCGTCAACACGTTGCCCACGCACACGTCTTCCACCACATTGGGGTCGATGCCGGATTTCTCCCGGACCGCCCGTAGGATGTGGATTAGCAGCTCTTCCGTCGGCGTGTCTTTGAGTCCGCCTTTGCGTGCCTTGGTCAACGGCGTGCGGGTGGCGTATGTGATGACCTGTGGCCAGAATGAGAGTGTTAGAAAGGACGAGAAAAAGGAGAATCATGGTCATGGTCATGGTCGGCGCAGGAGAGTGCTTGGGAGGCTGCTGGCTGCTGGCTATTGCCTATGGCCTGTACTGTACAATATCATCTTCCTTCTTCTCCAGGATCTTCTTCAGTCCGGGTGACGGTGGCGCCGGGGTATTACTGGCGGCCGAGGTGAGGTGGCCGGCGAGGGCGTCGAGTCGTTGATGGGCGGGCATTATTGCGGCTGGACGGAGGAGAGGAGGAGGAGGGGAGAGACAAGAGAGTAGGATACATAGGGACACACTGGATGCTAGAGAAACGACCGACCGAAGAGTGAAACATATCAGGGTGAAGCAACCGCGGTACAGTATTGTGTCTGAAGTCTCGCACTGGCACTGGCACTGGCACTGGCACTGCCTGGATCAACTGCCGACGACTACAACCACCGTACCAGTACCACCCACCTCCCCACCTCCAGCTTCGTCTTCCCTCCATGTACCAGTATCGTCTCTCCTCCTTCGTCGTGAGCATGGCTGCCTGGGATATGTCCCTGTCCTGTCCAGGGCAGACAACCACCTGCTGTCTCATCTACCGAACCCTACCATCCCGGGAACTACTCTGTACATAGTACATACTCTACCAGGCCACAGCCCCGATTGCCGCTTCCTGCCTCCGGCTCCTAAGGCCCTAATGCCTCCGTGGGGGATTGCCGCCCCATCATTCTCCCCCATTTCCCCGGACCGAGACCGAGACCGTGCACGGAAGAAAACCCCAGAGTCCACTCGCAGTCACTGCTTGACCACCCCTAAGAAGTATCGCCTGTCGATCCGTCATTGCAGAATATCGGCAGATCCGTCTGCTTGATGCGCCGAGGCACGCACGACTGGCCGCAACAGTAGCTGGGATGGCATATCATAACATAACATAGCATTGCATATCATCTACAGTAGTCTGGCTCAGCCAGCCTTTCTGCTCGTTTCAAACATAATACATCACCATCTGGATACTTGGCTACAGCCCTGTCAAGCATCACGACCATTGTGCCGGTGCTGGAAGCAATATTGTCAGGTCCCTCGGTCTGGTTGTGAGGGAGAGGACTCCAGCCTTCATAGGCACGGTTGTCCAGTACACCCACAGCCGGCGCTCAACAACCATCTGGTTGACATTGCAGTGTGTCCTTCGTTGAGTCAACCATCATGGCCACACTTGCCGCCTCAGCAGCTGCCGCAGCCGCAGGCCTTCTATACGCCGACCACGCCCTCGGCGTGTCACGCGACATCGCGCAGTACCGCCTCGACGCCTCGTTCGCAAACCGCTTTCCACAGTTCCTGGCCAAGCTCGGCCCTCAATCAACACACCTGTATCGAATGCTCGAATTGGCCGAGCCTACAGCCGATGCAGTCTGGTTCGAAGGCCGGTCATGGAACTACCGCGCCGTGAAGCAGCAAGTCGATGAACTGGCCGTTGCACTGCATCAGGATTTGCACGTCAAGAACGGAGATATCGTCGCCGTATTCATGACCAACTCTCCCGAGATGCTGTTTACCGTGTACGCGTTGACCAGACTCGGCGCGGTGCCAGCCCTGCTCAACAACGCCCTGCGAGACGAGACTCTGTTGCATTGTGTGCGCTTGCCGTCCTCAGCTTTGATCCTGACCACACCTGATCTGGCCTCACATGCTGCATCGGCGGCCAGATCGCTAAGCGGGGCCGTCAAGACCGTTCGTTTGAACTTGGGATCCTTCCGACCGATAGGCGATAACAGTGGCGGCGACGACGACATTGTGGATTTCCCTCTCCCTTTCGCCGACCAGTCACACCCACAACTCCCTGTTCTTCCACCCACACCGCCGAAATCCTTGGCCTCGGTCGCCGCCTTGATCTATACGTCCGGCACAACGGGTAAGCCCAAGGCGTGCAGAGTCAAGAACGCCTTGATTTGCGCCGTGTCGTGTAGGTCGTCTATTGACCACACCAACCCGAAAAAATACCTCCAGAGCTTGCGCACCTATTCATGCATGCCGCTTTTCCACGGCACCACCTTCTTTACCGGCCTCTGCTACAGCGCGGGCAACAGCGGCTGTTTCTGCATGGCGCGACGCTTCTCGGCCCGCAATTTCTGGAAAGACGTGCACGAGAGCCGGGCCTCGAGGATTCTGTACGTCGGTGAACTGTGCCGCTTCCTGTTGGCCACACCGCCAAGCCCGTACGATCGTGACCACCGAGTTCTCGTGGCTGCGGGCAATGGGTTGCAGAAGGACGTGTGGATTGCATTCCAGCAGCGCTTCCGCGTGGACGAGGTGCGCGAGTTTTACCGCTCCACCGAGGGAATGGTGAAGTTCGACAACGTCCATCGCCGCGGCCGCCCGGGAGCAGGTAAGGTCGGCTATATGGGGACACTGAGGAAACGGGTGCTCGACAAGGACCAGTGTATCGTCAAGTTCGACTATGAGTCGGAGATGCCGGTGCGCGATCCCACCACGGGCTTCTGTTTGGTTGCTGACCGTGGCGAGCCCGGCGAGGCCATTGCCCGGATCCACAACATGGACACCTATACTGACTACCACGCCAACCGGCCCGCCACCGAGCAGAAGCTGCTGCGCGACGTGTTCGCCAAGGGAGACCTGTGGCAGCGCAGTGGAGATTTGCTGGTCCAGGGGACGGATGGTTGGGTGAAGTTTGTCGACCGTATAGGCGACACGTATCGCTGGATGGGCGAGAACGTGTCGGCCGGCGAGGTGCGTGGATATATTTCGGAATTGCCCGGTGTCAAGGATGTCGTGGTGGTCGGCCGTCGGCTAGAGAAGTATGATGGTCAAATAGGAACGGCGTTGATTGTGCTTGATTCAGGGGGTGAGAAGGATGAAGACGACCAAAGACCAAAGAAGCTGGTAACCGAGCTCAAGAGCCATCCCGAAAACCAAAACAGGAGAAGAGACGACCCGGGGCAGCAGCAACAGGAGCAGGGGCAGCAGCTGGAGCTGGAGCTGGAGCTGGAAAACGAAAAAGAAACAATAGCGACATTCATGGCCCTTCTGTTCCACCGACTCCGCGCAAAAGGCGTCCCACGCTACGCCGTCCCACGCCTCGTCATGGTCCGCGCCGGCCTGAATCCGATCGATGTAGGCGACACCTTCAAGCACGCCAAGACGGTGGTCAAGAACATCCACTGGGGCCCAGATGCGAGTGTAGATGCGAGTGCCGGTGGGAGTGCCAGTTCGAGTGCCAGTGCGAGTTCGACGGCATGTCAGGTGGATGGCAGGCGGTACTTTCTCGATCTTGACGACGAGTGTTTCAAGCCGCTGGATGGGCACGCGTGGCCGAGAATCGAGCAGGGCAAGGCGAAGCTGTGATGGCGTAGGGAACAGTGCGGTAACAGAAAACAGGTAATATATATTAATATGAAGTGGTAGTGAGAACAAAAGAACATTGACCAAAGACTAAAAGAGACAGTTGTGATGTGTGATGTGTGATGCGACGTATACTATACCTATACCTAGAGGGCCTGGCCTATACAGTCTTCGTCTTCGTCTTCGTCTTCGTCTTCGTCTTCGTCTTCGTCTTCGTCTTCGTCTTGTTTCCTCGTGACCGACGCGCCCTTCTCTTCGTCTTGTTTCCTCGTAACCGACGCGCCCTTCTGTTTCGGACCTTGACGCTGGGTCGAAGGCGAAGTCAAAGTCGAAGTCGAAGTCGAATTCAAGTTCAAGTCGGCCGTTCAGGTCGGATCCAATCGACCAACATCCTCCCATCGCTCCTAACGCCATCGACCGACGACGAGACTGTGATTTCACGCGTCCCGTCCGAGTATCGCTCTCGAGGGCCATTACTATTACTAGTACTGGTTCTGCGTCCTAGGGCTGGGTCTGAACCGGAACCGGAATCGGAACCGGAACCTGAACCTGAACCTGAGCCTGATCGTGGATCGGAACCTGATGCTGACCTGGAATCTCTCATGCTTTCACTGAGTCGTTTGGTATCTTTTATGCTTTCACTAAGTCGTCCAGTATCTTTCATGCTCCTGAGTCGTCTGGTAGAGGCAGAGGAATTCGCAGTGGCTGTGGCAGCGGCAGTGGACTGTCGGCGCGACATGGTAGATGTAGATATGGCCACGGTCTGGCTCGATGGACTGGTTGCTGGAGACGATGTTGTGGACGGACGTCTCTTGCTTCCACTCGACCCTTTGGTGGAAATTTCTGAGCTCTGCGATCGGAAGGACTCTTGATTGGTATCGCTGCTACTTTCAGGAGAGGACTCTGAGCTCTGAACTGGATGGGTCATGATGCTGCTTTCAGTAGAGCTTGCGTTTCTTGTCATGCTGCTGCTTTCGGTGGCCATTGCCGTTGTCGTTGTCCTCACACTCATCTTTCCCCCTCGTCGACTTCTTGGCTGCTCGTGGTCGCGGTCGCGGTCATGGTCACGGTCATGATGGATACCTAGCGTCGCCGGACCCCACCGCGCAGTGTACCCCTTCCACACGGCTTTGACTTTCCGATCGCGCCGTCTAATCATCGATTTCAGCTGGTTTTCCATCTCGACGATGCTCCGGATGTGGCTGCGAGAAAGGCGGATATTCAATCCCACTATACAGGTGCTAGGCGCGGTGTCGACGACGGATGCCGATGCCGATGCGGTCGACTCATGTCCTGACTCGGGAGGCTGCGAAGATGCCGACTCGATGTCTTGCTTCAACAGGCTTAGTCGCTCAGTCAGTTCATCTATATTGTCTGCATATTCGTCGAGGATCGCGGACTCGGCTTCTCGTCGAGCTGCTGAATCACAATGACCGCAAGAGCCCTGGATGATATAGATGTAGTTGTTCGGTACGCGAGTCAGGGGTTCCTTTGCAGGAGACACACGCAGGTAGAGTGGAGGGTATGCGAGGAGATCGTCATGGTATTCTGCCAGAATGGGCTGGACGTTGAGAGGTCGCGACACTGGAGGACTGGTGTGAGGGCAGGTGGTGAAGTGGTAGGTCTGAGCATATGCGAGTTCAGGGTCTGGCAAGTCGGTGCTGGAGGTGAGGGATGGCGCTGAGGACGATGGCTGCTCTTTAGGTTTATCCGAAAGTCCTGTCAATGCGGATGCGGATGTGTTTGTAGTTGTGTATGAGAATGATATATTACTTGGACAGCCACGAGATTGCATACCAACAGCATGGGACTGTGGCGTAGGGAACGACTGTGGGCTTGATGTGTGACTATCCCTGTCCAGCCTAGCCTCCGATCGTGAGCGCTGCCTTACTGGACTTCTTGGAGAAGACGTCTTGATGATGAACGAAGAGAACAATGCTGTTGAACTTGAGGCTAGCATTTTGGACATAGTGTTTGCCATGGGGCCTGCTGACTTCGCATTGTCCCCAATTGTCAATGTTGCTGCCGAGGGATGATCAGACCCTGGAACGTCAACCGATCTGGGAGAATGACCTGTCCTATCCGAGGAGTGGTTCCGCTTGGGAGCGATGGGGGCACTACCCATGCTAGCTGTCTCCTTCCAACTGCTGAGAGGATAGTAGTGTTTTGACCTTGACGAGCGAAGCGGTGTTCGATCCTGTGGATGCACCGGGAAGGTTTTCCTTGGAGAGATCTGTGGCTTGTTGTCAGCTCGTCCTGCAGTAGCAGGAGTAGTGGGATATCCGAACTCTTCTTCCATGCTTCCAGCCGACTCCGCTTTAAGAGACTCGCCACGATGTCGGGACGGTGATTTGGTAATAGTAACCCTGGTCGTGGTCGAGACAGTGTCGGTGGTAGAGTCCGATGACCGGCTGCGGCAGCTGGCTGAGGTCTCTTCGAGTGGCTGATCAAATCCGCCTATGGCGATTCGATGGTTATGACGGGGAATTGGTCTTTGGGGATTTGAAGTGAGGACACAACCCTCGTTAGCTGGCAGTGGTAGCCTATGATTGTCGCTGTTCATGGATAAGCAGAAGATCGGAAGATGCGAGAGCTCCAGTCGAAATTCGGGGAATTCGTTGCTCAGTATCGGCACCAGAGTCCGCAAATATTGTGTCTAAGCTGACCTGCAGTTGATATTGTCTTTTCGTTCTTGAATACTGCTTGCAAGACAGGAGCGATGTGCCTTGCGTTTTGTGGTGTCTGTGAAAACAAAGACATTAGAGACAGAGCACATTGTCTGAGTCGGCCTTAACAAGGCCATTGTGCGATGTTTATCCTTCGCCCACAGTGTGGACAAAGGCTACAATCTTTGTCTCTGATGCCATTGTTCAATCTGGAACACCTCAAACATGACCTGCACTTGCTCGTATTTAGCGATTGCTCGAAAATGGCTGGTGGGCAGAAATAGCGAGTACCAAATAGCGAGTTTGACGTTCAAGGCCGTCATTTCGGCTCGATATCGCGTGTCAGCCGGATGTGCTGGGAATCCGATGAAAGAGATCCACCAAATGTAGCTCCATCGGGTTGACAATACCTGCTTTCGTTCTCAATCCTCTTCGACACTCCCGGTCAAGATGACTCTCATGTTCAGGCGCCATCGAGCAACTTCGTGCTCAAGAGCATTCAATTTGGCGGCCACGCTTAACAAACTAGGGTCGCTAGTCTCGACGCGGATCTTTTCACGCACAATGACCTCTTGCCTCCCACGCCATTCAAAGACTTCCCCCATTTCATCGTGGTTTGGGGGTCTAGGACCCATTCCCAGTAACTTTGAACGTAGACTGAACCCCGACAGCGAGAACGCTGAGTCCAAGGAGGTGCTTGGGGTTCCGCCGGGGGAGGTGGGAGCCAGGGTCCTGACCGTGAGGACAAGGTTGGCATCTTGAATGGTGAAATGGAGACTTAGATAATCTCCCAGGGGAGGTTGAAAGATGTTTTCATCGGGACTATTGAACCACCATTGTGCACCTGGAATTGAATCTAGATCTGCGCCGGTGACGGGTCCTTTCAGACAGGCCTTTGCCTCGCGAAGATTGTCGTGCAGCAACTTGAGCTGGCCGGCAATGAAGGACGAATCGGTGGACTGGCCGGTCCATCGAGAAACATCGATAATGTCCAGCGAGTCATTGATCAAAGATTTGATGGCGGACAATTGTAGCAGTGGAATGTCCGAGGACGACGAGGAAGAGTGAAAGATGTGGCGGGTTGACGGGGTGGATGTTGTAGTGCCTCTGGGCGTGTTGGGAGGCAGAGTAGTCAGACGCAGGTGAATGTCCTAATAGAATAAGTTGCTGAGGAACACAGGGCAATCCACGGCCTGGGTGGTTACACACTCACTCCTTTCACAAGTCTCGTGCCGACTCTGGTCACGAAGCCTTTGACGCTTTCGGACCGCAACGAGGACAGAACCAAGGTCGATCCCGGTTCTTTTGGTGCCAGCAAGGCGTCACACTCCTCAAGACCCTCCTTCAGAGCCACCAGAGAGTGCTGCAGGGATTCTAGAAGCCACCGAAGCTCGAGCCTCTGCCCGATCGGTCAGTTTCTGTCTAACATTGATCGGGTTTGGTCAACCGTACCAAGCACTCTTCCTCTGCTTTTTGGAGCTCACCATGGGGTACGGGAGGGTAGACCCAGGTGGACATGGTGAGAGCAGAGTGTCGAATGGAATCAACTTGAATGGAAGTTCAAGGTGCAACGATGAAGGCGATTGGAGTCGTCGTCCTGGGTTTGCACTCAGGCTCAGGCTGCGCATCAGTCAATCAGGTGAGGAGGGCAGAAACAGCCGGAGAAGAGAGTTGCGCTAGTGAAAGCTAGAGAAAGGAAGCTAGCTGGTTACGGATTAGGGTCTCCGATTTCTTGTTTTAAGATGCTCCGGTGCTCTAACTCAGCTGGGAGTTGGCACCCACTCGGGCACTGATGACGCAATGGCACTTGACAGCAAAAGACAATGAGATTACCACCTACGTATTATTATTATGATTGTTATTTGTTTTGGCTGCGCTGAGAGCTCGAGAGCTGAGCTCCCCCATTACGGCCCATTACGGAGTACGGAGTATTCTATCCCACCACTACCCAGTGTAGTGCCGCACTACTCGCTCCACCGTCCATTGGCATTCTGGCTGACTGGCTGAACCCCCCGGGGCGTCCTTAGCTGTCCAGGGACACCCAATCTCCATCGTCCGGCTCTGCTAGGCGTTGCTAGGCGTGTCTGTTTCCCACTGCGGGTGTCGTCTGGTGGTGTCGTAGGGGCGAGTGACCTCATCCAAGACCATTGCAGCACAGATCCGTCATCACCCTACTACATCACAGGCACCCAAGGCACAGGCCTTCTTAAACAAGCACACTCAATAATGCCTTCTTCTGTCTTCCACACCATCACCCATCAGCTTCACCAACTCACGTCGACACTCTCGCTTCACCCACTCTAATTTCACCCTTACCTTCGCCTACGCATCCCATTCAAGCTCCCAGACTCCCAGACCGACCTCAACCCTCACGCGTCCCTCGCGCGAACGCCTAGCAAGCTTGCTCCCGTTTTTATTCGACTACTAGTATCCCATCAGACCTGCGCAACATGGCAGTCCGTGAGTGACCACCATTCCAATTGAAAATCTTGTCTACCTCGATACTAACTATACATGACATGCAGGCTCGCTATTTAGTCTGGTTTCCCTAATCATCCTCGCCGGAGGCCTTCTGTTCATGTTCTTCATCTTGCTGGCTGGCGCAGTTCAAGATTCTCCGCTCAACAAATTCTACCTCCTCCAGGCGGACACTGGCAACATACCGGGGGCACCCTCGGTCTCGCGATGGTCCTACTGGAACGTCTGTGGTGTGCAAAACGGCCGCACCGTGTGCGGTGATCAACACTACGAAGATGTACACCCGGCATTCCCGCTTGACCCTGCCTCGCACCGCAACTTCGGCACCACGGTGAATGTGCCGCGGAGCTTTGTCCGCCACCACGGCTACTACTTTTATATGACCCGATTCATGTTTGCCTTTATGTTGATTGCCCTCTTTTTCGGAGTGTTCGCACTGTTGACCGGACTCCTGGCCCTGTGCACCCGACTTGGCAGCTACCTAAGCGGACTCTTGACCACCATTGCCTTGTTCTTCCAGACAATCCAAGCAGCCTTGATGACGTGAGTATCGATTTGAACCGTCAGAGTCTGATTTAAGCTAACCAAATGAAACAGGGCTGCGTATGTCAAGGGTCGCGACAACTTCCGCAAGAACGGACAGGCCGCGAACATCGGGAAATATGCCTTTGGGTTCGAATGGGCCGCTGTTGCTTGCTTCCTGATCTCCACGGTTTTGTTCTGCATGGCCGGTTCGACACGTCGAGAGAAGACTCCGAAAGCCAAAAAACAAGGACGTGGATTTTTCCGAGGACGACGAAGCCGGAGCACCCGAAGCAGAGGAAGCTTTTTCCAGGAGAAAGAGTACGGGGTATAAACCACGAACATGAGAAATCCCCGAGGCGAGGCGTGGCGAGTATGCGATGGGGGACGTGGAAGTGAAGTGTGATGTTGAAAACAAAACCAGGGCGCTTTTGTACAGGTTTCGGGGTCTTCATTCAGATCTATGACCATGATTATGAGGAGTACGAGGAGTTATGTACGAGGCCATCGAGACCGGAAGTGCCTGCATGTGAAGGGCGTTGTGATGGCAAGTTACTAATAGGTAGTGTTTATTCTAATGTTTGTTTTCTTCTGAGCATCGGAAGCGGAACCAGAATTGCAAAGAAGCATGCTTGACCCGGATTCTATTGCACCTCTTGCGAGGGCGAGGGCTATTACGCACCTGTGCTGTCATCCTCCTCTCTACCTCTATTCTGTAAGTGAGAAGAGGAGAGAAGGTTCCGGAGACGAGAGGCAGCGCGATGGTGACAGCCCATCATGAACCGAACCAGACTTTGACCAAACTTTAAATCAACAGCGTCTTTGAAATTTGCTCCACCTGAAAGAGTACCGAGTCCAAATATGTATCACCACAACTCCTTCAACTCCTTCCACCATCCGACCATGCCACCCACACCGGGGTCTTGAGTATTCATCCGTACATCTCTGACAGGGACAGTGATCCGCAATCACCCATTCCTTCCTTCAGGCTTCGAGCTCAAAACTGTCGGAGCGAGACTCCTCGGCTAGTATATCGTGTCAGCTGCGGCCACCACAGGCAGTCAACGTGGTCAGACCACGGATACTCACTGCGAAAGCCTCGCGCAGCATAGTACGCAACCTGTACCAATGCGCCGAGGGCCACGATGGCCATGAAAATTCCAAACACGATCGACACAATGACTTCGGGAGAGAGGTGGGCCATACTGAAGGCGTCGGATGGCTGAGGCTGTGGGCAGATACTCGGTGAATGCGAGGCAGTTATCAGGTACTCCGTGAATGCTCAAGATTGTGCCCGCAGCAGACGAAAGTGGAGACGTGTTGCGATAGGACCGTACGGCAAGACTTCTCCGCGCAAGACTGAATGGCCAGAGACAGAAACAAAATCGAAGTTGGTCGGGCTGTGATTGGCGATGGACAGGGAAGGACACCCAATGATCTCCCACTTGAGAACCGCACCAGAGACTTGAAGGTTCCAGCGACGGTTCTTCAAGGGCAACAACCCAGCGTGAAACGGTGGGCGATTGGGCGATTGCCTGCAGAGCGAGTGAGGCTTGGTGACGTCGGTGGAGTGGCTTGGGGGCTCTGAAGCACGAAGACCGAGCTGTCAGGGCGAGTCGAGGTATGTATCCGTACTCCGTATATGTTCTGCTCTGTCAAGGTGTTTTATGGTGAAGATTGGCGGGAGAGAGTGAATGTTCTGCTTGGAAACTTGGCCTGCTATGCTCTGCATGGTGCCTGAGAGATGGGAGATGCTCTCTTTATACTCCGTACAGACAGAACAAATCGTGAGAACGACTTTTGCGCGAACAAAGATCGGGACCCATGGCAAGCCAGGAGGCCAACCAGGCACATATCGACGCGGCACTCTGATTTGCCCAAATCGAGGCAGTTCTCAGGGTCCTCAGGGTGTTCACGAGATCATACAAGCTTGATACGAGAATATACAGTCAACAAGGGCCATCGAAGGCAGATTGCTACGACTGACGACCTAGTGGGATGGGACGGCGAGTATTGGAAATACGTGCAACGACTTTTGCCTTGTGGTGGCTGAGCCTTTTAGTACGGAGTACGGACACGGAGTACTACGGAGTATCCTCCGTGCGGCGATGCCACGCTTGTCCAGCCACGGCTTAGGCTCAGGCCTTAGGCGACTCCTACATAAGCCCTGAGGCTAAGGCTACACGGGCGCCGGGAATACTCTTCCCAAAAGTGTTCCGCTGCAGCACCCCGGACACTCGCATTGAGCCTGGGCGGGATGGACTACAAGTTTGTTCGGTATCACTGGAAGGCTGACGGGCGTGGGTGACTGGTGCAACCTGCCAGCACCACAGTGCGACCTGTCGACCAACCGCCGCGCCAACGCCTATGCCCATGAAGAGGAAAGTGACAAGATGGAATAATCGTTATCCATTATTATTGCCAGGCCGAGTCAAACATAACCATGTCTGCCACCTAGTCTGCGGGCGATTGGCCGAAACCCCTGGAATCGCCACTACTATTACAGATTGTCCGCGTCAGATAGTCAGATGTCCTCCTTCTCTTTTAGAAGATGGCATCAGCACGACGAGCTAGGTTACGTATGCATGCATGCATGCAGCATCTATCTAACAGCTCCAGGTTCCCCCTGAAGGTCTTGGAAGTTGATCAAGTTTGCAAAGTCAATCCGACATGTCGAAAGGGCGCAGGAATGCGCACCAGCCGACGTCACAATCACCATCTAGAGGTGAGAGCAGTGAGTGAGTGACAAGGTGAGGTCGACGATTGCCGACAAATAATGGTTAAGTAGGCTGCTGAGCAGGCAGCAGCTTGGGGCACAAGTTTTATTGAGCCTTACACATCCGTACAGAATGGAAGTACGGATACACTCCTCCTCCTCCTCCTCCTCGTTAGTCAGGTCACCACGATCATAAGATCCGTACAGAGTACGGAGTACTCGTACTTGTGGTCATTGAACCCAGCAACCTGATTAATCCTTTGTGGGCTTAGGGGCCATGGCTAGATGCGTCACTCCAGCGCCAAAAAGTACCATGTACTGACATACTGTACCAGGACCAGGGTGTTGCCTGAATTTCAGCCAGCATCAGCTAGCCTGCCAATTCCCTGTCCTCGTTGCTGGCTTACTGTAGGCTTGGCTGTTCAGTTCAGTGCCCTAGGGACCACAGTACGGAGTACGTACGTAAATGCAACAAACAGTATCTATACTGCTTTGCTTTGCTTTGCTTGTACGCTGTCCCAAGGAATGAATGGATGAATGAATGAAGAGCGGGAGTGGGAGTGGGAGTGGAATGACGAACGATTCAGGCATGCTACTTGAAGAGAGTGCGGATAGTCTTGTGGGGTCGAAAACATGAGAGATGAGAGATGATGGATGAGAGATAGTGGAACAAACACTTTCATGCCAAACCTCCATTCCTATTCTACGAGAACCTAGCAGAGCATGTATTTCCTTTCCCTTGATTGCTTTTCCGGATAGTGTTGACTGAGGTAAGGACTGATTGAATATCCGGGATTCCTTGACGACTTGACTTGAACAGGCTGAATCTCCTCTTGACTTCTGAATATCCTCCTTGACTTCTGAATATCCTCCTTGACTTCTGAATATCCTCCTTGACTTCTGAATATCCTCCTTGACTTCTGAATATCCTCCTTGACTTCTGAATCTCCCCCTTGACGACCTGACTTGGGCCAGGCTGAATACCTCCTTAAAGACTTGACTGGGACAGGCTTAATCTCCTCCTTGACGACTTGACTTCTGAATATCCTCCTTGACTTCTGAATATCGTCCTTAACGACTTGACTTGGACAGTCTTAATCTCCTCCTGAATGACTTGACTTGCCTGACAGCCTTCTCCTCCTCACTTAACTTGCGACTGCAGCTGAGCCTGGAGTTCCTTCCAAGTCGTGCTGACAATCGGACATCCCACACCGCTTCCCGCGCCTCCCTTGAAATTCTGGAGGGTGACGATACACGTCTGAAGACGAGTGAGTTGGTCGGCCGCCGAGGTTCCTGTCATAGCCGGTGTATGTGTCAGCAAGACAAGAAGACGATTCATGCAGCAAGACAAGAAGACGATTCCTGATTCATCACAGAGCAAGAGTAAGACTGACCAGGTGGAAATGCCGCTCCTCCTGCCACCGAGTCTTGGACGGCTTTGACAAAGGTGGCCGTATCTGGTGGACAATCGCATCTGCTGGAAGTCAGAACCGGGCCTGTGCCGTGCCAGATGGCATCAATCACTCACGGAATGGCGATCTTGTTGTCCCCCACGCAATTGGCAGTTCCATCGTTCGCTTTCACACCAGCCGTGATATCAAAGGGAGGGATGAGAGAGGCGTCCACCGAAGAAGAGCCAGCGCCAGCGGGTGGGGATGGGGAGGCGGTCGACAATATCCCAGTCCCAGTACCAGCACCAGTCCCAATGCTGGCGGTTGTGTTTGCACTCGCGGCTGCTGCGGCGGCAGAGGTGGTAGTGATGAAGGTACTGGGAACGTTGCCGCCGCCATGGCTGAAGCCAGCTCCGCCTCCACCTCCGTCTCCGTGGTGCTTCCTTTCAGCCAGGACAGAAGGGGCTTGGAGCAGGATGGTGGCCAGGATGCACACCACGGCGGGGTGCATCGTTGCGAGCCTCATCTCGTATATTAGTGGGAGTGTTTTCGGTAGATTGTGAACTGTGGACCAGCCTGTAGCCACACGGTCAAGTGTATCCAGATCCAATAGTCAAACAAGCTAGTCGCAGTCGAGTGGTGCCCAGCACGCACACGCGGGTAATGTCAAACCGCGGGGAGAGAGAGAGAGAGCGACAGAGCGAGAGAGGAAGCGAGATGAGATGCAAAAGATAGGCGCCAAAATAGACTGGAGAAGAAAGAACTAAAAACCAAGCCCGAAACAAAAGGGAACGAAATGGCACGGCCTGCGCGCACAGTGAAGGAGTGAAGGAAAAATCGAACCAAGGCAACGTGGATGTATGGTATCGAGTCAGTTGCGAGTATAGGCTGAGAACGAGGACGAGGACGAGGACGACGATTGCTATATGTAGTGATGTCCTGTCTTGCCCACCTGCTTTCTGCATGCATGCGTACGTACACTGTCCATATGTCTGTCAGGAGTCGGAGTCGCCCTCGCCCTCGCGCGCTGCAGATCCAGATTCAGATCCTGATCCTGGTCATGGAGGGAGATTCTGGCAGCCACAACGCGGTGCCATGGTGTCGGTATCGGTGTTGGTCTCGCCCTCCCCTCGCCCTCGTGGACTGTATCACGGCTGTCGGTGATTTCTCATCCGCATTCGAGGTATTGGAGATAAGAGATCGGTTTGTCCCCCCTGGATGTGGATGTGATGTGGTGTGGTGGGCACCAGATCACACATCGCATGCGTTCTCCGTAGGCTGTAAGCGCGCGAGAAGCGAGAGGGAGAGGGAGAGCGAGAGCGAGAGCAAGAAGCAGACAGACGGAAAGGGAGTCTAGAGTCTGGAGTCCAGAGAGGGCGAGGGCGAATAATGAGGAGGTGGGAGGTCTCGTCTCAGGTCTTGTGTTTCAGGAAGCCGACGTTGGTGTTGGTGGTGGTGGTGGTGTTGGTGTCGGAGTCGGCGGCTCGCCAATCGCCCACCACTCAAGTCACTCATTCGATCCCTTTCACCGACTGAGCATCTGAGATACACGACCACGACTACGTCCGCACTCCGTACTCCGCACTCCTATCGAGAGACCTCCCTCTCTCTCTCCCTCGCCCTCCACACACTTTCCATGCATGGATTCATGCGACAGGGGCCGCTACACATGAACCTGTGCCATACCTGACGATGCAATGGCATTGGTCCTCGCTCTGGCTCTCGGCATGAAGACGCGAAGTTAGAACCTGCGAAGATTCAAGATTCAAGATTCAAATTCCTTGAAATCGAGCAGCCGTCGCGCCGCGCAACGCAGGACTAGATAATTAGGTCTACAGAACAGCATCTCGATAGCCTATCCACCTGGATAGACAGGCAGGCAGGCGCCTAAGACCCCTAGGGGCTGTTGTGGTCTGCTGATTCTCGGGCAGGATAGGATACATGGGACGATCGAGGAGAGGAGAGGACAAGTCGAACAGGGTACAGTATACACTATGCGTGCGACCAGCCTCCAGGTGAGAGACGGAAATGAAAGTGACTTCTCAAGCAGCCTGGGTGTCTGTTGTCTGTTATCTGTTGTCTGCAGTCGAGATTTCTCATCGGCATTCAACACGCAACAGATACCAGATACCGCAAAACAGACACAACAGGCATTTTCTTCGTAGATCTGATCATCTGTATTTCCCGTCAAGTATCTCTCGCTTCCACATCCCAGTGATCTGATCCCATCCCGCTGCCAGCCTCAAGTGCTGACCATGCCCCCCGATTTAATAGATGCCCGGGAGGATCCTCCACTTGACTCGCCGGCAGTATCGTTCCCAGTCCTTGCCATATTTCTTGCGGCATTTTTCCTCGTCCCGCATCTCTCGATGAATGAGCAAGACGCCAAAATACACAATGTAAAAGTAGGTAAAGATCATTCCCCAGCCTCGCGCATCCCCTTGCACAACCTCTCTGGTCACAGCCCCGGTGACGGGATTCTGGTATTTGTTGACCACGTATCCCGCCACCCCGGTCGGCATGCAATAGCTAAACGACATGATCCAATCGCCCAAATAGTTGATGTGGCGCGCACGGCCCCACCAGCCAGAAACAAGAAGTTTGGAACCGGACTCCGTCGTCAAGGTTTCGAGATGTGCCACGCGAGGATCTTTGGGATTGGTTCGGAAGCGGTTCTTCTGGTTGTTTGCGGATCGGAAGATATAGTAGCCGAGTCCTTGAACAGCCAGGACTCCTGCCACGCCGGGAAGGCCCAGTGACAGAGGGTAGACCGCGAGATAGCGAGCTTGGGTGCTGTAAATGAACGGAACCCATACGAGATCGCCAAAGGACAGCATAAAGCCGAAGCCATCGTTGATCACGTCAATTGTGGTCAGAATGGCGGGTTCCATGTAGAGAGCATCGAGGGCGTAAAGGGACTGGAAAAGCGTGATGAGAATGATCGAATCGCTCACAAAGCCGTGCACTTTGTATTGATGGACGACGAAGCTGAGGTTGAGGATGACCCAGCCCGTCAATCCTGGTCTCATCTCGTTGAAGACTTTGATGTCGATCTCCTGGCCCCCTGCAATCGGTATCCATTGAGGAAGTGTGATGCGAGGGTTCAGCTCGCGACCGATGAAAAAGTCGTACAATATGTTCCCTGTGTGACCTCCTTTGGCCAACTCTCGGTTCTGTGGGTTCGGTTGGCCAGGATGGGGCACGCTGAAAGAGGCCAGATAGACGTAGATTGCTTGTGCTGTCGCCACAATCAGGTTGGCCGTCACCACCTGGGGCAATTTATCCCAAAGAAAGTCCCACACAACGAAGTCGACGCCCTGGACGGCGGTACCGACGGCCAGACCAGTGAGGATCAGAAGGGCAGAGTTGAATGCATTGAACTTGTAGTGATGCCTCCCTCCTGTCCCGAGTGTGATGCCATCCACCTCTTCGCCTGGTAACAATAGCTGCAACGCGACCAACAGCGCGTAGTACCCAAGCACCCAAGCCGTCACCTTGAAGTCAAATAAGCCTGTTAGTCCATTCTCCGGCCAGAGTGTTTGCTGCTTCAGCTTTTCCAGCGTCAAAGTCTTCGGACTCAAAAGCGCGGGAGCAGGACATCCAGAAACATCGTTACATAGGAAGATGCTAGAGTAGACGAGCAGCGGTAGACCAAAGACTATGCCAGCGGCACCCAATCTGCGAAGAGTCAGCGTGTGAGCACCGGGAAGCCATGTATGTGGAATCTTGGGACTTGGGACTTACGGGCCTGCAAACTCATATTCGTGGCTTTCCAACGGGTGCGCCGACGCGTGGGTGTCGGTCTTTGCGGATTTGATTGCCATGGGTTCAACGAGTGTGCATTGCAAGGGGGAGGGGTGAGGGAAAAGAACAGGATCGGTTTGGGGTCATTCAACTCAAAACGTAGAACAACAAACGAGCGACTGAACGGATTGAGAATATGTCCAGGGAAGCAAATGGAGGAGAGGAGTCTATTGTGTTGCTCTCCGCTAGAATTGTTTGTTCGGCAGGAGAGCAGCCGAATGAGATCATGAACTCAGCCTCACCAGATTTCCAGCATCTGGGCCCCAAGCCACAAGCCACAAGCTTACAGGCTACACGCCTCACGCCTCACGCCTCACGCCTCCACAGCCTTCCCGCTCGCGGGCGGGCTGAAAGAAGAGCAGGAAATTGACAGCTGAGTTCCCGTGTGCAAGGCCCCAGGCCACTAAGCCTAAGCCCCTAAAGAGCCCTTGAAACCTGACACCTCCTCTGCCGTCATCTGCCCCTGCAGCCTGCAGCAACTCCTGGCCTGTGCCTGATCATCGACAGCTTTCAGTTCAGCTTTCACCTTTCACCACTCCGAACACCGAACACCCGAACCCCGTTATCTCCCTCTCGCTAGGATCAGGACTTGGTCCCAAAGCTGTCTGCTGTCCTCTATCCTCTTTCCTCTTGTATGAGCTTCACTGAATACCGCATTCGCTTGTTCTGCTGATCCTCTTCCGCTCGCTATATTCTGGAGCGCATGTTGCAGGCCATCTTGCGCATCACGTCCTCTTCCTCGTCTCCATCGCATGACAGATAAATTTCACCAACCATGCAGTTATCACTGGATGCCGTTCTATTGCTCCTCTCCTGTCTCCCCTTGACCATCGCCTCGAGCGAAGTGAAGCCGCCTCCTAAGCCATGCACCATTCACTCGCCTTCCACTGGCTCCTTCTTCGACCTGCGGCCGCTACTGCTGACGGTGGATGGGACAAAATACCAGGTTGCAGGCAATGAATCCTACCACGTCAAAGGCTATGACTACCCTTCGAACTTCACCATGAACTTCTGCGGGCCCGTTGTGGAAGAGTTGGACGAAGTGGAAGGAATTGCCACCACAAAAGTTGCCAACGTCTCGGCCTTCTACAAAGATCACCGCGGAGACGTCTATAGCATCGGTCAACAAAATGACCAACCGTTGTTCCGGGGAAAGAAACTGCTCTTGAACTACACCATGGGCTCACCCTGTCCGGATCTCGACGAGGCTGGTGTCCCCATCGACGTGGATACTGTGGTCTACACCGACAAGAGAAGACGCAAATCGACTCTGTTGTCCTTCATCTGCGACACCTCCCCTCTACTGTCTACTCGACCAGCCATCTCCTTCCTCGGAACCCCCGACCACTGCACCTACGTTTTCGAAGTTCGCTCTCGTTACGCTTGCGGAGGAACCACGTCGTCCGGCGAGAAGGGCACCCTCGGACCTGGCGCCGTGTTCGCGGTGATTCTCGGTATCGCTCTCCTGGTCTATCTTATTGGAGGTGTCGTGTATCAGCGCAATGTCATGCATCAACGAGGATGGAAACAACTCCCCAACTACGCGGTCTGGGCAGGCTTGTTCAGTTTCATCTCGGTACGTTCCTGCCAGTCTTTCATTTCTCTTCTCCCGGTTGGAAATCTGTGCCAAGTTCCCTTACACACTGTGCTACCAACAGAGGCCTCTGTCCGTGCCACGCCGAAAGCGAACTATCTCCCGTGCAAGGACTTACGATTGGAAATCCGACCTACCCTAACGGAGACTGACCTTGTGCCACCTTTTATGATTTAGGACATGTTTGTCATTCTGTTCTCTTCATGCACACGCCGAATGCCGGGTGGCATCACGCAGTTGTTCGCTGGCCGCCGAGGTTATCATCGTGTCGGAGCAGACGATACCCGCGGCCCTGGTCGAGGACGCACCCCCGACGACGAGAACAGACTGATTGACCAGCTGGATGAGGAGTGGGAAGATTGATCCTCCATACCATCTGACTAGGTTTTGGCCATACAGCCAATCTTGGAAGAGCAACACCCCACGCATTTTCATTGCCACACGACGAAGGTGTCTGATGAGAAGAAACGAATTCGACCGTTTTGCACTGCATCCAAGTAATGCGCCGCTCTGACTACAATTATCCATATCCAACTAGCCAGGTGCAGGGTTATTCTGTGCTGGGATTCTGGTTTGCAAATTGTCCTCTAATGTCCCCGCCACCGGTAGCGCCCAGGTCGCCAAAGTCCATTCCATCCAGCGCAGTATTCCCAAAATCGTCCATGCCGCCGTAGTCGGGCGGTTCGATGTTGAATGGCAATAGCCAGGCGGAGGAACTGGTGTCCATCATTCCCCCGGCACCCCCGGCGAGCGGTTCGCTGAAGCCAAACCCGGCGACATCTAATTGGTCCCAAGGGTTGGCGGCACCGAAGTTCCCCAGGGAAGGAGAAAGATGTGATGTGTCGAGATTGCCCATGGCCGAAGCTCCAAGGTTGTTGTTGCTTGGGGGATCGACATTGGCATATGCCCCGAACACCATCTGTCTGTCAATGGCTGGGAGGGTGGAAACAAAGTGAAGATTGAGGTGCGGCGAGGTTGGCGCGCCATAATTGTACTGGTCGCTCGGTTGAGATTGCGCCCCGGGAAACTGAGGGGCCTGGTACAGTGACGGGGAAGTAATGTCAAAATTGGATGGGTTGAATGGCTGCGTCAGGTTGAGATCGGGTGTGGGAACTGGCAACTGCTGCTCGGGCAGCTGCTGTGAGGGTTGCGGTTGTGGGTGTCGAGATTGCGATTGTCGGCGTTGAGAATTGGGTGCTCCAGCCGTAGTAGTCGTAAGCGGGCCAGTGCCAGCCGCCGCGCCCAAAGTAGACAAAGCAGTCGTCTTGCCCTCCGTTGTCCCGGCTTTTTTGTTCTCCGCCACGCTCTTGCCGCGCCGCCTGGCGATTTTCTTGCCGCGTGGCCCTCCGTTGGCATCGTCCGCTTTGCTCGGAGGACTCAAACTGGCAAAGAACTCCTCGACCGACTGCAGATCGCTGCGCTGGGACATGACAGCCTCGGCGGCGCCGCCCGCTTCCCGGCGATACTCCAGATGCGATCGCTCCCACTCGCTCTCACTCACGCCGTGCGGGTACTTGTCGAACCAGTCGCCGTACTGGAACATGGCCTTTCCGGACCCGGCGGAGGATGTGGCGGTGTGGGTACCGGTACCCTTATTGTCGGCGCCAGGTGTGCCGGGCCGGCTGGAGCTCGCGTCGAGATCCATCATGGGCGTCTGGGTGCCGGAGCCATCGCCCACGGCGGATGGCCGGGAGTGCGATGAAGGCGGCATCAGGCCGTTTGCCGGGCCGCCGAGGCCAGCGGCAGGTCTGCCCAGAGACTGCGAGTGGGATTGGGATTGGCGGCGGGCGGCGTCGGCAAAGGCACGGTAGTTGTCCTTGATGGACTCGGCCATGTAGTGGAACATGCCCCAGTACCTTTTCATGCGGGTGAGATACTTGTAGTTGTGTCGCAGGTTCTCCTTGGACGAGGCCTCAAGCCCGGCGTTCTTGCTGAAAATGCCCCAGACCTGCACCGTGGCGGCCGCATACGCGCAGTACCCGGCAAACGGGACCGTCAGGGTATGCCCTGTCGATTCGTCGATCAGGCTGGAGATCAGGTTCGCAGACTCGATGACCGTGGTGGCGGAGCTGGTAAGAAAGGGCTTTGGCATGCCTGCCGCGGTCAGGTGCTGATGGTGCGGGCGATGGGAGGGCACCGTGGGGATGGCGAATCGATGTAGGAAGAGCGAGATCTGAGCCAGCACGATGTGTAAGAAGAGGAACTGGTTCGCGAGACGCTCCGAGCCGTGTGCCGCAAGGTTCTCCGGCGTGTAGATGATGTCCTCTGGCAGAGACGATTTGAGCTGTTGTATCTGACGCTGAAGGGTGGCGAATTGTGACAGCGGGTCCCAGATGGGATGAGAATCTTTCTCCTTGCCGCCCAGGTTGAGGTACTTGACGATGCGCTTCCAGAGCACTACTCCACGGACGATATATGCAGAAACCCCCATGTTTGCCTTTGCTGCGGCGGCCTCGTCGCCCGTGGTCTCGAGCGAGCTTTTCTTCGATGTTAGCACATTGCCGTAGAGATCTTCGGTGGTACCGGGAACCTCCATTTGAAAATGGGATTCTTTGATCGGCAATTGGATCTGGAAGTAGTCTTCGTTGAGAAAGGAAGGCCGCTCTGACCCCGAGGAGTTGAAGGTGTCCATCAGATAACAAGCCCACATTGTCCGTCGGCGAATTTCCCGGTCGGTAAAGGACAACTCAGGGGGTTTCAGACTCTTCTTGTTTGCATCACTAGAATTGGCCATCTGGTTTCGACCCAAAGGATCATGCTCAAGCTCCCGATGCAGTTGCAGAGCGTAGCCCATTCGCATTGCTTGACCTCCAAATGACCAGGACAAGCCACCCTCACAGGTGCCGAAATAGTGCAACCCCAGCATCAGCATGGCTGTGAGGATGGTGATGTTTGGCTCATAGTGGCGTTTCTCGACAATGTGCCGGGCAGGCGTAGCCCATTGTTCCCCACGGAGAAAGGCCGGCTCGGTGCTAACTTGGGGATGGGTCGAGAACCGAGCTGAGACGGCACAGACCGCCAGAATCAGAACTGGGGGAATCGTGCCTGCCTTCAATTTACGCATGAAGCTGGGTTTGTGGAGCAGGAGATAGGACTGGCCGTAGACACAATCAAAGAAAACCTCGGCGAGGTGCTCCTGGATATGCGGTGGCGGGAGGGATTCCGAGCCTTCGATGAAGAGCTTGTTCTCGCCCTCACGTTGCTTTTTTAGACCGGCGGCCGGATCAAGGAGAGACGGTTTGTCCCGGGAATTTCTCCAGTCGCTGAGTTCTTGCGCAAACGCTTCATCGGCCGACCGCTTCTTCGGCTGCTCTTTATCCTTCTTGGGTGGTTGGCCTGGTAGAGGCGGCCGCACCGACGCTCGCCCGGTGGCGGACAAGTCGGGGAGTTCTTCCTTTGGAATGACACGGATGACTCGGTCTTCCATCCGTTTCAGCCTTTTGTCCAACATGGCCATGTAATCTGTGCGAGGCGCAGCTTTTCGGGTAGTGGCTTTATAGACACATGGGATCCTGGCGCGGAGACAGTGCTTGCAGGCGGGTTTTTCGCCCGAACATCTGATCTTTTTGCGCCGGCAAGCAATACACGCCAAGGGCAACCTTTTCCTCTCCTTGCCAGCCTTGGTCTTCAACTCGCTCCATGCCGGCGGCGGCTTCTCTTCCTCGGAAGATTTCTTACCGGTATCCTGCTCGGCTGGCTTTGTTGGCGAGGAATCCGCGTTACTTACTGCTCGATTGGCGGAACTGGTTGAAGTCCATTGGTTCAAGGCTGCCGCACCAAATAGATCATGGTTAAATGCCGAATCGATGCTGACGAGACTGGCACGGTGCTGTGGACTGGGAACTCTGCCTGAGGGATAACCTCGATTGGGAAGACCCTGACCATGGCTCAGCCGGAGATCGGGGGGGACGTCGATGCCGCTGTTGCTGCTGCCATTTGGGCTTCCAACGAAGGGGAAGTTGAAATCGATAGATGCGGGGGATGAAGGATCGAAAGCAGACGAGTTTGACGGTGGCGGCTGGGTTGGAGCATTGATGATTGAGTCAATGCAGGCATTTCGAGCATCGGTCAAGATATGGCCTGAGTTCGACAGAGACCTGTTGCGGTGACTGTTTTGGGCGAAGCCCTTCTGGTTAGATGAGCTTGTCATAATGCCGGCACGGTCGACAGCGCAGAACTAGTGGTGGACCGCATGTCCTCATGCGAGATCACAGCTGGAGATTGTGGAGAGAAGAAAGTGGCTGGAGGAACCGGATCGGCGACCATCAGCTGGGAGCTCTTTGGTAGCCGAGATCGAAGCGCGATATCAAGTGAGAGTGGCAGAGAGAATTCAGGCGGGTACAGTCAATGTACGCATCAGACTGAGAATTTCAGAGCGGTTGGAAAGATGACGAGGCTGTCGGAGGTGTCGGGTACAGAGAGAGAGAGAGAGAGAGTTTGGCGGAGATGTCGAACTCGAGTGGCCACCAATTACTCCGTACCGTGTGTGGAGTAGGCCGTAATACCAGCAGCACCGACACACGAGCAGGGAGCTGGGAACCGTGATGGTGATGGTGATGGTGCCGATGCGAGAGTGTCGAGTCGAGGTTGAGCTCGAATTATTTCAACTCCCTGGAATCGCTCGCGGCGACAGACGTGGGGAGATGAGGCTTGAGAAGGAAGGTCCCTACAGACGAGGTCAGGACAAGCGAAATAGTGCAATGGGCCAGCCGGGCTGCACGGTCCAAACAGGCTAAAGACCGGAGAAGAGGAAAATCGAGGAGAAGACAAGAATGATGATGATGTTGCTGGCTCATGCTGGTGGCTGGCGGGCGAATCATGGGGAATCAAGGTGGAGGAAGAGGAGGATGAGGAGGAGAGGGAGGAGAGGGTTAGGGTTAGGGTTAGCAGGTAGGTGGGAGGAGGTGGAGAGCATCCAGGCACCTACCAGGTGGCGGCAAAACATTCTACAGTGGAAGAATTGCACCACAGGCACCCTAGGCTCATGCTCCCCATCCCTAGCTGGCTACTATCGGTGCCTAAGCCACTACTTAAACTTGGGTCCTCTTAGGTGCTGCATCCCCCACCACGAGCACCTGACAGGCATCGTCGCACCCGTTATTAGGCACCCATACAGCAATACACCTACCTACCTAGGTAGCAATAGGGCAGGACATACCTGTAGATCACCCACGCGTGCTTGATGTACTGTATATAGAGTCAGCCTGAGAACATGTGGAAGCCATGGCACTTCTAGGGGGCGTGGCACACATGTCCTATGTACCTAAGTAACTGAGTCACCCATGGTGCCCACTCTCACCAGCACCAGCAACATACCGAGGTGGGTGCCTGATACACAGCATCTAAGGTAAGGTATCAATCTTACATCGTTGCGAGTCCTCCCTTCGTACCTGTATGGCGCAGTCACATGCACTGTTCCCCGCAAACAAAGATTATTGCCTGACTAATTACCTAGCCATAACCCTGGAGGTGTCGGGCTCAGGAGGGCTATCTACACCCTCTAGCTTCTGTCAGACAGCCTAGCGAGCCTCGGGACTCGGGGCTTACATAACTACTAGTACTGTAAGCCGTAAACTCACCCCCGCAGCCGCAGCCGCAGCCGCAGTCGTCAGCGCAGGCTGCGGTGCAGTCAGTCATCACCCAGGTCGAACGCAACTTCACACCTACTGTACCCTCAGGCCCTTACCTACCTACCTACCTACCTAACCTTTGACTAGATACTGTTGCGAATGATCGAGAGGAACAACAAGCCCCAGCAAGCAGTCACTCTGGCTGCCACATTGTCTCATCTTTGTTGCTGGCTTAACATCCACCTATTCTTTGTGCCTAATCAGGTGACTGGGTCTTGATGCACGCTCTCGCCCTTCCGACCAACACGGTTTTCCATTTTTCCTGCTTCCGCGCCTCTGCCTGCTCTGTTTCTTTCCTCCACCACTTTGTGCTCCCGGGTTCTGCGCCTCCTTGGAACGTCATGGAGAGCTTTGTTCGTCACAAAAATCCCATTGGCCGTTCATCTTTCCCTTTTCTATGTGATGACGAGTCTAGCTGAGCGTGTGGCCGGCCTCGCTCTCTCGACCTTTGAATCACTGCCCCGAAAATGTAAACCTCGCACCTTTGCAGATGGTGGAAGAGAATGGACGCCCATGGCTGCGCTTATCCTGGCCGAGGCGGGGGACGATCGACCATTGACTTGCGTATCGTTGGCAACAGGAACAAAGTGCCTTGCTGCCTCTGCTCTGCCGACTTGTCGAGGCACCGTCCTTCATGATTGTCATGCTGAGATTCTAGCTTTGCGTGGGTTCAATTGGTGGCTGCTTGCCGAAGTTCAGAAAATTGTCGAAGACCCAGCATATCAATCGCCATTCTTAGAGTCTGAAAAGGAGTACGAGACCGATCATCAGCAGACAACCCTGTCCACGCCGTTGTCAACCCCGGGCGCTCCATTCAGACTGAAACCCACAATCTCGATTCACTTCTTCACCACCGAGGCTCCTTGCGGCGATGCGTCTATGGAAATCTTGATGAATTCATTGCCGCCTGATGAAGCAGCACCCTGGCCGGTTAGAGAGAACGCGAGTACAGCTCTCCAAGGTCGAGGTCACTTCTCGCTACTTGGCCACGTTCGCAGAAAACCGGCCAGAGCAGATGCAGAGCCAAGTCTCTCCAAGTCTTGCACGGACAAACTCGCCCTTAAACAATTTACAGGCATCATCTCCTTCCCTGCTGATCTCTTCGTGCAAAGGACTGCGAACGCCTTCATTCGAACCGTGGTCGTGTACGCCAATCAGTACAACTCTACTGGCTATGAAAGAGCCTTTGCATCATCTGGCAGGCTGTCGAGCCTCAGCCACTTAGGTCACTTTTTCAGCATCGAGTCACTGCCTCCAGAATTCTCGCGATTCCCTTTCAGTAAGGATGATCGGAGCGTCGATTCAAGGACACAAACGAGACTCAAAGCAAGCAATTTATCTGCTCTGTGGGTCAATCGTCCCGGCCAAAAGAAAGATGATGTCTTGGAGGTCTTGGTGAATGGGGTCAAACAAGGCTACAAGCAATGGGACGAAAGGCCGGCAAAGGCAAGCGTCGCCTCCCGCAGAAGACTTTGGGAGCACGGGGTAAAGATCGCGAAGATCTTCCCGCAGAATCAAGGCTCGAGAGGTGAGCCAGACGATCGGATAGAGTACGATGTGGAGTGGCACAAAAAGATTGATCAGGTGTTGTCCATAAAGACTTATTGCGCAGCAAAATCCACAACCCTTAGATCCTCATATGTGCAGCGCAAGAAGCATGTGACGGAGGCTTTGTGCAACTGGACTGACAACCGAGGTGATGATGAATGGTCTTTGTGTTAGCAGTCGACAATCATTTCCATTGCCGTGAAAGGACCATTCAGACAACAGATTCTTTTTGCCGAAATCACGGTGGTAGGTACCACAAAGCTTGCAGCACCAGACTAAAGGGCTCTTTGTGCGCCGTGGACAATGAGCGCCTTGTTACCATTATTCGTTCATCTGGAAGCTGCCTACCACATTATATATATATGGCCATGGATCCATAATCCATTTTCGGGCTTCCATCCACCGCAATCCCGATTTTCAAGCACTCAGAACCGGAAAGCTGGTCGTTGATCACTACCACTGTACTCAGGTTCAAGGCTAACCTACTAGAATCGCTCGATATCCACCATGGCGCCTCGGAAAGGATCAACTTCAGGGCAGAAGAAGCCGTTGGAGTCAGAACCCCCGATTTGCATTCCGATGATGCGACCAACTTTGACGCAGGCTGAGCCTCCGATGAGGAATGCTTCCCTATCTCGTCCCCATCGCCAGGTCAGTTCAAATAACAGAGTAACGCAGGCGAGGAGGCATGAACCGACGACAGGGGCTTCAGCCTTGGACACTAACAAGGTATCTTCGTCATTCCCAGAGACCCTCCAGACTGATGATGAGGCATTTGCATTCATGGAACAGGCGCTAAACATCAACTCAGGAAGTAACTCGGCCGCGTCTTCTGGGAGACAACGATCCTACGCACGCAGTTCCATCATCTCACCAACGCCGCAGGGAGGACAACGATTCTTCCCACGAAGCCCCGGTATCGCGAGACATCGGTCTCTCCTACGGACTTCCACCAGACCATCTGCCAGCAACGGCCCCAGCGACCTTGACATCGAACGTCAGATAGCCACCCTCCAGCCGGCAGATATCCCCGTCAAGATCAACATCAAGGTCAGCTTCAAGTCCTTGCGCACGAAAGTCAATATTGCCGCCCCCTTCTTGTGCCACGCCAACCACTTGGCCGACCTCAACGCCTTCTGCAACTACGTCCGAGCTCGGCACGCAAATGCACTGCCAGAGGAATTGTTCACTACTAACGAACCGAAGCACTGGATACTACGCTGTACGGCGGAGAATGGTGCTGACGGCGTCGAGGCGAGCAGCCCCTTCCACCGGGAATACGCATGCGATCCCAACAAGCCTATCTGGGGCCTCACTGCACATTACGGCCAACTCATGGCTTTCTGTTCCGTTCAAGGCCGGGCGGTAGCTACTAGGCTCGTGCATGAAGCCAGATCCAGACTGGCCCTGGCCAAATCAGAGCGCAAGTCCAGCGAGTGGACTGCCGAAGGCCGGAAGCGCGAACCGTTGAATGTGCGAGTCCCGAGAGAGGCGCCTGTTTATGCCATTATCGACATCTTCTTTTAAAGTCGTTGACCGCCCTCCCAGCGGGAGAGTTGTCGTGAAGGGAGGAGAGCATAGGAGTCGTGGAGGGAGGAGAGCATGGGATGGTTGTGGAGAGAGTCTCGATAGGATGGGATAAGATCATTACCAAGTCTGATTTTACATTGACGAATCCAGCCAGTAGAAGTATTCACAATGATGATTGTCTATTTTCTCTATAGCTTTGGTATATGTGCCTTGTCCGTCTCCCATCAGATGAGTAGTATTGTAGTAATTGATTCATTTGGCGTATCCAGTGGCCTCATCTGCGCGGGCCATGCATGATTCCAAGGTCCGCCAGAACCAATCCACGTCCATGGATCGCGGAATTGTGACGCCCTTCCCATCCTGAGCCTTGGCGGCGACAGTCCGCCCCAGCTGCTCACCTTCCAGGACAACATCGACGTTCCATCTCTCTCCGCCGTTGTCGTTGAAGGCGATCCTCGTCTTTGGATCGGGGTGGGCGCCTAATAGAACGGCGACGGCGAGTGGGTCGTGCAGAGGCGGGCCTTCAGTTAAGCCGAAGACGTCTGCGTAGGTGTGGGCAAAGAACATGAGCAGCTCGTTGAACATGGTTCGAAGGCGCGTGGGGCCGTGGTCGCCGTGCAGCAGGAGGGTTTGGATCTCGGGCGTGGCGTACGCCTGGTGCGTCAGGTCGAGGGGGATCAGCGTCGTTTTCGGCTGCAGCAGCGGGTTCTGCAACACGGCCCGGGCGGATTCCGGGTCTGCCCAGATATTGAACTCGGCCCAGGGGGTGCGGTTGCCGATGCGGGCGTGAGTCGCACCGGTGGTCGAGTCCGGCTGCCCCGCGGGGCCCATGGTGACCTGGCTGAAGTCGCCTCCGATGGCGCCGCCCATAATGGACAGGCCGGCGATGTGGTTCGACAGGTCCGGGTCGACGGCGAACAGCAAGGCCACGTTGGTCAGCGGCCCGCAGGCGACCAGCCATGCCGTGCCTTCAGGCTGGGCGCGGAGAGCCTTTCGCATTTCCCAAACCGCATTGCAGTTGGTCAGGGTGACCGCCGGCGGTTTGGGCAGGAGATCAGTGCCGGCGAGCCCGCCGACGCCGTGAATGTCGGATGCCGTGTGGATGACGCGGCAAAAGGGGTGGGCCGAGCCGGGGAAGACAGGGAAGTCCGGCTTCCCAATCGCCTCGAGGATGCTGAGGGCATTGGCCGTCGTGTTCCGTAAAGAGGCGTTGCCGTGGACGGTGCTGATGCCCAGAAGGTCGAGGGATGGATGGTACGCGGCGAGCAGGATGGCGCAGGCGTCCTGTCATGACAGCCGCGCGGGTGAGATTGGGTTCACAGATTGGAGAATGGGAAATGGGGAATGGCATCGCATTCAAGGGAGTACGGTTCGAACGGAACTCACATCATGACCTGTGTTGGCTATGAGTTAAGGTGGTCGCAGACGGGGGAGGAATGATGTAGTCGCTTCGTACCTGGGTCGCAGTCCAGCCATAAGGGGATCTTGGGATGTGGCTCATATTGTTCTCCCATGTTTGGCAAAGAGGATCACAGCAACCCCGGGCAGTGAATTCTTGAAGGTTCGACGTTCGCTCTGCTGGCGACGCTGATGCTGATGCTGACGCTGGAACAGGCTGTCAGGAAGCCTTGCATACTAGTGATACACATAGACGAACTTATCGCTTATCTCGCACCAGAAGGGAAGGTTTGGCGACGGGGATACTGGCTTTAAGCCCCCTTAGCCCTAGGGCTGTAAGTCGGACCACCTCGTAACGCACAACCTACGTAATGCACAACTGTTCATCATACCCACCAACACGCGTAACTATAACTTTAAGCAACTCGTTCTCAACCAACTATAGTATATATTATTCTACAATTATCTTAATATACCTATTATATCCGAGCAAACCCTATAGAACGCGATTCGCGCGTATAAACGCGACGAACACTCCTCTCTTAATACCGCCGTTACCGCCTTTAATATCAGCCGCTATACCTTAACGCGTCGATTAAGAGGAGGAAATACTCGTTAATAGGCTCGCGAGGCGTAATAGCTCTTATCTTATACTTAAGAGTAACTTCTCGTACGATAGATTATAGATCTTAATATCGTCGGAGTCTCTTCTATCTTTATATAGATACGAGAGTTTATAAGGCTTCTCTTAATAGTCTCTAAAGAATCTTCTTTAGTCGACTATAACTAGATCGTACGCTTTCTCTAGCGTTAACTAAATATACGATCGAAGATAGATCGAAAGATTAAATATTTATATAAGTTATAGAGTTTAGCTTATATTTATATCTTCGTACTTTTTATATATTCTTTAGTCTTTTACTATTAGTATCTTTTCGACGTTAAAGCGATTCTATTAAAAGAAGATTACTAATTTATTAAGATATAACGAAACGTAACTTATACGACGCGTTTAGTTTCTTAAATATTATATAAAGGTAAGAGAGTACGTTCTTTAATCTCGCTATATTAAGGCGGACTAGAAAGAAATAGGATTAATCTCGTATAACTCGAAGAAGATACTAAATTCGTCTTAAGTTATTTAGAAGGTATACTCTATTATACTAATACTATAAACTTCGCGTACGCGTAAACGAAGGCTCTTAGTAAGTATTACTAAAAGTATATCTATAAGTAGATAATACCTTTAATCGTAGATATTCGATACTTATCGAGATATACTACTTAATAGAGCGTCTACGTGGGACCTTAAATGTGACCCGAAGGACGTTAAACGAGACTAAATAAATAAATAAATAAATAAATAAAATACTACTTAATAGAGGATCTCGTCTATTACTTAATAAGACGGCGAAGGCGATTAATGTACTTCTATAGAAGACTATCGAGTAATCGCTCTAATTATAATAGTTATTCGTTAGTCTATAAGAGAAGAGTACTACGAAGCGTACGAAGATTCGAATAGATTTAAATAGGGTGTTTACTTCTATTATAGATATTAAGGAGGCTTAGGAGCGAGTTACGCGACGTTAGAAGGAGTAGGATCGCCGAGATAGGGTTGGAGAGGTATAGGCGGCGTCTAAGGTACTCTTAAGGATCACCTTCGAGAGCCTCTATATAGAGTAGTATATAAACGACGTAGTGTAACGCGTACGTTGAGTATAAAGAGGTAGTGGGTATACGAGGAATAGTTATACATTACGTAGGTTGTGCGTTACGAGGTGGTCCGACTTAGTCTATACTACTCTGTACTACGGTCTAAGTACGGATAGTGAGTGACACCCTCCCACCTCGTTTGGTCGATCGTCCACTACAACTCGTCGCACGCAGCCTCGAGGATATTTCCTCCTAGGCCAATCATACGTTGACACACCTCTCTTGACCACCAGCGCATCGAGTCGAACCCAGGTCAACCGTGTCAGAGTCGTCTCCCGTCTCGTTTCTTGCTGCGGCCTCCCCCTGCATTGCCAGCGTGGCCGTGGCCGTGGCCGTGTTGGGCACGAAGGGTGTAGGGTGTAGGGTGTCGGCACTCCCCCTGGCAGACAACTCACTACATAGTCCCAGCGCAATGCCCCTTCGCACCATGGTCCTGAAATGACCGCCTCCTCCTCCTCTCCATCACGACCGTCCGTTCCGGCAGTAGCGGCCAAGTCTGCGTCCACCGCGCAGTTCTCGCAGTTGAACGTCGAAGCCGACAAAAAGGCCACCACCACCACCTCCTCCTCCAAACCTCGTCCGTCCTCGCAATCGAACGTCGCAGCTGATGGCAAGATCGCCTCCGGCCCTCGTTCATCGTCACGTGTCGCTCCTAATGTGAGGTCTCGGCAAGATGCCGCAGCCCTGGATCCCACCTCTGAGAGAGCGACTCTCACCCTGATCAGAAGGACGTTGGTGGCCGATGGGAGCCATGGCACAGATTTGAAAGCCTCTCAGACAACAACTGAAGGGGTCTTGCCTCCGCTTACCAGTTCAAACGAGGTGGACGTGCAACTGTACGCCATCGTCGCCATCGTGGTCAAGGACTTTGTCAATGCCTGGTATACCAGGATCACTCCAGACCGCGCATTTGTGGATGAAGTCATCCAGCTGATTGCACACTGCACACGAGCTCTGGAGCAGAGACTACGCCTGATAGACATAACGGAACTGATGTTGGACGAGTTGCCTGTCTTGATCGAAAGGCATGTTGCCGGTGAGCCTTCCGGCATGAAGAGAAGCAATATCTCGAATGGGTTGTTGACATGTCCGCTTCACAGCATACCGCACGGCCACGACCGCCCAGGCCGCTTTACAGTACGGAGAGAGCACCCGTCGAATCTATCACGCCTTGAACCCACATCCGGCTCTCGATCCCACTCTGCCGCCTGAACAACAGCGGAGCTACGAGTCTGCCTATCGACAACTACTCATTCAAGGGGCCCTTGCCGTCCTCCTCCCGACCGAAGACCTGGCCAACACTTGTCTCAGAACACTGGTCAGCGACATCATCGCCGACCTCATTCTCGGCCAGGTACTGGCGGAGAAAGTCTGCCAGCCGTGGTTCTTGCACGGCATTGTCTCAAAGGTGGTGGAAATAGTGACCGCGCGTCCCACGGTTGCATCTTCCATCGGTACTAGCCAGACCCTTCATCAAAATGGACGCCAAAGCCGACTCGAACAGTTTGGCCTATTATCTTCAGACACGGCGGATCGAGAGCATAATTCGCCCACTCGTCACCAATCATGGCTTAGTGTGTGGTTTTGGAGTCTCCTTCAGTGTGCGTTCATCGCGTATCAATTTCTACGATTCCTCTTCATCGGCATGGCTTACGCCCACCGGCTGCCCCAAAGAATCCGCCATCATGAGAGCCATCGAGTGGACGGCTCCACTCCCTCGCCGTCCACAGAAAAATCCCCCGTCGCATCCAAACGTCGTCCAGTCGGTGCCGACCGGTATGCCCCTCGTGCGGTGATCAGCTACGGGATGTTCGGGTGCATCTCGACCCTGCTCGATTTGTCAATCCGCATGCCGTGGCTGGAAAGCTCTCTGAGCTTTTGCCAATACTTTCTGAGCGCGGGACCGGGTCACCTCGGCGTGCCAAACTCAACGCTAGACAAGTAAGTCAATCCTTTCATTCAATCTTCTTGTCTCTCAGTCCTCGAGTGTGTGGTGTTCATGTTTGTTGTGATGGAGTGGATATTCCGGTAAGACCTGGTCGTTCCTATCAGTTGAAGTCGCATCGAATTGAGGTCATATGACATGGTCTGGGAAGGCTACGGCCAATAGCCCGAGATATCAGCCATGTCTCAGGCATGTGCTAAACGCAGGCTTCCCCTTTGGTCAGCAATCTTGGGGCGTCAGGGGGGTGTGGACCCCCAAAACAGCCAGAATGACCGACTCCGGTCAAAAAGTCAAAAAGACCGCTGTTACCTGTCATGACGGTACAGACACACGTATTGTCACCATGCCAGATACGGACTTTGATTGGACGGACTTTACCCTCATCCCTGGTCACATCTCATGCGGCCTTGTACCCTGGACGCGTGAGAGGATGGTCATGCCCGTCGAACAGTTCTCTTCGGTGGTGGAGTTCGCCAATTCATGCTATCGATATCTGTACGTCGATTCGATGCCGGATCTTCCACATCGGCCACCAACCGTGGTGAACGATCTGTTGAGAGATAAAATGAAGCGAAAAGGTCGTCAAAAAGCGGAAAACAACGACAAAGGCGGCCAATCAATGGTCAGAATTTATCCACTATTCTTCTCCTGCTAAAGAGGGTGCCAAATTTCGAACGGCAAGCCACTCACGCGGTCGACATGGATCAGCCCCGCCTTCGTCGTCGTCCTTGCCCGCCGTTGGCTTTGCTTGTTGGCTCTGTTCACCAAAGGAGAAGGCCAGCTGTGCACCAGTGATGATTGCACTCCCCTCCTCAAACCGTTAGTGCCATTTCCTGGATCAGCCTTTGGCTGAGAGTGAGACAACAATTGCAGCTGAGGAAGGCTCATATGTTTCTTGTCCGAGAGAGATTTTCCACCCCCAGGCCAATGAGACAGCTCAGCCGGTGGCATTTTCGAAAACCATACCAGTTCTGCCACCCTATTGGTCGCCTTTGGCGTGTACAGCTGAGCCGGCGCGGTGTGGTGCCATTCCTCTTTCAACCGTCGATTTCCGGGTGTGTTCGGCGCGTGCCGATAACAGAGGGAAAGCCGGCCCCCATGCCTGGCGATAATGTCCGATTCAGACACCCATCTTTTTACGTCACAAAAGTGCCCCCATGCCGGACGGGTTGCACCACCGACACATCCTTGCACGCAGCCGTTATCTATCAATCTGTGCTGTCAAACCTGCCATCATCGTCAATCGGACTGAGATGGGGGTGTTTGTTGTGACACTGGGACACTTGGGGGTGTGCCACAACAGGAGACTAGCTCGGTCTCCGACCTCCAACGGCCCTAGCCTTTACCGACTTCGGCTTGGGCATCCTTTTCTGCGACCTTTCCACCAAGCTCCTCGTCGCAGCCCGGAGCTTGTTATGGGGTGGCGGTTCGACGCCCATCCTGACTCGTTCGTCATCCTTGACGGTGGACATTCTAGACTAGACTCCCTGAGTCTTGCATGATTTGGTTCTAAGCTTTGATGGACCTTGATCCTGGTTCTCCCATTTCTCGACTTGCCGCACTTATGTCTAGGAACTAGCCTTTTCGCGTATCACCTGGGCTGGTTTTCGACTTTTCCCTTTGGCCGGAACTAAGTTTGGACGCCTGCAGAGTAATGTGTGGGCGGGAGGCCCCAAGTCTCTTCTCCCTGGTCGTGCATGAGGACTGCAGGACTGCATTCTGTCAACCAAACGCACCAGCACCAGCACCACTGCGAACACATGCTTGCGAGAAGGCTGTGTGGCATTGTCAGCGTTCTGGCCCTCTCATGCAACCCCGAGAGAGAAGCTCAAGTCACGTGGATCGCTTCCCGAACGAGTACGAAGATGTTTGGGTAGCAAGATTGGCCGGGATGGGCAGCCATGAGGCAAATTGGGCAGCATTTACTTGATCGATGCCACTGTGATGGTGTAGCGTCCAGGAAATCATCACTCGGGTCGTACATTGCTGAGGCGACGAAACCCCCAGGATCCGGGATGCGTCTGTCGAGGACAACGGACGCAACGTCAATCGCCCTCCGGCGACGGAATTGTCTCTTGTCAATCCTACATCTCGTCTTGACAGTTTTACTCTGTGACCCTCATGAATATACCTCAAACACAGTTGAAGACGGTTTTGGTCTGCAGGGTCTTTGCTAACTTGGAATGGTCATACAGATTCCTTTACCACACATTATCGACACGTTTCTTCTCACCTTCTCTTCTTCCACCTCTACTCCTTCAAGTCCGAAGCCTTGTTTTTCCCAACAATACACTGGGTCCGGCAGCCCCGCCGCCTCCAAGTCCTGAAGAAGCATGTCGGATCCGATCCAAGGCCGCCTCGGACCTGCTGTCGCTCATCCCTAAGAGCGTAGCAAGGAGGTTCTTTGGTGCGGCCAGTAGGGGGAATACCACTCGAGTTCCTGCTGCTGGTGGCGATGACATTGATATTGATGGCGGTGGTGCAACAGCAGCCGACTCGGACGATGAAGTGCAACGGGAAGTCGAGGAAAGGATTTTGGGGTGGACCGACGACGTCGAAATGAACAAGTTCGTGGTCTATGCTGTTCTAGAGCATGTCGTGCTCAGACTGATCCCAGAGATGGTTGGCAAGACGCCCAGTGAGCTTTTGGCTGAGAGGGGGGTGTCACTGACTGAGACTTCGGACATGGATGGGGATGTCAATGGACATGGAGAGAAGGAAAAGCGTCAGTCTGATACGGTGAAATAATGCATCAACTGTGTTGGATGTTCTTACTATCTTGTTCCTTTTTTCGGTCTATGCTCGTTCTCACTTCTTTGGGTTATGATTTATCTCCCCTATTTGGTTCTTTTGCTATCTTGTTCCTATTCTTTTCGGTCTATGCTCGTTCTCACCTCTTCTTTGGTTTATAATTTATCTTCCCATCTCCTTGACACTGAAACTGAAGGATATGGGTTTATGATTTATCTCCCCCATCTCCTCGACACTGAAACTGAAGGATATGGATTTCTGGTTTATCTCCCATCTCCGCGACACTGAAACTGAAGAATATGGGTTCATGATTTATCTTCCCATCTCCATCTTACTGGTACTGAATCATTTGTTTCTTTTCTTTTCAGTCTATGCTCGTTCTCACTTCTTCTTTGGGCTTATGATTTATCTTCCCATCTCCTCGACACTGGAACTGAAGAATACGGAGACAGAATGATTCAGTACCAACCAGCACCAATGCCAGTAAGATGGAGATGGAGATGGAGATGGAGATGGAGATGGGAGGACGCACCAAGCCTAGCTACACGAAACAAGACACAAGACACAAGCAAAGAGTCCACCAGCATGCTTGGGCCGAGTCGAGTCGAGTCGAGTCGATTTAAGTTGAGTCAAGAAAGAGGACGTGATAATTTGTCTCCTGCCATGCAATGTTCTCCGACGTAAAGGTGATCGCGTCGAGTCGAGTCGAGTCGATGCTGTCTGTGCTGTGCAGTCCTGTCCTGTCCTGTCCTGTCCTGTTCTGTCCTGTCCTGTCCTGTCCTGTTCTGCCCTGTCCTGTCCTGTCCTGTCCTGTCCTGTCCTGTCCTGTCCTGTCCTGTCCTGTCCTGTCCTGTCCTGCCCTGTCCTGTCCTGTCCTGTCCTGTCCTGTCCTGTCCTGTCCTGTCCTGTCCTGTCCTGTCCTGTCCTGTCCTGTCCCGTCGAAAATCCAGGACATCCCCGAGCCTCGTTTAATCCGCCCAGAGACCTCCCAGGGAGAATGCAACTGAAACTGAGGCCGACCGAGAACGAGACCGCGATTAGAAATAAAGCTGTCTGGAACAGAAACATCAATCGCAACAGCAACATCAATCGCAACAGCAACATCAATCGCAACAGCAACATCAATCGCAACAGCAACAGCAACGGGAACAGGAATTTGGAATTATAAGCTATAAGCATGTCGAGACTGGGACTGGGACTGGGACTGGAACAAGAACACACATCAGAATAGGACCAGGAACAGTAACAGTAACAGGAACAGGAACAGTAACAGTAACAGTAACAGTAACAGTAACAGTAACAGGAACAGGAACAGTAACAGTAACAGTAGCAGGAACAGTAACGGGAACGGGAACGGATACAGGGACAGGTATAGGAATTAGACTTGAATCTGACTGTCAGCTAAGACTGAGACTTGACTTGTACAGCTCGAAATACTCCATCCGTACTTCAGCTTCGATGTGATATTGCTCCGGGCGGGGAAGAGCAAGAGCAGGAGCAAGAGCAAGAGCAAGAGTAGCAGCAGGAGTGGGAGCAGGGGCGGAATCTCCATATCCTAAGGCTTACTTTGTCAAAGGTTTAATGTTCTCTATCAAAGGGGCACAGGGGGAGCCTAGACATATGTATAGGTGTGCCTATACCAGCCTTCTAGTTAAAGAACAAGGCTGAGAATGCCTAATGTTAGTGCCTATAGTAAGTCTGACATAGGCTTACATACTTAGGCCTTAGGGCCTAGGTCCTAAATTTAATTCAATTTACTGTAACTTATATACAGTACTCCGTACTCCCGACTAGTACGGCTTACGGCTTACAGTCTTACGTCTACAGTCTTACATACCTAAAGTACTGGGTTGTTTAGTCTAGTGCGGCATGGACAAGGACTTGGGTGTTCAGGTGCCTAAGGTGCCTAAGGTAGCTAGCTGTGCCAGTGGGTATTTAGGTAGGTAGGTAGGTAGGTAGGTAGGTAGGTAGGTAGGTAGGTAGGTAGGTAGGTAGGTAGAGGTAGGTAGAGGTAGGTACGTACGTACGTAGGTACAGTATATAGGTACAATATATAGATAGATAGGTACACAATATATAGATAGGTTGCTATAGTATGAAGATACAGTAGGTAGGCACATAGATACTTTACGTAGCTAGACAGGATACAGCCTAGGCTGATAGGGGGGTTAGATCAAGACTTCGTGCGTTCCGGTTCATCCTTACCGTAAGCAAGGCTGAGAGGAGAGGTGAGAGGAGAGAGAAGGAAGCAGCATCCACCACCAGCACCGCCCATGAATGAATGACTCCCTTTAGGAAATATAGACCCAGAATCAGAACCAGAACTAGAATCAGGATCACATTCACAATTAGATTTCCAGCTCTATCATATCAAAGCCGCGGTCCATTGGAGACCTTAAAGATAAACCGAACTAAAATAAATATATCTGAGATTGAGAGTCAACAACTTACCGGCAGGTACCGGCAGGTACCGGTAGGTAGTATGTAAGTACTGGAAGCTAAGCTGGCTGGCTGGCTAGATGGCTGGCTAGATGGATATGGTACGGAGTAGCAGTACGGAGTACCATCTATTCCGTACAGGTACAGTATATCCATCTATCTACTCAGTCTATCTGGCTGCAACTCACCTTTGGAACGCAGTCCTATTGCCAACTCACGGGCATAACGCAGTCCTATCCTATTGCCGGGGTGAAAGTCAGGCTTTGATAGTAGGTTGTTAACGGGATTTATCTATATCTGTCTGGTAGCTTTATCATATCTTGAACGAGCGCGATTGACACACTGGGTCGGTCGGTCATTGATTGATCGTAATAGTTTAGCTTTAGGTAGTTGTGTCATTGATTGATCGTAACAGCTTAGCTTCAGGTAGTTGTGGCATGTATGGATCTATCAACTTATCCATTCATTCATTTATTCCCGCACAATCTTCGTCGGAGGGAGACCGACTGTCGATATCATATGTTGAGCCCTAGCCCTTTTTCCAGTGAAAGTGTCAAAGGTTGAAATGTTCCATGTGGTCTGTCAAAGGGTAGCAGGGAGATCGCAGGCTATATAGTATAGTATAGTACGCCTCAACCGGCCTTCTGGTTCAAGCACAAGGCTGGGAATGCTCCTAAGTTTGACAGAAAGATGCTCAGTGCCTCGTGTACCTCCTCCAAGAGACTTTGTAATGTTCCGCTGTTTCTTCTCCCTCTCTGTTCTTCTCTTGTCTCTTGTTGTGTCCTTTTGAGCCTCCTACCAATGTCCGAGATTCGTTTCTAGTCCGTTCTAGAATCGAATGAGGCCTGGATGCAGTTGTGAACAACGAGCTGTTTGTGGAAACCGAGTGACTAGAAGCATTTGTGGAGGAGATCCCGACAAGAAATCCATTGTAAGAGACACCATCAACTTGTCACGAGGAAGCCTGTAAGAGACACCATCAACATACCACGAGGAAGCCTGCACTGGCTCAATCACCACTGGCTGCGATGGTCTGTCCCAAGGTCAATATGTAGTTGTTGATCCGTCATGGCTTCTGGAGGTAGATGTCTTGGGTTACAACTCATTGTTTGGCAAAGAGTCGCAAGCCCCGATGCATCTGTTCGTCTTGACAGTCAGAATCTGCTCTCTGGCACCGAGAAGTTGGTTCTGATGGTGAAAGGCCTCTCCAGCTGCACGCTCTGGGGCCTAAGCCTGGCCCTCTCGCCGCTGGGGACCCTCCCTGGTGTAGTCGAGGACTCCTGGCTTTTCAATGCCTACGTGTAACAGGCTGTCAGACGTCCCTGCGATCCCATGCCTTGTTTCCCCTCTCTGGCAGCAGTGACTGACGTATCTGTGCTGGGTGAGATCAGGAGAAAGTGGAAACCTGTAAGGTGACGGCCGGGGCATCGCTGGGACCTGGAGAATCGAGATGCAAATGACAGGTGTAGGGTACAAGGGACAGCCCATCACATCACATCCATGCCCAGAAAAAAGAAGAGGTGACAATCTATGATCCATGCCCAGAAAAAGAAGAGACAATCTGTGATCCATGCCTGAAAAAATAAGAGACAATCTGCGTTGGGAGTTTGCGGGTCAGGATGGCAAGCATAGGCATGGATTCACAAATTGAGGAGTTATTCCAGGATGGCAAGCATTGACATGGATTCATCACAAATTGAGGAATTAATCTGTCAGTCAGTCAGCCCACGATGATGGTGATACTCCGTGGTGATGGTGATGGTGTGCCGGGGCACGCGGAACAGTCTAATGAGACAGGGCTTAAGGCCTAAGGCTCACAACAGAACTTCCCACTTCCCTGTCGGAAACCCTGGTGGCCACTGGCCAGCTCTGGAATAGAAACAGGGCGGCCTGTGGCTGGTCTGGACGGTCTGGACGGATTCCAGAGTGGCGAGGCCATGGGACGGATCCAGAGCACTCCGTACTCGTAGCATGGCCAGACCTGCCCATGGTGCGTTCGGCGTTGGGCATCGAGATGAAACGGGAAGCATGATGAGAGACCTAAAAATGAGGGATGGGGATGAGGCGGGTGGGCCATGCAGATCACGAAACGATCATCAGCAGCAACAAGCAACAGCAATCAGCAATGGGAATTCCGTCTTGGGAGGTTTCCTCCATCTAGGTGCCATGCTCGGTGATCCTCGACTCGTCTCTGCTTACGACTACCTACCTACTAGTTCCACCAGTTCCACCAAGATCGACAGGCACGCAAACAGGTGGAGGTTGGATGGTTGCGGCTTGCGGCTTGCTGGACGTTGATCCCGTCACGCTTATTGTCGCCTCACTTCACATCTAATGAATATCGCATCGTTCTTTGATCGACCTCGTGTCTCCTCTCTCTCGCCTTGACGTCGATCGGTAACCTACTCCGTATGGAGTATGTACTCCGTACTGCCACTCGCTTCATCTCTCCGTCCTTCGATTGCAGACAATCCTGTCCCTGCTCCTGTCCATCGTCAGAATCCTCCTTTGTCTAGGCCCGGCATGATGGCTGTCATTGTACTCCGTACAAAGCTTGCAGGACAAGCAATGTTGGTTACAGCGCAGATTTATAACTTCTTGCATTGAAGGCCGAAGGCGGCTGCCATATCACACAATCCCCTTGGGGAAAAGAGAAAAGAGAGGAAGAAGAGAATTTATACACTTCATGACCCCGGGCCAGTCGCCCAACCCTCTCACGTCTCCCATGTCCCAAGTCCCACGTCCCACGTCCGTTATCACATCTCTCTGTTCCTCCTAGACCGTAGCCGTGAGGCTTTGTTGCTGGCCTGAGACCCGAATCTCGACCAGGAGAAGGAAATCCCACATACATAATCCTGGCGTATACCTGCCCCATAACTGCAAAGGGCAACTTGACAAGAGAGAAAAGTAGGAAAAAACAAAATAGGAAAATTTCCCGAAAACCCCGTTCGCTTGCGCGCGCTCCATTTCTCTTTCTCTTCCACACATCCATATCCTCATACAAGAAAAAGGAGATGTCGCCACGAGGCTGGGGGTATGTCTAAGGAGTAGTCCTCATCCGGAGATGCAGATGAGTACTGTGACCGAAACCGAGAGAAAATTCGTAGAGCCAAGGCGCTCTGTTGCGTCTGTGCAACTGCTGTCGTGGTCCATGGCCTCAAAACAGATGCGACTCCTGGGTGATGCTTGGTTCCTGAGTGTCCCGCTGTTATGTTGATCTGGACAGTGATGTCGTCATTTTCCTCCGTGCCTGCGTTTCCATTCCTCCAATGCTCCCACGCCAAACCGTCCACAAAGGATTGTGTATCTGCTCATGTGGAATGTGAATGTAATCCATGCTTCAAAGGACTGTTGCAAAGAAAAGTACTCAACCGTGATATCTGCCAAAGGTTGACGGGCCGGACTAGGTCGAGATGCCGAGGATGGTCCTCTTCTTGGAGATGCGAGGACTATCCATGATGTCCATCGGGTGCATGCCACCGGGCAGCGTGGTGGCGGTGGGCCGGAGCAGCTTCAGCTTTTGCATCAGTTTCCCAATCGCCAGATAGTCATCGGGCTCGGCGACATTGGGATTCTGCTCCAGCAATTCTTTGATGGCATGCAGTGCTCGAATGTTATCATCGTCCACGGGCGATGCAGGGTTGCTGACTGGAGAAGTATCTGCCGACCTGGGTAATGGTGGAGGCTGCATAGATGAGAACTGCACTTGCTGCGGATAGTGAATGTCCGGGACACTCTTATGCCGTTTCATCATTTGTCTAGGGTCAATGGCCGTTGGCCGAGTCTCAATCGTGGTGTTGGTTAAAGACCGGACAGGGAGAGACGGCGCCTTCTGGCTGGACGAAGAAGGACGTGAACCGCACCCTAGGTCTGCAGCATGTGGATAGGTCTGGCTCCTCTGGCGAATCGATGCTTCTGCGGAATCTTGTGCGCCCTCCATCAGTGGTATCCCATCCGGGTCCCTGTGAACCATTTCAGGTGATGTTGGGGGAAGAATTGAGTCTTGAGTCAGTTGTTCCATCTCCAGTTTCGGCGTACGCTCATAGGAACCCTTTTCCTCAAAGTCGAAGAAATCTTGCGCATTTTCTAGCTTGAGGCCTGTGTCGTGAGCTGTTTCATCCATGGCCGACATGGGAGGTGACACAAGCCCGCCAGACAAGGTTGGAGAGTCATTGATGGATGTTTCTCGGAGCGACGCCGTGTTAGAGTCCATGAGACCCTGCTCTCCCTCGGCGTCGGAAGCCGTGAGGTGGTTCTTGCGCTTGAACTTGTCCAGCCAAGCTACACTGGACACGACTGCTTGGTCACTCCTGCTGAAGGAGAAGACTTGAGCCTGCTTGCGGAGGTCCTCATCGGTAATTGGCAACCCTTTCTTCTGCTGGTTTTTGACCCAGTTGGCGAGGGTTTTCTCAAAGTCGGGCAGTTTTGCTTTTGACTTCTTGCTCGGGCTGGTATTGCCGTCTTTCGGTTGCGGGTTCATATACTTATCACGCTGACGCAGGATCTTCGACACCGTGCTGCCGGATGTTAGCGCGAGCAACTGTATTTCCATTTGCCCTCCCACACACCTTCTCTCCACGTTGAATTTGGCTATGGAACGTTAGATGGAACCGCGTGTCTGGATCAATGACTTACCTCCGATCTGGGTTTGCTTCATCATCGGGTTCTGTTCAGCCTCAATGCACATCTGGCGACGTTCGTCATCGGTCAACTTGCGACGTGATGACGTCTTCGCGCTCGTCGGAGTAATGTCTGACCCAGTACTCGCCGACAATGGAGTTTGAAGCGTCCCAGACGGCAGAATAGGGGTCTGGTAGTTCTGCTGGGGTTGGCTTGCCAACATACTCGGCCATAACCCGCTGTGAGGCATGATCAATGGTGGCGGCATCTGCTGCGCATGAGAAGAAGCAAAAGGCGATGGCCTAGGCATGGAGTAGGACGGCTCCATGGGCATCGGCGTGGTCGAATGGTACTCAAACGGAGGAAATTCGTGCATTGGCGACATGGTCGTTTGAGGACTGCTGGAGTAGTTGTTTGGCACGCTCACCCACCCCCTTTGGCCATAGCCAGAGTGTTGGGAGTCCTGGTGCTCCGGTGGCATGTTCATCAAGACCTGCATGGGGCTTCAGGCTTTCAAGTCGAACTGTGGAAACCCCTTGGCTGATCTGAGTTGGCAATGCATACCATGCACTAGCAACTGCTCCGATGGCAATGCAAGTACCCGCCAACCCCAAGTATGGTCTCTGCAACCCCCGATTCCCAAGACCTTCTGAAAATGTCGAGATCTGGACACAGCCCAGTTGTGGAAACCGGCGGGTGTGAACGCAGGCGTCTGTATGCAAGGTCGGAGGGAGCAATGAGCATATGAGGGAAGAGGTGGTGTCGAGAGCGGGCGTGTGGAGGTTGCAGACTGAATGCGGGTGGAGGAATCGATACAGAGGAGACACCAAACAGACTTGTGGGCGAACCGAGCTGTCGAGTTGGACGAATTGACGACTCAATTGCAAACCAGGGTATCTTCTCGACCAGGGGCTGGACCAGACTCGGGGGGTCCGACAAGGGCCTGGTTGAGGGGGGCCGTTGGATGCTGCAGGTGCTTGATAGAGGGCTGCTTATAGCGTGGTTTTTGGAGTGATGTTGCTTTTTCCCCTCTTTCGCTCTCTGTATCGGGCCTGACGCGAGCACAGTGAGGCAGTAGGTTACAGTATGTCTGCTCTGGAAACCGAGCAATGCTTTGGAGGGATGGTGCCGTTCGCAAGACTTGCGGGTGTGAGGAGGGTGGATGCTAAAACAAAAGGGCGGCACTTGGGCCTATAAAGCGGAAGCTTAGGGAAGGCTAGCTGCCGGCCGCTGGGAGGAACGGGCCTAAGGCTGGTGGGTTGAACAGTGGATGGAGACCGTTAGGTACGAACAGGCATCGGACGTGCAGGGCTACACCGTCTAGTCCGACTTCGTCGCCTGGGGCCCGCCCTGATGCTCTATCCCGGACAAGCCACCACTGCCTGACTGCCTGGGAGTCCAAGTCTCGTCGGCAGAAATTAGCGATTTGGTCGAGATCGCCCGGCAAAAGGTGACCAGGGACCTGGATGTACTGGAGGAGCTCCTGAGATTTGCAACGGGGCGCTCCCGGGCGAGGATCAGCTGGTAAAGCCGCACTCCATTTTGAACAGATTAACGAACACAAGAGGCAATGCCCAGGAAGATGAGCGACGAAATGAGGCAAAGGCCTATTTTCCAATATCGACTCGGCGCCCTGGAACCTGCAACCCTGTCGGATGAGTCGCCCTCCTGCATGTATCAATTAGCAAAGTACGGAGTAGTTGCGCTTCAGGAGGCCCCACGCGGCCTCCGGGCTCGCAGTGCAGCTGAGCGGCGTCAATTACAGCACTGCCAGCAGAGGCGAGTCAAATTGCTGGCTCTAAGAGTTGATGCAAGCCGTAACGGCTACGGCGCTCCCTGTCGCCTCGTGCCTTCCAGGGCGGTCCGCAAGCCAGCCGAGCAATGACGCGGGGATCTCGAGCGACAGTGATCATTCGGTCCACAGGACCTTCCACGGCACACTCGCCATGTTTCGAAACGATGGCGAGAACCTGTTCACGGTTCGGTATCATAGCCATGGTGGGGGAGCTGAAGGGTATTGGCGGTCTCGAAGGACCCGTCCTGACCAGCAGCTCTTGGTTTTGGTATTGTACAGTACAGCCAGGTGAGCTGACAATACAGACGTACCATTCAGTGAAAGTGTGTATCAATCCTCAGTGGCCGTGGGGGGAAGGGCAAGGTGGGCGCGACACAACAAATGCGCAGCCAAGATGCCTGTGCCACCACACGTGGGTCGAAAGAGGCAGTTGAAGACTGGCTGGCCGCTGGATGTTTACGGTCGAGTTAGAGGACGGGAGATGAGATCGACAACGGTTGAGGAGAAGTGATGCGCTTCAAGGAGAGTGTGCTCTCTGACTAGTGTCGCCGGGGTTTCTCGCTCCCTTGTTTTGGCGCAGGCACCGCTGGACAGAGCAAGCCACAGGCCGGGGGTCTTCTGGCCCAAGGACAGACTTTGTCCGGGCTGGTGGCGCTAGAGAGGATCATGTTGAAGGACGGCAAAGAACCAACAGCTGAGGCGACCTTGCGATTCGCTCTATGGTTGGAGGGAGGGAAGCACTCGCGCGGCAAGGGAAGGCCGAGGGGGCTTGAGAGGGCACCTCCAGCGCCGGATGCGGCAGGCGAGAAGGAGGTAGGGCTTGGACTCGAGTAGCCACGGTATGATCTATTGATTATTGATCATGGCACCACTTCGCGTAGATTCAAATGGACAGGATCGGGGGCAACAATGGCGGTGATAATGGTGGGAAAACGACGAAGACTACACACTCCGTAGAGTTGGGACAGTGGCCAAATGTGGTGCGTCTTACTGACTCCATACAACTGCCACAGCACATACATTCATGACCCATTCAATTCTCGTTATTTGGCCTTGTTTATTGCATTTGCAGTGTACTCCGTATACTCCGTACAGTGTCTACGCATGCCAGCAGCTCGAACACACTGTCTCCTGCTGGGTGGATTTGTTCGATCTTTGCTCTTTGCGCTGCAACCCTCCTTCGACAGTAGCACTTGATCCTCGGGAGCCTTAGCCCTCTCGCCTCAACCGCATCCTCCTTCTTGCAGACTATGCCTGGAGATACACACGAGTATACCTTACTAGCTCGACGACAAGACGGCCCATCAAGGGCTGATTTCAACATCGACAGCTACACCTCCTCTCAACTCTGGGGAGCTTGCTTCCATAGCTTCCGGGGCCAGTAGTGGTGCTGGAACCGCACTCCTGAAGCGACCGTGTGGCGCTCGCAGGGGCCAGTCTTGCAGACAGGCACCTACAGGAGACCGTAACACAGTCACCGAGGCGCATTTGGCCGGGGAGGCTTACTAGTATGGGCACCCGGCACGCACTCTCGAGTCTCAAGCCTCCAGGCAATACTCCAGCAATATCACCAAGCGTTCTTACCCCTCTCACACGGGTTGAAGTGTCGACAGGGCAGCTGCAGACATAGAGAAGACGTCAGGGATCAAATTTGACAAGCTCATGCTGTGGAACAATCCACGAGGTTGACAAGTTGACACCTGCATGAAGGGCGTTGGAGATCCTCCCCCGTGGCGCACTCGGGCAGCGCCTTCATGCACCCTTTGATCCTGCACCCCAACCTCTGCATATGCAGATGGAAACGGCTTCCTGTGGTCTCATGCCCCCCGTCCGCTTATCCCATGCATTTTTGACCCTCCACGAAGCCGCATTTTCGCGCGCTTTGCGTCTTCGTGTATGCACTCCTTGCAAGGTGCAAGTCTTGCATTTGAGCTTGTCTTTAGCCAAAACGCCCGCTCTCAACCTGACTCGTTCTCCTGTCAGGGCAACCTGAACAATCTAAAGCCCGTCACGTCACCTTTATTCCGTGCCCCTTGTATGGATGGACCTACAAAGAGCACAGCGGGACTCCGCCATGGCGTTGAGGTTTGACCTTGACTCGAGCCATGGTCATCCAGCCAAGCGGCGGCCATTGCATTTTTGATTCCTGAATGGCAAATCGGACGATTGACTTGTCTCAGCCATCTCACTCTCCAAGTCGCCATTCGTCAGACGGAAGGTATTCCTGCCCTCGCTTGCGGGACGGCCTTTGACTTTTCGTAAAATCCATCCCGCTCTTCCCCGTTCTAAATCCCATCGGTCCATCCAAAAAGAGACGCACTCTAACACAATGCCGTGGTGTACCCAAGCCAAACAGACGCTTGGTGCCGTTCCGCAACGACACTCCGATGCGGCGAAGCAATGACGCGCTGTGAACATGATGTAGCTTGTAGTAGTATGTGTATCTCATCTTCAGCAGTCTTGCAGCTCCGTGCTAGCAAAGATGCGGCTAGGCGATGTCAAACTAAAGCATGGTCCTTTGAGGGAGTCCTCAACTGTCTAGGCCCTTACTTTGACTAAGAGCGACGGATGGATTGTTGAGATTCGAAGGCGCGGGGATGTGCGGAAGGTGGGCAACTAACCATACCAAGCGCGGTCGAACAGGCCCATCCCATGATTGACAGGCTCACAAACCCTTGACCATGCTTCCATGATCACAAGCATCCGAAAGGATAAATTCGTAGGTGAGGGCTGAGTGGAGTTGTGCACAGCTGGGAACCCAACACGACTCGACATGCTATTTCTTGATGATGGTGACTGACAAAACTCGAGTTAGTATTCACACAAGGTAGGGTGAGCACACGGGACTCACCAATATCTTCGTCGGCCAGCTCGTGGGACAGACCCACACGTTGAGGTTGATGCTTGACCGAGCGACCGTAAACAATAGCCTGCCTGAACTGTTCGACAATAGTCTTGTGAATGGCATTGCACTGAGAATGGTCAGCTAAATGCTAGCGATAAGAAATATGCCTTCAACTTACAAAGTCTTCTACCGTAGATGCATTCTTCCTCAAGACTACCGGGGTAGCATAATCAGGTTGCTTGCCTTTCGGTTTAGTGTAGATGCGTTTCAACTGCAACTTCTCCCACATCTGCTCGAGGAGCTCGTCAATGTTCCAGCCATGTTCAGCACTGATGGGACAGGCATTGGGGATACGGTAGAGTAAGTCCAGTTCCTCAATCGAGATGGAGTCAATCTTGTTCAACGCATATATGACAGGTATGTAGCTTCTGCTCTTTGCCTCAAGCACGTCAATCAGATCATCGATAGTGGCATCGCATCGGATTGCGATATCGGCCGAAGATATCCGGTATTCGCTCATGACGGCCTTGATCTCATCATGGTCGATGTGAGTGAGCGGAACTGTGCTCGTGATGTTCAGGCCACCCTTATCCTTCTTCTTGAACACGATGTTCGGTGGCTCCTTGTTGATGCGGATCCCAAAGCCCTCAAGCTCGGCCTCAATGACACGTTTGTCGGTAAGGGGTTTGTTCACATCGAGGACGATGAAGATCAGATGGCAAGTCTTCGCCACAGCAATGACCTGCCGTCCACGACCTTTGCCGTCCTTAGCCCCCTGAATGATACCAGGCAGATCGAGCATCTGGATGGCAGCACCGTTGTACATGACTTGCCCAGGGACGGTAGTCAGTGTTGTAAACTCGTAGGCTGCGGCTTCGGAATGTTGGCCAGTCAAACGACTCATCAGGGTCGATTTGCCCACGGAAGGGAACCCAATAAAACCGACCGAAGCCACGCCAGTCCTGGCGACATCGAAACCACTGCCGCCGCCACCACCGGAGGATGTTGGTGTCAAGAGCTCTCTCTTCAATTTTGCCAATTTAGCCTTGAGCTGGCCCAGATGGAAGGATGTGGCTTTATTTTTCTGAGTACGAGCCATTTCGGTCTCGATCTCCTTGATCTTGTCGACGGTGGTCGCCATGGTGCCTGATGGAGGAAATTACCGACACGGGAGAGGAGAGGTTCGAAAAGGAGAGTATGAAGCCGTTGAAAGGAAAGCGTTTTCGTCGCAGTTGGGCAGCGATATCTGGGAGTGATCAATTTCCGTGCTGGGTGATTCCCGCCTCTGGGGGAAAAGAGACTGGCTGAATACGAAATAGCGTATGTTGTGTAACCGTTCTTTGTGGTCTCTGACTTGATGTTATTGCGGGCCAGGCCAAGGTTGAGGCTGCGGTAATTGATCTGAAGCGTGTCCTGCAGGTGCGGTGTAGGTGTAGGTGTAGGTGTTAGGTGACGGTGCGGTGTGATATGGATCGCAGTCTGGAGGGGCAAAATAGTCCGTCGAATGCTCTGCAGGACTAAATGTGCGGCAACAGGTTTGGGTGGTGGAATTACACAGAAACACCTTGGATGAATGCGTCTACTACTTGCGCGGCCCTTGGTCTTGTGTGCTGTGTACTCCGTACAGCCAAATGTCGCCTCTGGTCAGGTCGCCTCCCCGTGATTTTCTCAAGCCAACTGGCCCATAAAATCTCTGTGTGCAAGTTCCCTAGCTTACCAGGTACGTCGCTTATCCTACTAGGTCTATGCCGGTCAACAAGACCACTGCTCCATACAATGTCCCCTCCGAAGTTCCGAGATGCAGCTACCAGTGTCGATGGCGTCGGCGGCGGCTGGCATGCATCCCCAGCCTTACCAGCACACCTCGCTATATCCGTATCTCACTTGACTTGCCCCGCTGAGCATATTTTTGCAGGGATCAAAACTGCGCCTTCTTCGTCCCTCCCAAACAAAACGTCATGTTACCATGTTTAACAACTACATGTACATTCGTACCACACTGTCGGAAAACAGTCATTCGACCGTCTGTCTCTACTGATCTCCGAAGACCCGATCCTCTTACAGATTTCTCCACACTCCGCTGAAGTCGGAAGTCGCAGCGGCTGCGACAAGGTCACCGGATTGGAAACAGGGTGACCCCGCGTCCTACCAACGACGAATGTGTGAGTCAAAACAACGATATTGTTACGTTTACAGTATTGCTTCATTGGAAGCGTCTCTTTCGTCTGTCGAACCCCGCGCTGCTTTCCACCACGGTTGGAGCACCGACCGCAGTACACATTGCACTGGTGAGATAGGGTACTTATCTTGACGGGAAGCATCGCTTTCTTCTGTCGAATCCCGCCCTTTAATCCGGCGCGGTCACACGTCAACGCGCGTACACGTTGTGTTAGTGAGATAGGGGTCTTATCTCAAGGGAAGCGAAGCGGCACACCGCCTCTTCTGTTCGTTGGAGCGAACATCCAGCCGGAAAGCTACCTTTCACCTCAAATCATTCCCAATCTCGTGTTTTTCTTGATTGATCGAGGTATCGGAGTGGTCTATCTTCATCACGCCTGTTTGCCTACCTACAACATGTTGACTTACCAGCCCACACCCGCTGGAGTTGTGTCGCATATGGTCCGACCCGATGCCTACCCACCACAGCATCAAAGGAAGGCCAACTCGATCGATCTGAACGATGACTTCCACCGCCTGGTGCGAGCGCTGTCTGATGTCCTAGGCCCATCTTCCGGAATAGACTCGGCGGACGTTGACGAGAACGATCTCATCCGCCTCATGGAAGAGTATACATCAAAAGAAAGTCAGTGGCATCAATACGCCTTTGCCGACCTCAGCCGAAATTACACCCGGAATCTTGTGGACGAAGGGAATGGCAAATCGAATTTGTTGGTGTTGGTCTGGAATCCTGGACGGGGTAGTCCAATCCACGACCATGCCAACGCACATTGTGTGATGAAAATCCTCAAGGGCAGTCTCAAAGAAACGCTGTATTCCCTGCCGCCGTGTTCCGCAGATACCAAAACGGAGTCATCTGGCACGCTGACTCCACCGCAAATCCTCAGGGAGACGAGCTATTCTGTGAACCAAGTTTCGTACATTTCAGACAAGATTGGCCTCCACAAGATATCCAACCCGTCCAGCAGCGAAGTGGCTGTTTCATTACATCTATACACGCCACCTCATGCTGCCAACTTTGGGTTCAACCTCTTTGACGAAAAGACCGGGAAACCAACACACATATCACAAGCCGGCGTCTTTTCAGACCGTGGCCAACTCGTTGAGAGGTGCAAGTTTGGTTCGCTTTGATTTGCATCCTGGGAATGATCGTAGCCACCGGTTAGCAGGGGATACCTAGAACGTTTGGCAAGCGAGGGTTTGGAGGTGTTATGGGATTCTGCCTGATGGCGCAAGGTTGGCGTCGCTGTCGGATTAATCAAGGCTTCTTCCTTATAGCAGAAACGAGGCTTCACGTCTTTTTCGTTTGCTCCCTCTCAGAGCATCTCACACTACATTCAGCATCGATGAACACCATTCTGCGACGGGACTGCAGGCCGACAGCGCCGAGATACATCAAGGGTTGCGTCTGGCCTCGATGAATACTATTGCTGGCCAACAGCAGCTGGAGCTTAGTCCCGCCGACACCAACATGGCGTCCAACCTTTTCTTCCTTTCTACTTGCGGCGGAGGAGTTACTAAAGCAGTCGGTGCTGTCTGTATTGGATCATGAGCGATTATCTGGACTAGAACTCTGGTCTTTGGTAAATCTTTGAATATCTCGCCTCTCTCTTTCTCTCTGGACGAGGGGTTCTGTTCCAAAAACAAGAACCATGCGCCTGCTTCAACCTTGATTGTCTTCTGGCCTTTTTTCTGTGCTTGGACGTGAAACACTACTCTCTCCCTCTCTCTCTCCCTCTCTCTCTCCCTCTCTCTCTCCCTCTCTCTCTCCCTCTCTCTCTC